TACTTCAGGAGCTCCAGTGGGGAGCTCCCCTCTGTCGTCTTTGTTCCTCCCACCCTTCCTACTTGACCCAGTGTGTTCCCCTTCGTTGGAACCTTCGGAATCATTATCACCTGGTCCTCCCGAGGGTGGTGGAGGGGGGCGCCTCCCCCGCTCCTTCCCACCTGTCCCCTGTGATCCCGTTCGCCCTGGCTTGGGGGTCTTTCTCGATCTCTGGAGTGATTTGAGAGGTGTGGGGGAGGTGCTCTGTTAGGGGGTTTAAATCCTCCTCTGTCTCCTCCACTCGCAGCTATTCCACCGTCCTCCAACGCGTACCTCCCTCCCTCTAGTCTCACATACTCTCCAAGCTCTGCTCTTTGCACACGAGCTCCCCATTCCTGGATCCGCCTCCTGTCTATACTCGGGGTGGCAGGTAGCGGGGCTGATTGTTCCTCCTGAGGGTTTCCCTCCCTAACCCCCATAGAAGTTCATCTTGTAAAGGGTATTGGCTCCGTAGCTTGCCAACTTCTTGGCTGAGGAACTACAGGAGATGGACCCCCCCTCGTGTTCTCTATCATTTCCATGGGCGCTTGCCCAAATAATCCCGCCGTGTTTCCTGTTTTGGAAGGCGGTCCACCAGTCGGTATTCCCCCCGCTGCGAATCCTTTCCTTACTTCCCGGAGTTGTTCCCGAAGTGTCTCAATGACTCGAGCCTGTTGTTGGACCATTACTATCAACTCTTGAGAGCGTGCTGATTCGACGGCCATGCCAGGTTGGTTCGTCCGAGCTCCTGTTACAAAGGGAGTTCCAAAAGGAGCTTCCTGCGGGGGTACTGCCTCCTCATGAACTACCAACATCCTTCGCTGGTTTGGACCCCTTTGATTTTCCGCTCCCACTGCCTGAGACTGCATTGATACTGACCCTTGATAGGGTATGACTGATGGATTGCTTTGTCTTGGAGGAACGTGTACAGGGTTGGGAACCAACCGAGCTGTCAGATCTTGTCCGGAGATCCGGGATGAATGCTGCTCGCCATCCATCCTTACCTCGCCAAACTGGTATCGCTGCATCGAAACTGGAGTTACCAGTTTTGTTTGCAGGTCAACTCTGGGGGGAGGCGTCAAATTTTGAATGAACGTATGTATGGTGGGGGAGGTCCCTGAGCGTAACTGAGGGCTCCTCGTGGCCGTATTACCGGGGTTATGGACTTCAGGAACTGTCGCGACGAGGCAGGAAGCGGGAGGCAGGAGGTCCAGATATGCCTAGGAGCGACAGTGGCAGAGCGAAGAGGCACAGAAACAAGCACAAAGCACAGATGAAAGAAATAATGATCTCGAACAACAGTGGGATAGCGTCCAAGGCCAATCACACCAGCAATCAAAAGGGAATCTAGTTGCCCAATGACCAAGTTAGATAGGTAGTATCTAAAAGGATACAAGTACTTGCCTAGTTGCCCAATGACCAAGAGGTCGAGATGGGGAACTAGGGCCTGTCTACTGTCCTTTATATACTACTCTTGTCTACTGAGTAAGCGATTGTAAATAACGATGTGATATAGAACAAGAGTGAGGAATCAATATATACGAGTAATAATGAGTTGATAATGAACCATAATGAACTAATCGATGAATAAGGATAAGTTGTATGGAAGCGTACGGAAACAAATGGAACTAATGGGATGATCGTGTGATGAAGTACAATAAACATGTAAAAACAGATTGATGGGAACACACCGCGCTGATGGCGCATCAAAGGGCGCATCATGAGACTTCATGACAGGAACCTCGTTATTTCTGGGCGATGAATGTTTCTGCCCCAGGAAACGTCCATCAGAACCGCGGAGCTGCTCCTTCTGGTCGAATTGCTCCAAGGGGAACTCCCCTGCACATTCTGGTCCGCATTGAACCATATACAAGGTTCCCCGATTATCCGCGACCAGTCTGCAACGGAATTCTAAGGCCCTTTCCAGATTCGATCCAGAAAGTTCCTCCGACAGCATCAGGGTGTCTGATTCCGCTAATAGAGTCCGGTGTCGGGTCTCCTGCAAACACAGCATCGCTTCAGACTCCTCATTCCTCACCAGAAGTTGGTGCATGTGCCTCATGGGCGTGTACGTGTACACCGTCTGTCCGCTACGGACCCGGACAGGACTATCTTGATCGGGCATCGACTCCACTGGGGCAAGGAGGTGAGCCATGGTGTATCTCCTTCATCTACGATTTTTTGCAGCGATTGCATTAGCATCCTCGTTGTTTTCTTCACCGATTTTGGCTGCTGCCGCCGCTAGATTCGCGTTCCGAAGGATTTGGATCGCCTGATAGTTAAGGATGTTGACCTTCGAAGGGGGGGGGTTCAAACCGTACAGCTCCTGTTCTGTAATTAGATGCTCGATAGAATATTCGTAGACCCGTCTCACCACAGAACTCTCTCTCTCTTCCGTGAGTGTGAGGGAGGAGGGGAAGTATTCCCCTCGAGTTTCGAAATGCTCGTCCGTAACGTGCCTCTGCCTCTAACAATTCCAACATCCTTTCTGGATCCAAAAGGACGTTGTCCAGCCAGAGAAAGTCCGATTGATTCGCCTGGGTCATCAGCCACTGCTGAGCCTTCTCTGGGAGGTCTATTTCCAGTTGGGTTCCCACTGTTAGGAACTGTACTCGTAGGTCTGAAAATTTAAGATCGTCTCCCAATATTTCGATCCCCATTGACTCCAGGACTTCCCTTAAGACCATAGCTACGTCCTCCGGGAAACACTCCTGGATTCTAATGACATCTTCTAGTTGCAACGTCATCTCTGAGAATGGTTGCACAGGAAAGTTGATCCTGCTATGATGTACCGCGTGTGTACGCTCCCAGCTGGGTGTATTCATAGCCGGACTCCTCAGGAGGCTGGAGAGTGAACTTCCTCGTCTCGGGGGAGGAGGGTTAAGGGACTGTACGGGAGGAGTCGGTAACCTCCTGGAGGATGCCCGAGATTGTTCAGATGATGCTGGCGATACCCTCCTCTCCAGGAGTTTCTCCTGCTGGCATAATGTAAGAGGTTCCTCACTTTCCCCTTGTATCCTTTCTATAGCGGCTACTTGGCCGCTGACTCTTCCTCCTGCGTTCGAGGCTGATTCCATATCTAGCTGCGGTACCGGCCCAGGGAGAGGTCCTCTCGTTCCCCAAGTGGGGGAGTAAGTGAAACCTCCCATGGGGCTACTGGCATTTTGGACGTAACCCATGGAGGCGGAATATGAAGTAGAGGAAATTCTGGACAGTCAAGTTCAGTGGAAGAGGTTGAAATACCTGGTTAAGTGGAAGGGTTACGACGCAGGGCACAATTCCTGGGAGCCAGCGCCCAACCTCAGCCGTGCTCCAAAGATCGTCCGATCCTTCCACAAGAAACATCCCACAGCAGCAAAGGCTTGACCATCGAGGGCAATGGTCGTAAGAAGGGGGGTAATGTCATGAAGTATGTAGCCCCTATCATTTTCCTTTTCTCACCGTTTCGACGCGCCTTTACTTGTATGATTACATCACCACCAAATCCCATCGATTACTGATCCACCTGACCCCCATCATCGATTACCAATCCACCTATTACCCTTCTCCTTCTACTGGCTTCCACCACCTTCTTTGTTCCTAAACTGTATAGTATTACATCGTCATTTCTCGCAGATCGGATTATGTATATAAAGCCAACCCCTCACAGCCTGGTCCCTCATCTTGACCTCTCTGTCATTATCTTGGGACCAGGTATGTGCTTACTTATTGTTACCTATGACTACGATACTCAATATATCTCTGTCATTATCTTGGGACCAGTCTGTCTCTGCTCTGCTTAGTCGCTCCGCATTATCACTCTGCTCAGTTGCTCTGCCTCTCTGCTCCGCTTAGTCACTCCGCCGTTGCCGCTTTGTGACACCTTCCTTTCTCTTTCACACAAAAACGAGGCAAGCTCGTTATCTGGAGCCCACCGCGAGGGGTGGTTTTGAAGCTACATTTAGCTTGATAAATTAAATTGAACGTTTGTTTGGATTATATTCGATTATTTGGTAGAAGTGTATTGATCTTTGTGATACCATTTCTGTGAACTGTCAACATTAGTTCATCAGGAAAACCACGTACTTCGAAGAATTCAGAAAAAGCAGGAGTATTGACACCGGAAGAATATCATAAAGCAGGAGTTGTATTTGGGAGATCTACGTTTGGCACATCAGCTCGAACATCCCTATTAAACCCTACGAACAGTATTTTGAAGTTATACTTTGCCGGGTAAGCGATCTGCGCAAGTTACGTACAAGTTCTGCGCTGAAGTCCGTGCATAGTTACGGCAAATGCTAATGGCCCAACTCGAACGACATTACAGCTAAATGCAGTACCGAAGGCGCGCGTGGATTTTTGCCGAAATTCGCCGGATTTCCCAAAATCATCGAGGTCAATCTTCCATCGCAAAAATATCCCTCAGTTCTCACCCGATTGCCTTCAATTGAGCGAGAGACTTGGTTCTTAGAAGGATATATATATTTGTAATGTATCATCCATGGGGTTAATTTCAAATGATATGCTCTGTTCTATGTAGACTGACACGAAATACATACTACTCTTTATTCCAATGTTATTATCAAGGTTTGAAGTCACTTGTATTTGCTGAATTAGGCCCTCAGTGTGTGTAAATACTAGTATAAGCAAAAAACTGGAATGTAAAGCAGTTCTACTGCATAAATGGCACCGTGTGGCTGCTGTGGCTTGTTTTTTTCCGTGATCATCTAACTCTTTCTCACCTCCCCATGGCCCGGAGAGGACATTCACGAATCAGACGACATTACTCTCGCGATTTGAAGCTTGTTGTGGTTCACCAATCCTTTGTATTGGGGTATAAATCCACAAAGATTGCGATACAGCTGGATGTACCGCTTCGAGTTGTACAGCGAATTTGTCAGAATTGGAGAGAAATCAAAGATGTGTGTAGGGAAAGAATGAAGATAGGCCGATCACCGTGGAAATGTTCAGTGGAGATGATATAGAACTTGGACAAAAATCCATTACCAGAGAGATTGCCCATGCACGAAGCATACTATATGAATTTTTTGTATGATTACCTTGAATATCAACCTTACACATGATATTGGGTCCACATCTCTCACACTTCTTCAGCGTTTTCATCAATGCTTCGGTATATTCCTTCTCCTTTGCTGTGAAAAGTCTGTCTCCATTCTCCTCGTCATCTCCGACATCATAGGCCCCATCACCCCCATCGAGATTTGGAAGTGGAGACTGAGCTTTCTTTCCTCGGCCTTTTGTTCTACCAGCAGTACCAGAGCTAGCGGACTTTCGAGGATTTTGGCGCGCATTCAGAGCAAGGAGGTACTATAATACAACATGCTTTTGTAAATAATCAATTGCAAAATTGCAAAAGAATCCTACCTTGCTCGCTACAACAAGTGTAACATCTAACGGCATAAGATGTTTTGATTTGGGACGGCTGTGGTGAGTCCGAATGATATCTTCTAAGCATAGTATCCAATCTGCTTCTGTCCGGAGTGAAATCCCACTGGTACCTCTCGTAGCTCCTGGCATTTTGTAAGAAAGGCTCGGCTTGACATGTACTTTCTCGCAGCTAAGGGTTTTGTACACTAAATTTTTGAACTGTTCAAATGATGACTGGGTATCAAGAGAGCGCCGTTCAATTGGATCCTCAGGATTGACAGCAGGAATGAGGAGATGAAATACTAAGTATTGAATTAGCTATCAATGGTTTTATACCAAGAGAATGTAAAATACGCACTGAGCTTTTGCGGGACTGAATCTTCATTTTGATGCTTCTGCTTCTTCCTGTACTCAGCAACATCTTCCTCCTCTTCGTCTCCATTTGAGTATTCATCCTCCACCTGTTGCTTGACTTTTGGCTTCCCTTTCCTGGTTCTATGGGATTTCGCTACTTGTGGCAGCTCTTCCTCATCAAGTTCGTCAACTTCTTCCTCTGACTCTATGGCTCCATGGCTGATTTCGATGTCACTTTCACCTGAATAAGCTGGAGTCGGCTCCTTGATTTCCATTGGCACTTGATTCCGGTTCTGGATGAGATGTTTGGCTCTAGCTTTGAGCATGATCGCCCTTCCCTCTGCAATCGCAGCTTTTCTGATAGCCTCTACATTCAATTCTTTGTAAAAGCAAGTGATAATGTAACATTCTTCCACGTACTTTTATCTATGAGTGGAGGAGTAATACTCCTGCTCTTTCTCCGCTTCCGGCCTTTGACTACAGAAGAAATTCCTGTTTAACGAGGTTGAGAGACAGGCAAGAATATAACACATATAACTTACCGGTACCTGTATCCTCAGACTCTAACTGATCTATTTCTGGTTCTGATTCTTCTAGTTCGAGTTCTGGAGGTGAGTTGAGTAAAGATTCCACTGCTTTTTGGACAGTTGATTTTCCAGGTATTCTGAGGCGTAGAGGTGAAGTTACCTGACTACCCTTACGGTTATACTTAGGTGGGTTCTTCTGGGGACTCGAGGGTGTTTTGGTAGAGTTCTGCATCATATCTGTGCCATCACCCTTTGTGGCACGCAAACGAGTACTTCGCCGCCGCCCAGACATGATGAGAGGTAAATGAAGGAATTGTGCCAATGTGTTCACATTCGAAATCACAGCCTGTTTTCACTTCTAACTTCTGAAACTTCTGAGCTTGAGCAACACTATATGTAAGTCATTTCTTTAGCATATACAGAAGACGTTGGAGCTCAAAAATAACATTGGAATCAAGAGTAGTATGTATTCCATGTCAGTCTACATAGAACAGAGCATATCATTTGAAATAAGTACAGTAACCCCATGGATGATACATTACAAATATATATATCCTTCTAAGAACCAAATCTCTCGCTCAATTGAAGGCAATCGGGTGAGAACTGAGGGATATTTTTGCGATGGAAGATTGACCTCGATGATTTTGGGAAATCCGGCGAATTTCGGCAAAAATCCACGCGCGCCTTCGGTACTGCATTTAGCTGTAAGGCATTGCAAGTGTGCTCTGGCTTAGATTTTGCAAGCATTGAATCCAGATTACGACACGCACATCTCTAGGTACTGCCGGTTTCTTTCTTTACTTCGCCAACTTACACATTGCCATTTACAGACTTCTGAGATTATGTCCTTGCGCAAGCGCTCCTCCAGCGACGATGAAGGCAAGGCACCAAGAAAACGGCCAAATATTTTGCTCACAAGCTCGGATAACGTTGTCGAAGAGAAAAATGGTAGTGATAATAGGAAATTGGATCGCTCTGAGTCTCTCCTTCTTGCTCCTCTGCTCACTGAGTTGCACCAAATATTTGTTCCAGGAGCTCTCCCGCCTAGGTTAACAGCTTTTGCGAGTGTTGATCTATCTATCTTGGCGGAGGTGCTCAGACCATGCTCAGGGTGCACCACTCTCACCAATTGCAACGCAGGGACGGGTACCTGCCACGACTGCTACACCAAGAAGGAAGTTTGTTCAGTGCCTACATTCCTACGGTACTGGATCTATTCCGATCGCACTGGACTTACGTTGGAGCAAACTTTGTTCATGATTACGAACTATGGCGACCACAAAACGAAGAAAAGCTTCTGCCTCGACAATACCGTGTTTAGCAACCATCTCCGTCAAGTCGTCGAGAAAAGCCTTTTACCCCCGCCCCTCAATACCGGTACTTCCGTTTTGGGCGATTCTCCGACGGATTTGGAAAACCGGGTGAAAGCTCTCAACCTTCGCCGCTCCCCTGTAGTACGAACCGTGCACGCACTCGAAAATCATCGACCGCGTGAACTCCTCTCGAGGGACTTGTTAACGCATTCTCAACCAAGTTCTTCCATGGCGCAGTCTCACTGGTTATACTCCAGGAGTCATACCGAGCTCATTTCTCCTATTCATGAAACACCAGTTCGAGTTATTCAGGCCGCCGGTCACAGACATTTTCAGTTCGTGACTTCCACTTCATCGTCACCTTCGGAGAATCCATCTTCTACTCAGTGTACCCTTTGTTCCCATTCTGATGCTAGATTTTCGGGGCCTCCCTCTTTGTCTAAAGTCGCTCCATCGTTAGATGAATGTGCGGTTCAGGCGCCGAAAAGCTTGAACAAGGCTGGTTCCACTTTATTATTCGACCTCCTTCGGAATCCACGCTCAATAAAGAGTGCTCCACCCTTCTCGTCTCTCAAAGAGAGTGCTCTACCTCTTCCATCTGTAGTCTCTACGTCCATTCCAAAGAGTCATTCTATCGACTTGTCTGCCCCGTTCCCCGAAGCCGTTGGTGTAAAGGCGCACAGCGACCAAACTCGTGTGAAAGAGCTTGAACAACTTCTGGCTTGGGCTCGCGATCAATTTCTCACCGAGCGCGATGGAGTAGAGGCTCATGACCACATTAGACGAGAAATTATCCAGATATTTGCAAATTCTGTACGCCAAGCACATGCGAGTGTTGATAAACTCCGACACGAGAACGGGAAGATTGTGCGTGTCATGCTCAGCAAGGTACGCTTTTGTCTCTCTTAGTCATCTTTAGCATACTGACGGTACACTTAGACTTTCGGAAGCCAGCTAAAAAGTTCTGAGCATCGTACTCCTCGTGAAGTAGAGGACGTTCAAGCCGACATGTTGTCGAGAGATTCGCAGGATCCGCCGTGGCGCACGTCTCTTCAGAGTAATGTGCCGAAATTCCCGGAGCAACATGGGACTAGCATGGAGTTGCAGGGGTCGCATAAACAACGTAATACCGAGCGCGATGCTTACGAAAATAAGCTAAGAGAGTTGCCTATACGACGCAGGCTACGGGAGTCGTGCGAGCAGCACAAGGAATTGACTAGATGTGAGATTCTTGAAGGCATACTCAAGGAGTTGAACACCCAAATCGAATCTCTTGAAGAAAGGTTCAAGGAACTATGCAAACAGCGGGACGCTCTCGGAATCAGTCTTGAAACTTCCCGTGCATTGTTGTTTCTCAGGCAGGAAGTGATTGCTAGGCAGGCACAAAATATCAACACCTTGAATGAACATATCCAGGAGCAACAAGTCACCATCTCAAAGCTACGACGACTCGGGCTCACTTCTAACGGATGCAACGTAGAGAGACGGCCATAGGTGTTACCCAGTAATTGACCTTTATCTCATCATTCAACCAATTCCTTTAATTCCCTGCTGCATTAAATTTATACTACATATGCATCGAATTCAAGAGTAAGTGAATAAGTACCTGGCATCTCGAATTTTAGAAGTACTTTGCCGTGCGTTCCCAGATACAGTAAGCTTTAACAGAATCCAACACGGAGAGTTGCAGTTTTCTAGGTATTCGTGACATGCTCCACGAACTATAGCAATAAGTTAAGTTCTATCTCTTTCAGTACTACGTGATTTGTCTGCCAGAGCGGATAACGCAAGGAGAACAAGGCTTGGTTGGGAAAGAATTGGGAAAGAAGAAGCAAAGATAGATAAGATAAAGTGTTGGAGATTCCTGATTCCGGAACTCCAGACCGCGGTGTCGCGCTCTCTGCCGTGCTTGAAAGATAGTACCCCGCGAGGGATCATTTCGGGGCAGAGTGAAGGCACGTCGAATCCACGATCTCCTCGAAGTTGAACATTTAGCATGGCCTATGTGCGATACTTCTCACCATCTGTCACGAAACATCCATAGATGAATTATCCAGTCTCTCACTGTCAGCACTTACTCGAGCCGGCGTTGATCCAAACGATTTCAGGTTCCCGCAGACGCTTCTGACTATGTGGAGCTGAAAACGGATCCCTCAAACCATTCGCCGACTTATTAATCGGTCACGCGAGGATGCATCATCCGTTGGTATTCTTCCGTTCTTCTTCGTCAATCTCTGCCAAGTTTTATCTTTCGTTTGTTTTGGAGGATGATCGATTAGCACTTTGCATCGGTATCAGATGCCAACCGTATCGTTTCGGTAGTAGGTACCTCCAACGCAGACACGACGCTTCCTTGGAGTGTGATCTTCCTCGGAATATCTACAGAAGAGGCCCAGGAACCAATCTCGAACTTCAGAAGTGCGCGTAGTTTCTCGATGTTCCTCCCGTATGCTGATGTAGTTCCTCATTCAGAGAGCGAGGTTCCTTCTACTTCACAGAACTGAGGTTATGGATGACCATTGTGCGGCGGTCTCTGGTTGTCCTCCTATTCTAGCCAAGTTTACTCTTCTATCCTTAGTTACCCATCAAATGATGGTCGCCGGTCCATTTGCGAAAGGTTCGCGACGATTCTTGTAGATGTTGCGGATCGAAACATTCTATTTCCGAAGTTGTGTCATCAGCCTGCCTCAGGGGGATTATTGACCGTCAGCTCTGTCGAGTTGAAATGTCCACTAGTTCAACTGGTCGTTGATTCGCTGATCTTCGGGCTTGTCCGCTGGAACCTCGACACAGACCAAGTCTCTCAGTCCATACCTGAAGGAGAGGTACCAATGAATAATTTCGGTCCCGGGATGAACTCTGGGAAAAATCTGCTCTCGAGGACGCGTACAACTACGCCACCTTTGTTCCGAACATTACCAAGCTCTGGGAGGTCTTCGAAAGATGACTCGGCACACTGGTCGAAGTATTTTACTTTGATTAGATTCATTCTGAGTTGTTGCACGTTTATTGCTCTTGCAATTGGCTGATCGCTCGCTGATCATTGGTTCAATGTCCGTGCTTACGAGGGAACTAAGAACCCCAAACGTCAAATGAAAGATCGCATAGGCAATCTCATTCAGGGTGCTGACGAAGATGACAATCAGTTTTTCGAAATTAGCCCTCGAGGTGACACCGAGGTACATTATGGTACCGGTGAGTGTTCTTCCTTCCGTCGAGACAATGATCATCGGAGCTGACACATGCTAAGACTTTCTGCTAATAATGCGATGGGCTGGAGTGGGCCATATTTGGCGGTAGACATAGCATGCTCCTCCTCTCTCGCCGCGGTCTATCAAAATACTCGTGCTTTAATGAATGGAGGTTAGTGGAGTAAACATCCTAACAAGTCCGTTCGGCGAGCCTATAAACCTAAGCATGCAATCTCTCAGGATCGCAGGTCTCGCGGGTACCCCACCCAAATCTGTCTATCCCATTCTTGCGCAACATACAAAAAGCCAAATGGAACCTCCTCGGAAGAAGTGAAAATCCGAAGTGGCTGATAAAGACGATACAGATGAAGAAATCAGTGGTGAGGACAACCAGAAAAGACAAGGACAGACGAAGAAAGTCTCTTCGGGTGGGCATAGTGTCTACGCCAAGGTTGCGCGACTGGTATCGACGTCATCGCAGGCCAAATTCCCCGACAACCTTTCGGGCAAAAACTAATCATGAGAGAAGACGAACATGATGAAAGAGGCAGAGGTAGAGAAACCAGAGGACTGCAGCAATCAAAATCCGGAGGAAGAAGAGGACAAAGACGAATCGGAGGAAATGCAAATCGATAAGACTCCGCAAGCGCTTTTTCTACCTGACGGAGACGAAGACGAAAACGAAAGTTCCTTACTCGTAGATACAAGCAATGATTTGTTCATTGCTTCTGCGAGAAATACTTCTTCATCCCCCCACTCTCTCGGTGTCCACTCGTATCACCGCTCCTCCTGCTTGACAAAACATCTGAAATGATTGATCTGACATTGGATGAAAATAACTATCTATAACTATTCCCTCCTTTCTTCTGATGACAATCACTTTCAATCCGAAGATGAGCTATTCATCGTCCAGAGGTCATTCGCACCGAAGTTTCACAAGCGTCCGTCGGGGATGGACGTCCCAAAACTCGCGGAGCGTTGGGCGACCTTATGTCCTACCTTGCATGGCAAGGGAACTCGTCAATAATAGAAAAGACATCCGCATTTTCGTTGTCTGATGACGCAGGAGCGTCTGCCACAGATACACTGACCTCCGAAGCTGCTCTTTCCCGAGTTATCAGCAAGGAAGACTTCAAGGAAATAGAGGTACTGGGTCGATTCAACCTTGGTTTCATTATTGTGCGAAGATAGAAGAAATCTGGGATAGAACGACAATTAGAAGAATCACTTTTGCATGATTTGATCATCGTGGATCAACATGCAGCAAACGAGAAATACAACTTCGAAACGCTTCAGCAAACAACAAACATCGCAAGTCAGAAACTGTTGCAGTATTTGTTCATTGTATAGTCCATAGGATTATTGCACTGAGAATTACCTACACCTCGCCCTTTGGAGCTCACTGCGTCTGACGAACTGGTTGCGTTGGTTGCGTTGGAGAATCTCGACGTCCTACGACTCAACGGCTTCGAATTGAAAGTAGTTAGCGATGCTCAGGAAGATATTGGAATGGTCGATGACAATCCTTAAAGCCACATACATCGGAAACTCAGACTTATTGCTCAACCTGTCAGTAAAAGTACAGTATTCGATATGCGCGGGGAGTCGAATTAACTTCTTCAAACAGGGATTCTGATCAAAATCATGTCAATCATTGTTTGAGATTTAGAGGAACTCATTCAACTGCTGCATAACCGTCCGACGGGACAAATGATAAGATGCTCTAAAGCACGAGCGACGTTCATCGGCCCTTTGATGAATGTATCCCAAAGACTTCAACATACGCGCAGCGGTAATTTCCTCTCGCTGAACATTATTTGGCAGGACAGCAAAGACATCAGGGTCAATATCGAGCTTCAACAACTCGTTGGCTGGAACGTTCCAAGATGCGAGGTCGGGGAGTTTCGTGTATCGATTGTACTTAGGCTTTCGAGGCGACAACGATGAGCGCCGAGGATCTGATGAATGCTGTAATAAGGGTGTCATCAGCAGGCATGCGAAGATTTTCGTTGATGGACATTTCATCACAGAATTGGTTCCAACGTAAAGGACCTGCTCCATAGGATTGCTTCGTTGAGTCTGCCAGCCCTGCGGAAGTAGCTTTCTTACCCAATTCAAGGATCTCAGGTGGGTAGATTGAAGATATCAAGGTACATTTGCTGATAGTGAAAGGAGTGTCCCAGACCTGAAGACGGTCTCTCGCACGAACATTGGGGTGCAAAATATTCGGAGTGATTGAGTTATTTGGCAAAGGTTTACGAGATGCAGGAGGAACAGGCGGGTGTGAAGAAGGAGCAGGGGTAGAGTGGAAACGACGTCGGAGAGAAGGCAAAAGGTCGCGAGGGAGAATATTCGAAGGTTTAGGTGGTTTGACATGATACGGATGCATAGAGAAACGAGTACGGAGTGCAAATTGGGACTTTCGAGTGATCAATGGGCGTGGGACATTGGCACTCGCGACTGAACCTTCAGCCGCAAGAATGCGAGTGTCACTGTAGAATAAATGTGAGTTTGCGAAGGGTGAACAAAGAAATTTTATGAACCTCAACATGATAGGATAATATATTAGTGAGCTCATCGGGGAGCTGGAATTGTAATGGAAGGCGATTGTCTTGTAGACCCAGAATTCCACGCGAAATCGGGTCAGCAGGGTTGTTGGCGGATTCGATGTAAATAAGTTCAGGTAAAATGAAAAGTGGGCCAATGATGGCACATGTACGACATATGGACATATTGATCCAGTAGTTGGGACTGCGAGATTTTCTTATAGCACCAATTGTGCCTTGGTTATTGGAATGAATGAGAAGGCGGGTGTTACTGTAATCCATGGATTCGAGGAAATATATCAAAATTTCGACTGCAACTGTTTCGAGCCAACAGATATCATGGCCCTCAATTTTCCAATCATTGGCCAGATGGAAGGCAGCCCATTTGCCTCCAATAATGATGCCAATACCCCAGTCAGCACCCTCGAAGTGAAGTGGACCCCACCGCCCACATCCACATAACCAATTGAAAAAGGTCATCACCAACCGTATAATACAGTCCTCAAGAACCACATCTCCGCGTCCTCGACACAAAGGCAGACCTCGATGCAATATGGCCCTAATGAACAACATCCGCACTGTGGTCTCGAGTTGAGTGTGGTGTTTTATTCTTACCCTTTCGTGCTCTATTCTGGAACGAAAAAGTGGAAAATGTCAACCATGGGGGATTGAGCAAGAATATGGTCTATTTGAGATATTGATATTGAGCGAGGATATATATCTGATAAAAATATGGTTATCTACAACACAAACTTAGTCTTTGTAAAACAATATGGTCCTGACAAACCGCATTTCAAAATAAGGGCCCGAGCAAACAATAATCTGGAGAAGTAGTTCACGTTAACCATGGACTGAGTAAGACGCGAATATTATTATATAAGCTACGTACAGCCGGCCGTATTGTTTATCACTGCTCGCGGTACCCTCTTATACAGCCCGCCTTCTAACGCCTACCCCGCTATAAGCGAGACGCAAGTGATAGTTTTACCCAATCCCATCTACGAAAAGATTAACATGTAAAACACAATCATGATGTTCTGACATACATCGTCCGCAAGAATGGCACCCTTTGCCTCCTGGGGTTCCTCGAACATTTCCTTCTCAGTCACCGCATATACCCCAAAATCCCGTCCATTCATCCCAGTCTTGTGTCGTCGCCAAAGAGAAGAAAAGGTACCATTTTGACCGGGTGTTTCTCGTTCCCTTTCTAGCAGGAACGTAAGCGCTTTTTTCTGGTGTGGGTACAGTGTTGTCGCTATTTCGGGTGCTAATGAAGAGAATGAGCGACCTAAAGATGACACAGGATAATGTTCTGACCCGGTTCAGTCTCAGGCAACTGATCACCGCCTTTTATGCTCTTGAAAACTTCATCGACCTGACTTCTCTGCACTTCCACACTCTTTGCAGATACCTGAGACGATGTCCATCGCGAAGCGTTATTTGAAGAGTAAAGCCTATTATTGGCGTGCAGAATTTGATTGTGGCCGCCGGGCGGGGGATTATGGGGATTCAAGTAAAAGAGAGGCCCGTATTTCTGAAGATCATACGGAGGGGTAGGATGATCTAACAGTAGATTATTCTGATACACAAATGGTCCAACGACGTGAATATTCCCTTTGGGGGTGAAAACGATCATTTGAAGAGGTAAGATTGGAAGCTAATGCCTTGTTTAGACTCTACAGTGCAGAAAGCGATGAAAGAACGCACATTAGGTGGACCTTTCCGCACTTTGGCCTCTATCCTAATCAAGCCTTTCCCCAACAGCCCACCTAGATTTGTGGCAACTTTCTGCTCGACAACTCCAAATGAATCGCAAACACCGGTGGCAGGAATATTAGTCGGAATCTTAATGTGAATCGTTTCAGAGCCCTCAATCTTCGACGGGTTGTGTTCATACTGAAGCCTAAATTTCGTAATGTCAATAAGCAATCTCGCAGCCGTTAGATATCATCCTTACCTGACTGGAACCCAGGAAGGTTCCATTGAGCCAGGTTCTTGAACGGTGTAAGGGACAGGATAAAGAACAAGGGCTGTAGCTGAGAGTTGGCCTATACATATAGCTGTTCTGGCATCCAAGTCTGGAGGCAGATGGTTCCCATTCTGGAAAAGATACTGCTGAGGAGGTGGTGGCGGCGGGAGAGCAGGGGGAGGAGGCGAAGGTGATCCTGTGAGATCTATGACATTGCTACCCGATGGTTTGAGGGAAGGACGGTATTCAGAAGGCTGAGGATGCATTGGTGCTGGCGCCCGAGGAGGAAAAAAGGCAGGAAAAAAGGAAGCTGAATTGGAAGGTCCAGCAAACGGAGGCTTACGCCTGTGTAGCATTCTGTTTGCTCCGAGTATCATTCGGGCTTACTAACGGTCTTTTGATTAGTCTATAATAGACTTCCACCTGCGGTGGTCAACGGGACATGTAACTTACAAAGACAGTCACCGGATTATTCGGGCAGAATTCAAAGCTCGTTTTTCCTAGTACATACAACATACATATGTATAGACCTATCGAAAGATAATAATACCCAAGGTTTCTAAGACCACCCGAGCTTATACCAAGCCTCCCTTGCAGCAAATTCCTTTGCCTCCTGTTTAGATTTACCCATTCCCGTTCCCTTGAGAATTCCGTTCACTTTGCATTGAATAATCCACCTCGGCGCGTGTGAAGGACCACTGCAAGCTGCAGGATATTCTACTGACACGCGTCTTTGCGTAGCTGTTTGATTGAACAGCGGAAGAAATGCAAGGTGAGGCTGGGCAGGTGAAAGCGGATTCGAAAAGGGCTTGGTGGTATCAGGATATTGTGGTTGTGCAGCAGGAAATACAGTCGGCGGCATAAACAGTGATGAGGACGGGTGGGGCTGAGCAGCGATAGGTATAGGCGGATCTGCCTTCACTTTCTTTTGAGGAGGACTGTGGTGGACATACGGTGGAGGTTTGGCAGTGGAGTGCACGAGTTCCTGGGGCGGCGCACTGACTTCGGTCGTTGTGGAAGATCGAACAGGAGTGTTATCATGAGTGAGCCCATCGATCCAACGTTGAACGGGTTCCAGGCCTTGTTCCTTATAGATGCCGCCCACATACGCAAAGAATAGTGTTCGGGTTTCCTGTATATGTACGTTCGAAATGGTAAGTCGTCAACAAACAATGAGTGTGCTGCTAATTCACCTCGGGTGACTTTAGAGTAGGTATTAGCTGCGGAGCGATTCTAACCTTCTCTCTCAGGCCATACATCGAAACCCAGCCATCCAAGTTTTCCTCAGAGAGAATATCCTTCCTCTGTGCCTGCACCAAGCGTAAGCTTTTGTGATTATCGCTTCCCAAAGGGATGATCAAGAGCGGAGTTGTACCAGCATTTCAAGACCCGATAGGACTGGTCGGCGATGGAACAAAGCAACAGTGATCGCAGTATCCAGAACTGTAGCTCCAAGTTCTGCCAATCGTTCATTGTCGAAATTTTCGAGGGCGTCGTCCTGTCTGCGTAATGATCTATGAGTCAAAACCTGTAACAGAGTGTCTCCGTTGATTTTGGGTAAAGGAGGGACACCAGAATGAGAGATCGATTGGTCGGATTGTTCGTATGAACTTCCTCGGTCGCCTGTATTTGTTAAGGACCAGGTGCGCTTCAGAGCAGTTGAACTCATTATTGTTGAGGTGGACATGGAGAGAGAACAAGTTGTTTGGTCTATGTATATTTGTTTGCACACTCTTCAGTCATAATGAACTACTAGTAAACAGTCACTCAGTCTATGAACAGGTCTTTCTTGACAAACAGCACATGCATCTGGCGGAGTATCCTGCTGTTTCAATCTCTTAGATTCAGGCTCGAAATGGGATGGAGACAGTGAACGTTTCGGGGTTCCGGAAGAGATTCCGATGTCACTGTGATGAACTGTAGTAGTACTAGCAACTGGCGAAGGAACCTGGAGCTGTTGAGGCATGATTTGAATGCCATTCGAAGGTCCAGCGCTATTGACTGCACTCGCACTTGCATTATTCTGAGTTTGCGCTTGACGGGGAGGTAAGGGAACTGATTTTGCTACAGCCGGTTCTTGGCGTCTAGGTGCAACATGGCCTTGGTTTTGCTTTGTCGCCAATCCTGAACGAGGAGACCTGACCGGATAAAGCGGTTGGCCGTAGATCATCATTGCATGTCCTCGTCTACGGAGGACTTCGTCGATTGAGTTTACAGCAGCGCACTGCAGATACCGACTCGTCAGGAGCTTTCATGACATCCGCAAAAAAACTACATACCCTTGTTTCATACGACTCATCTTCCACATGCATTACCAGCATCTCGCGGTATTCAACTAGGTTTTCGGATGACTCTGTCATTGGACAGTTTCCAGGACCGTGAACTTGACTTTGATTGAATAACGAGATGTAATGAGAATATAAAAACATACGTTGGCTACACAAACCACACGCGCTAGGTTCGTTCGCTGCCGGTAATGTCTTCAAAATCGTTCCTTTGGATTTTCCCTTCTTGCTGTTTATCGGTGACGCTCGGAATGTTTCTTCCACTATTGCATCTGGCTCATCGTCGGAGGAATCACTAACATGGGAAATGCGGTCAGAGCCATACATCGAGTCAGCGTCTGAGCCGGTTCGACTACGATTCTTTTCCGGAATGTCGATATCCAAAGCGTACTTTGAGGCTAAAGTTAGGGAAAGATACGAAGATGATAAGTCAAGAATCTCACACTGGTGGTAGTTGCAGCTTTACGACGAGTACTACGCCGACCTCGTTTTCCATGTTCTTCATCTTCCTGTGCTTGTTTTTTGGCTCGCTCGTCATTGATCCTTTGAAGAGGTCGAGCCCAGGAGTCGACTTCAAACTGATCTTCATCGGCGATTTCTTCTAGTTCGTCTTTGTCCGCGGTCCAAATCTTTGCAAAAGAGAATGCAGCACCCTCCTTTGGAGCATTCTCTTGGTCTCCTTCTTTCTCGGTTTTGGTGATGAGGTTATCAATGTCCGCTTCTGAGTCTAGGAAGAGATTAGCAGGGATTCAAAGGAGATCTATCTACTACTCACAGATAATGTCCCGGGAGTTTCCATTCGATTCATTGAATAATTGTTGAGCTCCATATGTAAGGATAGATTGAACGTTTTCCCCCGCGGATTCGTCATCGTCCATCTTTTGCACAATAAGATGATCTAGTACGAGCTTTTTCTTGCCGATCTGCATGATACGTTCTGTGGGACCAAATGGTTAGTGCATATACAGTACGGAGAGAGAAGGGAGCATGAGTGACCTTCCGCAGACTCCTTGACCATCAGCTTGAAAACTAGACAAGTTTTCTTCTGCCCGAATCGATGTGCACGCGCTATTGCCTGGATGATATAAGTTATGGACCCTCTTAAATACAGCACAATCCAACCTGGAGATCTTGATGCGGATTAAAGTCAGGATCGAAGATAATTACGGTGTCTGCAGTCTTATAAGCCTAGATACGATGATAATAAATGGTTTATATTTACAAACAAATTAATGCCAACGCCCTGGGAACGTTCTAGTTTAGCGAAGCAACAATATGAGAAAATTTTCGCTCACTCCAGCACGAGTGGTCAGTAGATAGACGAAAATGTCGGAATTCGGCCGATTAAACTCATCCATTCCTTTTTGCCTGTCCGTCCCTTTCGTATTTCCGTCCTGCTCAGGATAAATAAAGAGACTCCGGGATACATCAGATGCTCACCAGACGAAGGAACTTATGTCCTTCACCGACCAAAAAGTCTTCAATGATATTGAGCGCAATAACAAACTATATGAGGTCAACAAAAAAAGCGCTACTAAGAGGACATAGACCCCTACCTGACTGAAGATGAGCACTCGATGTCCCCGTACTTTCAGTTTCGGAAGAAGATCTTTAAGTAGGCGTAACTTAGCGCTGGCGTCAATCAATTTCTCATGCGTTTCCTTAGGCGTCAATCCGCGAGGTTCGATGTCTTCATCATTCAAATACGGGTGTTGGAGACACCTACAAAGAAATTCGTTGGTCAAGGAGAAGAAGTGTGGTTATCAATGTCAACACGAACTTGCGCAGCTGCATCAACATATTTTTAATGGTCGCTTTGCGAGAATGAGGATTTGGGCCAGTTGGTTGCATTAAGCCTTGCAGTAGCTCGAGATTGTGACCTAAGTTGGAAAGAGTTGGAACTATAATATGGACCAGCTCGAAAAAGTAGCACCTACTTAGAATTGAACGATAGACTTCTTTCTGAAGAGAGGACATTGATACCGGAACTATGACTTCATTCTGAGGGAGGATAAATCGATACAGTAAGAGGATATACGAAAATCACAGGCAAACCTTTGGAGGTAAATCAAGGACTTCACTTTTGATGCGACGAAGAAATTAGGGTCTCAGCCGGTTATGCAGATTTTTGATAAGGTCCTCATTGAGATCGTCATATTCTCTTTCAAGGGCATCGAGATCGTTCCACTCGATGGGGTCCAAGAAATTCATGAGATTGAAGAGTTCACGCATATTGTTATTGAGAGGAGTCTGCAGAAGGTGTCAGTCAATACCACCTCGACAAGAAAACAGACGCCTACCCCGGTCATAATGATACGATGTTCAGTGTTCAACTCATTCAGCTTCTTAAAGAGAAGACTGCTGTCGCTTTTCACTGTGGTTGTATCAACAGCAGGTCAGAACTTGAACAAGAATCAACCTCACAACGTTGCCCCTCATCAACGACCAACACCTTCGTTGATAGATTGAGTACACAACGCATAAATAGAGGAATAAGCAATCACCTCCCAACGTGGCTGATTTTTGAAAACAGTACCAAAATCTTTGGGATTGATGACCGCTTCATAAGTACTACAGCTCTGACTCTATCCTTAATTCCGTCAATGGATCCCGGGATTTCTTTTCTGGGGCCTTCCTTCCTCTCGTCGTCTTTCCCTTGGCACCTTCTGCAGTACTTTTACCCATTTGCAGCAGCTTTTCTTCTCTCTTCTGCTTCTGAGCCGCTCTGGCAGCATTGAATTCGGCCTGAAGTTCCTGTATAGATTTAGATGGAGGCCGTGCGACAAAGTTTACTGGGGCCAATGGATACTGAGGTAAAGGAAGAGCAGTTTTAGGGGATTGCAGGAAAGAGGCGAGAGATTTGGTTTGAAGAGGTGTCAGATCTTTCACCCTACATTTGTCGTGTATCTGGAACCGGGTGCATAGTCGATGCGAAAGGTGAGGACCAACTCCGTATATAGTCGTAAGGGCAAACTGAATACATGCGTTAGCATAAGGTGTACAAAGCAAAGAAAAGGCATAAGAACGAACGCGAGCGAGCTGGTTATCAGGTAAATTTATACCGAGATTGTGGACCATGGCTGTGGTATGTCAAGATTCTGAAGTGCGCGCGAGAAAATTCGCACCACTCGGACCTTTCCTTCCAACCATCACCACTCCACACTTTACGATTATCTCTCATCCCATACCCAACTTATTCTATGGCTACCAGTAAAGCTGAAGGACGTCGCGAAGACGCTCTCGCTAAAGAATGGGAACGAATGCGTGAAGAGTTCGAGCGCCAGAAGAAGAACCTCATCGACGAAACCGAAAAATCCCGCCCTTCGTCCCATCGTTTCGTCAGTCAGAATGATTCTATGGAAGACTCGCTCAAATACAGTACCGTTTGGCTCGTACATCTCGAGGAATTTCAACAAAAACGAAAAGAACTCGAGGAGGCGAAAGCAAGCTAGAGAGGCAGCACGCACTAACGAGCTCAAGTATGTGCTTTCTTGCTTTGTGAACAAGATCAGATGGCTTATAGGACATGGAGAATTTCTTGAGGGATGACATAAAGAAGGTGAAGAAGAGGAAGAAGGCCGCTAAGGCGACGTTGTCTTTTGCTATGGACGATGAAGGCGAGGGGGAGGAATCTATCAGTAAAGCTGAGTCCGAGCCGCAGTCTGCATCCAAGGATGAGGAGGATGCAGAGGGTGATGGTGATGACGAGCGGGCCAAGAAACGGAGCAAGTTTCGCAAAAACCCCAACGTCGATACCTCGTTCCTACCTAACAGAGAGCGAGAAGAGGCGGAACGAAAGGAACGCGAGCGACTAAGGCAGGAATTCCTTCGGAAACAAGAGGAATTAAAGAATGAGGATATAGAAATCACGTATTCCTACTGGGATGGAAGCGGACATCGGAAGAGTGTTGTGGTGAGCTGCAGCCCCGCTCGTCTTTCCGCTTTTCTCGGGTCTAACAAGCAGTTTGTACGCATGAAACCTCCACCGCGCTCATTTGATAGTGTAAGAAAGGCGACGCTATCAGTACCTTTTTAGACAAATGTCGACAACAGTTCCCCGAACTTCGTGGTGTCAGCGTTGATAACCTGATGTATATCAACTTCAAGGTTGGCATTCTACTCTTTACTCTCTGATCTATGTACTCTCGCTAAAGTTAATATAATTTCAGGAGGATCTTATCATACCTCAAGTAATTACCCTCTAAATCCCTGCATTTCCGACATGAAACAACTAACACCGTTTCCCTTAGCATTACACTTTCTACGATTTCATAGTCAACAAAGCCCGTGGCAAATCTGGATCTCTGTTCAACTTTGACGTCCATGACGACGTCCGACTGCTTGCTGATGCGACAAAGGAGATGGATGAGTCGCATGCTGGAAAGGTGGTAGAGCGCAGTTATTATCAGCGCAACAAACATATCTTCCCGGCTTCTAGATGGGAGGTGTTCGACCCGGAGAAGAATTATGGGAAATATACTATAGCGTAGACTCGCTTATGAGTATACATACTGAATAATACTGTACTACTGAGTATCAGATATTTGGGATGAACAGTTGGAGTGATAGCAGTGATCTGGAATCTTCTTCCGCTATAACCTTTGACCTTTTTCTCAATGGCTGGTACAGGAGCTCGAGAAAACGTTTTCGCCACTCGTATGGCACTCACGAATACCAAGCTTCGTCTCAAAGGAGCACAAACTGGTCATTCACTGCTAGCGAAGAAACGAGATGCATTGACGACACGGTTCAGGGCTATTCTCAAGAAAGTCGACGATGTGCGGGTTGGGTTGGAGCTGTAGCTTGTTTTATCTCGATGGTCGCTCACACACATATTGAACTTTCAGGCCAAGAGAAAAATGGGCCGAGTAATGCAGCTGGCGTCGTTGTCGATGGCGGAAGTCACCTACGCGACAGGGGATATATCATATCTTGTTCAAGAACAAGCTAAATCGGCGTCGTTTAGAGTAAAGTCTAAACAGGAGAACGTATCGGATGTTGTGCTTCCTGCGTTTGAGGTCGACCGGGTGTCGGAATCTGGTGTGTTAACGACATCGCATCGCAACTGAACGAACTCTCATACCTTCTGTTCTTTCTTTCTTTCTTTCTTTTGGTAGACTTCAACCTCACTGGTCTCGGTCGCGGCGGACAACAAGTTTTACGAGCGAAATAAGTATATGCCAAAGCCATCGAAACGCTTGTCATCCGTGCAGGAGTTGATTCGTTATACCTCCTTGACTGCAGGAAATATGAAGCCTTTGAAAAGGACTGCGCTACAGATTACTTACCGCAAGCAAACTCCATCCAGGAATGCAGCCTTGGGTTTGAATTGGCTTTGTCCGCTGGTGCCGTGATTCTGATTTGTGAAATGAGCGACTGCACTGATTTCTGAGAGCTTGACGAGGAGAGTGCCGTCTTTCAATCGAAGATCTTTGGTGGTGTTGCTGCCGGCGCTATAATTCGATTTCAAAGGTGGGCTAATCCAGTGGTTCGAACCAAGGCGGGACGTACCTGACGTTCCCATTGGACGCGCATGCTCTACGATAATTGGTTCCAGACCAACAGCTCCTCATTGCTCATCTGGGGGCTATTAAGCAGGTGCTATGTGAGTAACAATGCGCATGAGAAGCTTCGAGCAGAGTTTGACTCTGCAGAACCTAGTAGTACAAGAGCAGAGTAATTAAGACAAATGCGAAGCAGAGTACTATAGTCGCAAACATCGGCAATCACACGTGACGGCATTTGTCTTTACACTTGTACTACTACGTTCTGCAGAGTCAAACTCTGCTCGAACGCAATTAACAGACCATTACACGGGCCAATCTTATCCACAGGTACGACCGACGGTCATCGGAACCCCGACTCTGAGATTTCTATGATGGATACGACTTTTTTCGCAACCTAATCCTCCCAACGGGTAAACTCTCATCTCATACTCATGTCCACCACCGAATGCTTTATATAGGGTATAGCTTTGAGGATCTTTCACTGTCAACTGTGTTGTCATTCGAACGTCTCCCCCTCATCTCATCTCTTAATTTTCAGAAGAGAACCGACCTCCGATGGCACGATGTCAGATCAAGAATGTGAGGTAGCGTACATATATTGCTCAATGTCGTCCTCTCTCCAGTGAAACATCGTGCTTGAAAGAAGAATCGTCACTTAAGAGGATCGGTTGAAAGTACGTTTTATTCATACAAGTCTTAGCTCTCTCTGATAGCGTCACTTTATCGTTAGGCCGTATCAGTACCTCCTAGCATCGTCTATCAAAAAGCCTCAACAGTGATGAAGAGACCCCATACGTGAAGCGCGAGGAGAGACGAGAACCGGGAAACCATCGAACTCATGCTCTCAGCGTTGAATCGTTTGTTTTATTTGTTGACGGCGATCCTATAGACGGAATGAGGGCTTTATCGGTTACTCCTGCGAGAAACGTATGTGGTTGACTATGAAATGATCATACATTGCATTCTGACTTTCACTTTCAGGATTTACTTTAAACGAAATTGCCTCGGGAAACATCCCGTCATGTATATATGATTTCCTTTTCAAGCCGGGAGGGTCTGCTTTGACCTCCCAACAACATATGTATCTTCAGTCTATGTTTTTGTCTGCCCCTCCACGAACGTAGCGTTCATTCTTACAATAATGTGACCCGCGCCCATAATATCTCGAGATGGTTTATGTAGACGCAAATTCATTCAGAGCACAATTGCGTTCTTCACGAGATCGTTGGTGATGTCGTCGAAAATTTGATCCCATCGAATAGCACTGCTATAGAACAGGTACAAATTCTCGCACTTCCTAAACCTCACCCTTCATCCCCTCTGGCTGCCTAGACACTATTTTTTTTTACCACCCTATTATTACTACGCGCCGTCGCCATCGTACCGCTTCCGCTTGCCTATAGCGCGTTAACGAGGGAAATTCCGGTTACAAACCGTTTGTTGATGACGCTTTTTCTTCACGGCCGACTTAAACGCCTCTTTGACCCACTCTCACGCGTCCCGCCTTTTGCTCCATCTCACCGCGTCTGCGCTTCCACTCAAACGTCAGGACTTTTCAGCGGTCGGACATCGCCAACGTTCGCCCGTCTGTAACACGCCTCACCCTACGCCTCATCCCGACGTGTCTGCCTGCAGGTGTTTCCCTTCAAACACCAGAATCTCTCAATATCGGTCTCATCACCGCGCAGACTTTAGCCTCATCTTCTCCATTCTTCCTCCTCACTCAGCACCTATGCGTCGATCCTCCGGGGAGCTACAACAACGTTACGATATGCGAGAGATCCGGGTGATTTCAGATGCTGATGGTCCAGGATATCTATACGCTTACGTCGATGGTGATTTCTGGAAAGTGGGAATGTCGAACGACTCTGTACGACGTCAGGAGGAGTGGGATAAGGAGTGTCCTTGCTCATGGAGAAAATGGTTTCCGCCTATCCGGGTCGCGAACAGACGGAGAGCCGGTGAGCTTTCTTAATCATGTTTCCTGTTCATCTCATTGGTCTGTTCTAGAGTCCTTGGCGCATCTTCTGCTTGAGATGGAATGTCTTGACCGCCCGCGAATTTATTGTCAAAACTGTACGTATTTGCACTTCACTTTCTCAGTAGATAATCCTATATATGTCTAAAATACAGGTCAGCGAGCGCACATCGAAAAATTCGTTTTCTATGGACCTTTGCACATCGTCTGGACCACGATTGTTTATCCGATCTTTTTGAGGGCTGCTGTTTCGTGAAGGTACGTGGTTGTTCACTTTCTAAAGCATTTTGGTTGACATTTTGATAGTTTAAGTAGATCATAACATCAAAATTGTGTCTTCTTGTTGTTAATCTTGAATCTGGAAGTAATGTCTGAGCTGCAATATGTACAATACACAGACTAAAAGATGGGTGTCTGTGACTTTTTGGTGCCAAACGAGTGAATACTTATCAGTTACAGTAGAATCATCTAGATACGAACCAGCGGAACAGGTCCTCAACGGACGAACAATCAGATGTACAAAAATCTTCAAGCAGAAAATCCTCAAGTACTTGAAGATCCTCAAAGCCTTTCAAGCTTCAAGATCCTAAATTCATATACATGTATATTTCGAGTAGATGTATCAATAGAATACGATTGTCCTTCGTATGTCTCCAGCTCAATGCATCACATATACCGACACGTCACGTATACCGATATCCTCAATGCCATCCCGACATCAGGGACATCCCGACCTTTTGATATGTCGACTCGTATACCGATATCCTCAATGCCATCCCGACAACGGGTACGCATAGGCTCTGGGAGGTTTTTCAGAAAAACCTTGCCTTTTACACGAGGCGATTACTTGTATAATATTTGAATTTTTCCTAGCGAGAATTTCAAGCGATCATTCAGTATAACATTCCAATTCCACCTCCATCTATTCTATTAGAATAAATTAAATGACATTCAAGTAATTGGGGCCACTAAAGTCTGAATAATCGGCACGAATTTTGTGATAATTTCCTTAAAGAGGCTCGTTGTAGGATATGTAGAACATAGAGTCATAAAGATAGGTAACATAGAGCCAATATGTAAACTGATGAGTCTGTGGTTTTGATCTTGTCGCCTGTAGCGTATGATATTACGCTCGTTAGTCTTCGTCGTCGCTTGCTTCCCCCGTAATCCTACTATCCTCCTCCTCCCAGCCTACCTCGTTTCCTCCTTCAACTGTTGCATCTTCCAGCCTCGGCTCCCTAGTTTGCGGTGTTAGTTGTCCAGTTTTCTCAAATGTTTCGCAGTTCCGCTAGTGCCTCGATTCCTTCCTCGGTTCCCAGTATTTGCCCTAAATCATACATCCCATAGAAAGTCTCGATAGTTGTCGTATATTTCGCAAATTTGGATGATGTGATCTCGAGTTTATTACGAGCACCGCAGGGGCACTGAATTGATTCTGTTGGTACGAATTTGGCGTAGTATTCACCGAGGAAAGCATGTCGGGTACGGCAGTATATGAGTCGTCTGTGGACTTCTCTTGGGGTGTTATTGAAGTAGTGTCTTTCCAGCGTGATGGTTGTCCATCTGCCAAAGCAAATCCTCCTCGAGGGGTTCTGCGTGCGTGTTCCTTCTTCCAGTCATCCGGAGCCTTGGCTTTGGCTTGTCGTTTGGTGTGAGTGAAAGTGTGAAACGTGGGTGCCCAGAGTTTTCCCGCTTCTTTTGCTAACTTGTCCGCTCTCTCAATACCCTCTATATCATCGTGTCCTGAGTAGAATTGAGTAGGCATTAAGCATTAGGTATTGAAATCGACGTCCGCCACACTGCTTTCTTTCGTGCAACTATAAGAGAGATGAGCCGATAGCTTCGAAGAAACACACCTTGGACGGTGCCACCAAAAAGTATAGCACGTCATCTCTTCTCTTTTGCCCCATTGCATCGGTTCTGGGACAACTCCATCTGACGCTCTCAACAACGATAGAGCATGGACCTGCCACTATTTCGTTCTCTGGTCATAACGTTGTTGAACAAACGAACGTTAACGCTGTCTGATTGCGTAGTTGATTAATCAATGCATTATGTGGGGAAATGGAGAATAACTGGGCACATCAAAGATCTTGGAACCGGCTGAGTTAGTGCTGACATTGAGCTGACACTGAGCTGACACTGAGACGACGCGAACGTGAAATTTCGACTTTGTCGACGAGTGAGAAATCTAGATCGAAATCAGAAATATCACGCATGAACACATTAGCATGCTTTCATTGTTTTGGAGAATCGCAGGTATTCCGCTTATTGTGCATAAGTAATATTCCCATGGTCTAGAGAAACGATAGATTACCTATTCAAAGTTAAAGAAGTGGTTTCCACCAAACATAAGATTTTGGAATTCATGTTCGAGAGGAAACGTTACGTTTCTAGGGTCGGCGAATTTTATATTTTCGCATCACGTTTCCTCCTAGGGGAAACTTTGTGAAATGCCGTGTGAAATTTATCTGAGTTGCAATGGGCGCCTAATTTCCAAAAGAAGTAAATAGGCACTCAATTTACGGACCAAGTATCCACCGGAATTAGTGTAGTTAGTAGTCCACAGCTGCCCTCCAGTCCTCTCTAGCTATACCCCAGTTCTCCCTAGCTGTACCCTAGCTGTCCCTCAGCTGTACCCTAGTTGTCCCCCAGCTGTCCCCTAGCTGTCCCCTATAATTTGCCCCCTAGTCTGTCCCCTAGAAGTCTCTAATAACCCCCCCCTGTAACTCTAGCCTACATATATGAATAGGCCCACGAAAGATCCTCCAGAACCCTGTCCGGACTCCGGGCTGTTTTGGGTCTAAAGTTACAACGGACAAAGGCTAATCACGTGGAGTCCCAAAAAAAGCCCCCGTACTATACATACAATTTAGGTCGGTGCTTCGTAGCAGCTACGCCCAGACAAGGTTACGATCAAGTTTCAATCCACGCTAGATTTGAACATGGATCTGGCTAATCTTGGCCTCCAAAATACGCAATGTCGGACAGGGTTTTGGGGGAGCTTCCGGAGCTTCCGGGGCCCGCCTGTATGCAGAAGTGGCGTGGTATGGAAACCAGTAAATCCGTAAATTTGTAAATCTGTAAATTCATGAATTTGATGACATCATTATTTACAGCCTTGATATTCTTCTGCTCATCTTAACCACCAAGTCTTGAGCTTGATCATTGATCAATCTGCTCTAGACATGGATAAAGCTGTATCAGTACAATGATTAGTACATCTGCAAAACCTGGATATTCGGCTAAGGGCTGAGAGCAGATCCCAGCAGATCCCAGTGCTGAAAGCACCGAAAGCAACATGCTCTGGGTGCTTTCACTGCTGGGAAGTGCTCTCGACCGCTTTCGGACCCTTAGCCGAAAATACAGGTTTTGCAGATGTATGGCAAACAGACAGGCCCATGCCTGAGGTGTGGTACTTGTACACCAATTAATACACTGCTAACTACTACACTGACCATACACTGACCATATACTGATCTGTAAAACCTGGATGTTCATGAGACCAAATGATACTAGCTGAAGAGTGCTGTGCATGCTGTTCAGCACTCATAAACTACTGGGAGTGCTTTCCCAGCTGGACAGTGCTGTCAGCTGCTTTTGAGATCTTAGCCAAAAATATAGGTTTTACAGATTGTTGGAGAGTACTCCGTACGCCTAGCTTTGACATTTCCTTTTTTTCCTTCAATACTATACTTCCGTTTGGCTGCTTATCTTTTACCTATGTTTCGGCTTACCAACCCGACCTGGTGATCGGGTTATATATCTTTCGTTTCGCTAGTTATTCCCTCAGTTGATCTTTACACTCAACTGAGGTATGTTTACTCATTTCCAGTTTCCTTATTCAAACCTGTACTTATACAATCCTTAGTCTTATCTATTCCTACAGGTACTAATATAGTTGATCTTTACACTCAACTGAGTCTTATCTATTCCTACACAGATGTGACTGATACACTGACCACAATCCTAGGAAATTGCTTGCAAACACAAATTTGTACAAATTGTTATCTACTCTGCAATTCATTTAAGCCAAAGTCCTTGCAAGGGGTCTCCAAGAATACTGAGATATTTTTTGGGCATTCAAGTTATATAGTATTGAATTTGTTCAGCAATGTACTAATCTTTAAAACCTGTACTCTTAGCTATTTACCTGGGAACAGCTGGAAGCACTTTCCAGCAAAATTAATAGTCATGTAGGGTTTTGCAGATCAGTATACATACTGGCATTATCTTAGGGTACCAACAGAAATTTCATGTTGGTTGAATGTACCTAGTGTCCACAGATATTTTGCAAACTGAGGCAATGGCATGTAATAACACTGTCAACTGAGTTCACTGACATTAAAGATACACTTGTCACTGACATTAAAGATACACTGACATAAAGATACACTGACATTAAAGTACACTGACATTACAGATACACTGACATTAACATTAAAGTACACTGACATTAAAGATACACTGTCATTAAGTACACATCTGGAAAACCTGTTTTTTTGGCTAATTCTCCAAGAGCATCTGAAAGCACTTTTCAGCAGCCAGAGCAAGTTTAAAATTTTGATCTCAGTGCTTTGGGTGCTGGAGAGTGCTCTCCAGCCAGTACCCTTGCTCTGGCAAACACACAGGTTTTGCAGATGCATTGACATAGAGTACAACTATTTATTACAACTGCTATATTTATACATCACAACAACCATGAATTGTAAGTACTTCAAGTTGATATGCTGACTGTCAAGCTTGGGGAAACTCCTTGCAAGTAATGTACACTACTATAACACACTCACTGGTTTTTCAACTGTTATCCTGCACCTAATCTGCCTGAATACTATTCCAAGGTTTTATCAACAGAGCTTATCATATACATTCAAATCACAGAGGTGTTGAAATAACCACTGTAAACTGAAAATAGGAGATGTAAGTTGATAAGATGTGCCACTGGTGTAATAGCTCCCATGTGACCTCCTATTAGCTTCACGTGACCTCATTTATGAGTTTATGAATTTACGGATTTATGACTTTACCGGGTTCCATAGTACGGTAGGTCTCCCTGTATGAATATAACAGAAATTCGTTCTATAGGAGGTGAGTCTTTTTTTCGAGTAAAAGATTTTCTTGTTTCTCAAAGTACCTGAGTCTAGCTGACGGACAAAGATAATTACGGGACAACAAGAGATGTTGTGAAACGATCGCGCGCGACCTCCACAGCCTGCGACTAACCGCGTGCCTTACTGTTCTTTTCGTTCCGCCCCGCCAAGCTTCAGTTCAAGTTGAACTCTCTTTGAGGAGTTCATCCGACCGTTCCATCGTATCTCTGCTCCAACTCGTGATCTTTGCCGTCGGAATGTGGCATTAACCATGGTCATGGGACGGTATGTCAAATTTCAATATTCAATTTTCACTTGACATTTAACTAGGACTCAGACAGGTAATGAGGTGCCGGTGCGACTTCTTTCTGTTCTTAACCATGACCGGTTCGCTCACGTCTTCAGTCAAGAACGAGAAAGCTTCGGACAAACAACTCGAAACTGCTAGTGATTATGAATTTGGCGGAGAGTCACAATTACCTCGTCCTCCCGTTCTTTCCGAAGACAATGAGCGTAAATTATGGAGGAAGATTGACCTCCGTTTGATGCCCATACTCTGCGTGATGTACCTCATGTCTTTTATGGATCGCGGTGAGTAGCATATCTGTTTGCCATACACGCATAAGCTAAATGTTTGTTCTACTTATTCAAATGTTGCCCAAAGAGGCAACCGCCGCTTCGTCTTGATCCACCGACTCGGACTACTATTTGACTGACATGTCGGGCTCTCCTCCTGCTGGAGGCGGCTGGACACATCTGGTTCTATCTTAAATCGCTTCCAAATGACCCCGATGCGCTCTTTCTTGAGATCCCTTTAGCGCGAATGTAAAAACCTTGCCTTAACCCTTCCATGTACCTACGCTTTCTTGCGTATGCCATCCTGGCACTTGACGGTGTTGTCCGTGATGCCACTGGTACATTGATGATTGCCGATGATACGCAACTTGAAGAATACAGTATCTATGTCTTCAGTCTATGTGAGTCGTGTTTCACTCTCTTGTCCGCTGTTCTCAGTATTGTCTCCAGCCACACCAGTCGCTGCCGAAGAACTTGCCGCAGGTCGAGCCGATGTTAGATGTGGTTAAGCAACGTAGTAATTCTAGCTGTGGGACCGAGTCTACTCGCGCGACGAGTGTCATGACACTATCTTTACGCGAGATGGCATATCCCTTGTCAATGAAGTCCCTGATATGCTTTCACAAGCTTTACATGTTGTAGCCTATGCACGAGGTACACCGGTATGTTAGGCCGTGTGTCCGTGGAGGAATCTAGCGTGCTAACTGTAAACTGCAGTGGCTCCTACACCTCATTAGTATGCGTAGAGGATTTGAAGACTGCGAAGGCGTAGAAAACTTGGAGAACATTGACGTTCCTAGAAATGGCTTCTGTGGACAGTTTACACTTCATCCGTATTATGATTGTCATGTTTGTGTAATTCGAAGGTTATTTCTTTGCTCTCTCAGATCGCTCGGTGCTTATGTCTTACCAGACTCCAAATCATGTCCCTCGAACAAATGATATACCATCTTCACCCCTCTGCAATCGCCGCGGCGAATCTCCTCCCTCTGATTCACGATACACACTTCAATTTCTAGATGATAATCCCATATTTGAGCAGAACTATATACCGAACAATACCGACGGTGCTTCCCACCGTGGTCATAATTCATCGTTCCGTCCCTTTACTTTCCTTCTCCATTATCGCTATGGTCCCTCGGCTCTTGTACAGTGAGGTAGGGGGCTTAAAAAACGAATACCTTTCCCTAGCGAGGCAACTGTCCCTGTAGGTCGGTCTATGAAGCTTCGACATGACCGGGCAAAAGAGAGGAAGCGTAAGAAGTCTGAACGACAGGAAGGAGCAATGGACAACACTCTTTGGACAATCAAGGCGGTCTTTGAAGCCTACGATCCTCTCGATGTCCTGAAGATGATTTTGCCATGGTACGATAACGAAATTGAGGAGGCTTTCGACTAGGATGAGGATTCAGAGGTATCTCCGCCACTGAAAAGTTTGTCGAAGGATGAGGATATCATAAGATGGGGAAATAATATCCCGGTCATATCAATAAAATGTTTTTGTCACAGTACCGATGCGTAACACTACCGCTAAGTAACAATGTATGTACTATGTAAGTACCTTTGAAGCTTTGCATACTTTAGTTGATCTGTTTAGCCGGTGGCCGCGTGACTGCTGGCCCCATTCTCAACTTCTACCACCATGACTGCCACACCTCCCGCCAGCAAAGAGCTCAAGTACATGTTCGCGCATATCGAAAACGATAAACTAGTGGAAGACCCTGATGATACGACGTTCGACTATGGAGGTCCAGGAGATAATTTTGATTCCTTCATATCTCCCATTCGAAAACAGCGACCTCAAATCCATCGCAAATGGGTGCTTCTAGTGCGTTGCTCAAGAAGATCTTTTCATGAACTCATTTCTCTGCATAGGTCCCTGAAACTCCGATCATGTATGCCCCTTCAGAGACTCTCTGGGATCGTGTCGCAGAATGCCCGCCTGTCGAATACAAGACCGGATATTGGCATATTTGGGAGCCTGGCCCCGCTCCTGTTCCTGTTTTACCCAACGATTCCGCTTCCATATCCGTCTTTCTCGTTCCCCGTTCTCAGTACGCACAGCTGAATGAGGAACGGGACAAGTTGACCGATTTGCGGGTGAAGAACATCTTTCAACGTCCCCAGAAGGCTCCTTCCAAGGGTGCCACCGCCTCGACTTTCATTAACGACCATAAATCTAATCCCATCGCCATTGGGAGGCCCAAGCAGGACGACTTCTATCACGTCCCTATTTCCCTCTTCCATGCCGAATTTGCTCAATTCAAAGAAGATATTGTTTCCGGCGCTCTTGATCAAGAATTGTCACCCCTCGCTTACAGGTGGTTGAAGGAACTTTCAGGCTTCTTTGAGGACGAGAAGAAGCGAGAGTCCAAGTTTCACGAGCTACTATCCGATTTACTTGACGGTTACAAGGTGGTGAAAAAACAAATCGGCTCGTTTGAAACCGACGGAGGCATTGATCCGAATGATTTGGATATACCTGATCTGTTAGTTAAGCCCTTGCTTGTGGAGGTCAAGATAGAATTCACCCAAGGATCGTGTGACGCTGTCTTCGAGATTGTACTTTATGATCAGGAAGGGGTTAGGCTCATACTTTCAAACGATAATTACAAGGGTGATTGGCGAAAGACAAGAATTCCCTCCGTCCTTGTCATTCATAATGGTATGTCACAAACCTTTGTTGTTGCTCTGTCTGATTACAACATGATACAGGGCCCAATGTTCAGGCTCTAGGTGCCGTCTATCTAACCGATCAATACGTCGAAGTGCTCTCACCTTCGCTGCCGCTCTACTTCAGCGAGTACGATACCCGTTCTATGGAAAATCTTCTCAGATTTATGACAGCCCTCCGGAATCTCTTCCGCTCTCTTCTCAAGGTTTACGAAAAGCCAAACGACTACGCTATCGACTCTGATCAAGTCAGCTTCCCTTATCCTCGCTCATACCGGTCTTCCGGGACCACAGTTCGGTTCACCTACATCAAGCGAGTCAGCCAGATCCGCCTCGTATTCACCGCTCGTACTGAGGGTGATCAAGATATTATCGTCAAATTCGGAAACGGGCCTTATGGAGTTGAGGCGCACCAGGCAGCAGCTGAATCTGGCTTTGCCCCAGCTCTGCTGAGCCATTCTAATCTTGCTGGTGGGTGGTGGATGGTAGTAATGGAGAACTTGGAAAGTGACTTTCAACCATGCGACGATTTTGACACCCTCGAGCCGTCTTGCAAGGATGAGATTACAAAGTGTGTGTCCAAGTTTCACAAACTGGGTTTTGTTCATGGTGATTTGCGTGACACGAATGTGTTTGTGCGTCGAAAGCAGGATAGATGGGAATGTCAGCTCATTGACTATGATTGGGCTGGGCGAGAAGGAGAGGTTGTGTACCCGATTGGAGTGTATAACACACACAGTGTCTGGCGACCCGAGCTTCATCTGGACGGTCAGTTGATTACCTCTGAGCATGATAATTTAACAGTAAATGAATTTTTGAGACGACGCACTAAAATCATTCGTTTCTGATGTAATATTTCTTGGAATTGTACTACATCCATACGATAGTCTCAGTTGGTGCTTCCACACTATGTTTCATTATTTGTTTGTTTTATGGAGGAACAACCCCCAGGTAAATCAAGTAGGTATATTGTGAAAGTCTCGTTATGTGAACCTGATGTTTCGATTACAGGTTCGTTTTGCTCCTGCAACGGTTCCCGTTGTCCAATCTCAATCTCAAGTACCCGGTAAGTCTCGTTCTGAGGGATCGATATCTTACTCAAAAAGTATTCCAGTAGCGGAATACGGATCGTATAACGCAACATACAGTAATCCACAAATGGCCTCAACGATTCCCAATACGACTAGCAGCGTATATGGTGGCTCGACTAATGCAGGAACGATGAATGAGTCGCTCCCTTCTGGCGTTGCGTCCGGTCAAGCTGTGCCCACTGTAGTTGCTGCTACCCCTTCCCCGATCGCTACTAGCAGCAGTCTGCCTACCACACCGGTCGGCGTAGCTACCGTACTTCCTCAAACTGCTGTAGCTGCTGTACCTCAGGCTGGTGTAGGTTCCGCCATGCCTCAGCCCGGTGTAGGTTCCGCCATGCCTCAGCCTGGCATAGCTTCTGTTATGCCTCAATCTGGTTTGGCTTCTACTATGCCCCAAATCGGTGGAGCAACTACCATGCCTCAATTTGGCATGGCTTACAACATACCTCAAGGAGGTATGTCAGGTATACCTACCGCTGCTCTTCAGACTGGTGTACCTGCCGTTGTACCCCAAACGAGTTCAGCTCCCACAGTGCCTCAGGCTACTCCAGGGTCTGCACTCACCAGTACTTCTGCCTTCTCTGGTACACGTCGTCGTGCTCGAAATATATTTGGCGGATTAGGAGGACCAGGGGCCGGAGGAATTGCGGGCGGTGGAAATACAGGAGCTCAAATGGGAGGCATGGGAGGCATGGGCGCTGGAGGTATGGGTACGGGCACCCTTATGGGAGCTCCAGGCGCTTTGGGTGGCGTAGGAGGTATGGGTATGGGAGCTCCAGGAGCCATGGGTGGTATGGGTGCAGGAACGATGGGAAGCCTGGGTGGTATAGCAGGAGCTGGAGGATACGCACCCTACCCCAACGCCGTATATCCGTCGATGGGCTCAGGCATGGCTTACCCTGCTACCGTAGCTCAACCACAGATGCAGTATGGCGGCCCTGGAATGATGATGCCTTCTGCTCAGTCTCAACAAGCTCCTGTCGTCGTGTATACTAAACCCAGGAGGCACCATCATCATCGCTCTAGCAAACATGGACATGGATATGGGTGTTGAGATCGATCGGTACTGAGTATTGAATAATGAATATCGAGTTCTATTACAGTACTTATCCCTCACATCGCGTATCTACGAGACATCTTTTCGATTTTCCTTCTTTTGTATGATATAAGTAAATTGTTTTAATTGTACAGTAAACTCTTGGAGGGCTGTTGAGGAGCTTGGCACCGTCACATTCGTACAATGAGTTGATCCATCAAAGCGGAATTCACGCGCTACTTGACCTTCAACCATCATCCTCTTTTAAAGGCACAACGTATTGTACAACGGAACTTGTGATCTCGATATCAGTGCTCTTATGCTCTCCCTGTGGTCACTGTCCAGGTGATCCCTCTCAAAAACCTTCGAAACCGACTACTAGCTGGCCTCCTAGAAACCATCTGCTGTCTTCGTCCCTTTTCCGTGTAGTCATGGGATGACTATGGAGTATCTACGCCAAACGACCTGCCCAAGAACGGATTTTTGTTGTGCTTTCTATGTAACACCTGCTTGCTTTGCGGTAAATGCCGGGTTCGTATTCCGATGTTTGTCGAATGCTCAATTCTCAATTCCCTCTCGGGGCAGTTCCTAGTCTTTTCTTGGACCAATATACTCGAAAACAAAATGTCCTGGTCGGAAAGGCACGCGAGGAAATTCGGCTCAATTCCCCGGTCTAAAGCATACATCCGACTTGGGGCAAACGAAGAGAAAATACTTAAGAGAGGAGAGGGAATGCGATATAGTTGAGGCTTTCGTCTTCGTTCGTGATTGTATCGCAGCCTTTCCTTGGGGTCTTAAATGCCATGTCGCCAACGCACAGGCTCTATTTCCTTATCATGTGTGCGTTAATACCTCGACGGGTCCAGACTCAACAGATATACGATGTTGTGAGCTTATTCCCAAATATAACAAGGTCTTTCTACTGATGGACCTGGTTGCGCAGTGGCAGACTACCTGGGATCGATCGTCCCTATTTACGTCTTTCCCGCGAACCACGTCCACAGCGATAAACTTCAATTCGAGCACGAACTCAGTTCCGACGAGCGTAAATATCGTAGTGGATGATACAGTGGAATATCAGGATATCGTTGGTTTCGGAGGATCTCTAAGTGAGCAACGTTTGTTTATCCTTCACGACATATGAACAAAAAAATATTTATCAATCTCTTCAGCGGACTCCGCGGCTCTGATATTGAAGAACCTCAAGGTACGTTTCATGTTCCTGTGCGATCGTTTTTTCTAACCTCGACAACTTAGACTGCGAACTCGGGCAACTACTGGAACCTTTTGAATTACATGTTCAATCCAACAGATGGTGCGAATGCTGCCGGATTAAGCTACGTTCGCGTTCCCATTGGTGCTTCAGACTTTTCCGCCTCCGGTACGGGCTTGTAATTCGTCTGTGGTTCAACTTGTTCTTATCTTTCTATTTAAACGTGTGCGGTAGTTTACAGCTTGGATGACTCGAATGGCGATACATCTTTCCACAGTTTTAATATCAATCGCGCTCCAGCGTATCTTTTTGAGGTTTTGAGGGACATACAAACGATCAATGATCTATTAAAGGTTGTTATAATCTTCTTCTGTCCTCTAAACTTAGGACGGCAAGGTCTTGACATACTTTTTTTAAGGTTCATGTCCTTCCTTGGTCCCCGGTAATTGATTACTATGCTCATGACTTTTCTTCGCGGTTTGACCAAAATCTTGCATCACAGCCCGCGTGGATGAAAGATAGTGGAACAATGAATGGTGGTTCAATAAAACCTGATATGGTCTCATTTTGTACGGAGTGTATCGAGTCCGCTCAACAAATTTGACCTAAAGAATTCATTGCAGATCCGACCTATCTCCTCAAAGCAGTCGAAGGGTTTCAAGCGATGGGATTTCCTCTCTATGCTGTTTCGATTCAGGCATGCATGAACCCTTCATCGTTCACGTTTTCGTTGCTGACGTTCACTGGGGGGGGGGGGGGGGTGCTACAGAATGAACCTCAAAACTCGAATCCCACTTATCCCACCTGCACAATTGCACCAGATGTGGAAGCGCAAATCGGGTCCGCATTAAGATCACTGCTTAATGACAATGGTTTATCGAATGTAAAGATCATCGGCTACGAGGTAGACCCAGCGCTCTTCTGCTTTCATTCTTTTGATTCAGACTATTTTACTAACCGAGATGAACTTTCAGCATAATTGGGATGATGCTGGAGCGTATCCAGTAACTCTGGTCTGTGCCCCTTGGAGTATACTGACTTCGACGTGACGGCTCCGATGAACTTACTCGCTGTTGGAACAGATCTACGATGCGCCTGATGCCTTCGCTGGGGTAGCGTGGGTGTTTTTCTATTAACGGTATTCCCGTGGTGTGCGAATCTCATCTAACGCCCCTTTGTCATCGACAGATTCCATTGCTACGAAGGAAATGTAGACAATCAAGATGTCTTTCACAACGCTGAACCTTCCAAGGTATGCGTTCTTCTGTGGCAATAAGGTTAAGCAACCTCAAGCATTGTCAGTAGGACGTTTACTTGACTGAATGTACTGGAACATTGGGCTCAGATTGGTGGGGTGACATCAAGGTTAGTCTATTGTTGATGCTGAAACCCATTGAAATCGACGTTGTGTTTGCAGTGGTACATGGATAATCTGTGAGACTCATTGTTGAATCTCTCTTCTCGATTGATTTAGACCGAGAAGTAGATGGATCGGCGCATTAGAACACAATGCTAAATCTGTGAAGCACTTCGGATTCTACGGCCTTGTGATTTTTACTAAACCGTTTCCAGGGCCTCATGTGGAATATCGCTCTCGATGGTAATGGAAACCCGATGCTTCCAGGCGCCGTCAGTTGTAACAAAGGAGGATGCAGAGGTCTGGTTACTGTAAATAATGACGGCTCTTATTCTTTCAACCAGGACTTTTATTCCATGGCTCAAGCGTCGAAAGCCATCATTCCTAAGGACTCTGGGGGACCTTTTGGAAAACGAATTCACGTTTCTGTGACTGGATCACTTGGATGGACTCTCCGAGCTGGAGCATATATCACTCGACGAAAAAAATCCTAGTGATTGGTCAAGATATTCTATCGTCGTATCAAATTGTGAGCACTTCGAAATCTGTTGTCAACTAAATTAACGAGATCTTCTACTACACAGGGTATGATACCAGTCCCGCGGGAAGTTGGAGCCCCACTCCAGTTACTGCCTCTATCTCGTTCAGAGGCATGCAGGTAAGCTAAATAAATTCAGCAAAAGATTAAACGTTGTGCTGCGCACATGCTCCTAGTTCCGATGCTCAAACATTCTCCCCTAGGCTAGATATACCTTCCCCGTTGGGGTGACCACTTTATGGTGGTACGCACCCCCGATGTCATAAATGTCAATTCGGGTGAACTAATCTTCCCGCTTTCCACTATGTATTCGAGGGAATATTTTATGATTCGTATGCATTTACACCCCTCACGAATCCCGAGAGGACCATGATCATAACACATAGCTACCTCCGTCGACCTCCGTCGATTACTTATTTAGGCGGTCGACCCTGTGATACATAACACGCTTTTCATGGGCCTCACCGATTTTTATACGCTTTTATGTATCATGTATGTATCATACTACATTACATGTGATGCAGTTTGTATTATTTGTCCCCTTACAAGGCTGACTTTCTTCGAGTGTTCTACAATATGTGGTGAAGAATTTCTTCAGGAATATGGATCAATTGTACTAATTGTATATCAATTCATGCGGAGGTTGGGCCGTAAGTTCGCGTTGACTTCGAGCCTGATTGGGAACGTCGTGAGCTAGTACTGCCAGTCCTACTGTGTACTTACATATGCATGTACAAAGCAACGCGCGGTAGCAGCTCATTTCCGACGCGTTGGACTTGGATCTGGCTAAAAAAATTCTAAGAGGACATCTGAAGACGGTTTTCTTTTCTTGGCTGAGCTTCTCGTCTGTTTTATGTAGGCAGTTGAATTCCTCCTACTATGAGTCACACCAGAAGGAGAAAAAATTCCGCTCGACGGAATTACCAAAATTCAGTGCAACTGATATATCATGTGACCGCGGATAAACTATATCGGGTATATCGCCGGTCACATGATATATCAGTTACGCTGAATTGTTACGATTCCGTCGAGCGGAATTTTTTCTCTCTTTGAACTCTGGCGATGCGTTCGATGTCATCAATATGATTCTGTACTGAGTATCTACAATACATCTGAATGATTATGTATGTTTGACAGAAGGCTTTGCACACTGGGGGAAGGCCGAAGGCCTTCGGGTCCCAGCAGACAATGAGACTCTGAAAAGGAATACACGGTCAGCTGCGATGGGTGGGAGGGCCTACCAGCAGCTGTGCGCTCTCATTGTGCTCGGACTGCGAATTGTCACGTACCCTGACCGGAGATCTGTGGGTGTGTGGTGTGAGCGGGCACTCAGGATGAGGTAGGGCGAGGGTGAGTGACAGAAGGGCGGGTGGGTGTGGAAAGAAGAACTAGGGTGTTACTAGGGACTAGTACTGCGAGGCTTCGACGTACGTGTGTCGATGCGGTACCAGCAAGAGCAGGGAGTACCGCATCACGTGTCCGTTCGAAGACTCTAGTTTGTTACGTCTCAATACTTCGACTTTCAAACTGCCATCTTTGAACTCTGGCGATGCGTTCGATGTCATCAATACGATTCTGTACTGAGTATCTACAATACATCTGAATGATTATGTATGTTTGACTGAAGGCTTTGCACATTGGGGGAAGGCCGAAGGCCTTCGGGTCCCAGCAGACAATGAGACTCTGAAAAGGAATACACGGTCAGCTGCGATTCCCGGCAAGTAGGAGTGCACGACGCATCCAGCGACCGTGGATACCCCAGTGGGAGGAGGGCACTCACATCGTACCGGTGGCATAGTATAACGGATGAGGTCTTGGTAGAGTTCTGGTTGCATGTAGGGTGCCATGATCTCAGCATGTTTTCGGAGGTATAGTATGAAGGCATCGCTTTTCCATCTCCCTATTACCCGGACTGCATCAAACGGGACACCTCGGAGGAGGTACTCGAGTATTGCTCCAATGCGGATACCATGGCCTTGGAGGACAGGGAGACCTTGGTTTTTGGCAGCCTTGTTTATGCGTTGTAGGAAGGCGGATTTCGTGAGGGGCCTGCGGGTGGTTCTGTATCGGTAGGAGAAGAGGTGGTCCGAAGGTCCTGGCGTGTTGATGTTATGATGGTCTCGGAGCCACGATTCCGGGTCTGTGGAGCCTAGCTGCTTGGAAAAGTACAGGTCCTCGCCTTCAATCTGACTGCTTTTGGTACGTGGAACGTGTATGATGGTTGTCTGGAAACCGTTTCGATCGGTGGCCCTGCTGACGTTTGTTGGTGTAACATGTATGTCCGGGGAGAAGTCATTTAAGTTCGGCACAGTGAGTTCTCCTACTCTCGCTGCACAGTAGAAGGATGTTGTGAGGCAAGCGCCACATGCCACGTCAAGGGGGTTCGTTGGATCGAGGTCTTGCAGTAATTTGGATATGTGATCTGGGGTGAAAGGTACACGCTTTTTCCTGCGAGCTCGGTCCGGTTGAAGGCGTTCGGCGCCGTGAATGATGGTGTCGAAAGATGCTTTATCAATGTTCCATTCGACGCCGTGGATGATGTGCCAGGCCCGTAATCCATGCACGTAGTTTTTAACGGATGCACCTGCGAAATGTCCGGCCATAGTTGCTATCCAGGCATTGAGCAGGGTGCACGTTGGTCTTCGGGTATGTTCCGCGAGTCGCAGAAGACATGGAAGGCAAGTAAACCTGCAGCGTAGGTTTCAAGTGTGCTGTCCGCGTAACCGTTAATGAGTACTTGTTGGATACGGTTGACAAATTCATCTGGGAGCATGAGTGGGCGCCCAGCTGCATCTTCGAATATTCGCTTACTGGCCAGTTTCCAGGATACCAGACGGTTGCGAGCAGAAACGTGAGGGCGTAGTGCAGATGGTAATGGAGTTAAATTAACAGGATATGGGCGAACATTACTTGTATTTACAGTATTCACAGGTAGAAAAGTAGCAGAGGGATATTCCGAGGTGGCAGGACGACTACCAGGCGTTCTCAAAGGCGTAGAGTAACTTCCCTTCCTCTTCAGATTGCCACTGTCCAAAGGATGTTCGCGTGTGGGGCCGGCGTGGTTTAGATTCGTAAGCAATGTTTGGAGAAGCACCGTATTCACGGCGCTCTGCTGTAGTGTAGGGGGTGTCGTAGTCAATGATGAGGTGTATGAGGTCAAGCGGGATGGGGATTTTGGGTAGGAGGAATTTTGATTCGCCGCGGATGCCTCGAGAGAATGGGTCGGCTGGATTGTGAGCACTGGGGATATAGCGGGTGTGGACCTTGAAATTGAGTGTTGAAGTGACCTCGTGAACATGTTTGAATATATTGTTTGTATGTCGGTTCCTGCTTCTTCCATTCCACCAGCCTTCGACCACACCTTCGTTGTCTCCCCAGAGTTTGTATTGTCCTCCAGTCGTTGCTTCTCTAGCGATGATGAGGACAAGGAGATAAAATCCAACTGCCTCTGCCCATCCGATGTCCCGTTCTCCATCTTCTCCTTTCCAGCCTGGGAGGAGTCGATATGCTCGCCAGAAACCTTTGATATATAAGCCGATACCATAGCCGCTACTGGCGTCAGAGTAGGCATGGACATCGATGAGATCCGCAGGTCCTGGGATGGGTGAGGAAATGGGTGAGGATAAGGTGGACTTCCACCAAAGGAGGTCAGCTGGCCATCGGCGGGGTGCCCGGTGCTTTGTCAGCGGTGCCTCGTGGCTGAGTTCTGCTGCAAACTTTTCGAGCTCAATTAAGTAGGTGCGCCCTATTGGCAGGATTAGACTGACATGGAGGAGTTTCCCGTACATCTTGGCTACCTGTTCGGCATTGTGTGATTTTCTTTGCTCCCAATCTGCAATGGCCTCCAGGTATTTCTTCCGTTTCTTAGCCGGGATCGATACCATCTTTTCGCTAAGGTTCCATTGAAAGCCGAAATAAGTTGGCTCATTGCAGAAAGGGATGTCTTTGTCCACTGCCCATGTATATCCGAGAGGGATGGTAATGTGATCAATGTCGCAGAAGGCATAGCAGAATTTGGAGTCTTCCGAGGAGCGAGTGGAGAGGTGAGAGAGGTCCCTAATAGGGAATAAGAAGTCATCGTCGAATTCCTCCTGTTGACCATTCGGAAGTGTATGACCTAAGTACAATAAGCGGCCTTTGTTATGTATAGCGCCTCCTGAGGGGGCCACTCGTTCTCGGAGTTGATCCCGTAGTGAATTGTACTTGCTGAGGTGTTGCTTTAGGATTCTTAGCCATAGATGATCATTGACCCATTTGGTGAGTGGGCCTAGACCGTGCCCCCGACAGATATCAACCCCTCCGTCGGCAAGATGTCCAAATGTACCTCCCGCTGATGTGAGACCAAACATGTCCCTGGTATCTACGCAATATACATCTTCTGATATTTTGATGACTGCTCCAGGCCATTGGGAGGGGTGTAATGGAATTAGGCGGTATGCCTCCGAAATATCCCTGACTGCACCTTGCGAGCCTGGGGGCAGAGTCCAGATTAAACGGCATGTGGTTGCGAAGGTGCCCCAGAGACATGGATATAGGGTCGAGTCAATATGCGAATTAATGGAAGAGATTGTCGTATGCAATGAAGGGATGTATGTTGGGTGATAAGGATATGACAGGTTCTCAAGCAGTCTGTATTTTCCCGGTTTGTCGGATTTTGGGATCATGGAGATGGGAGATGTTTGGAATGGTCCTAGGACTTGCTCAATGGCTTCCCGGGGGTATGGGCCAAGCCATCGCCCCATGCTGATTTCATTTTCCATCACGCTCTGGAAGGCAGCAAGGGATTCCGGATCGTTGAGTTTATTAGGAGGAGTGAAGGTATGGTATATTCTTGGAATTCCGACGTTGAAGCCATGTTGTATTGATTCGATGAGTGAAGGGTATTTACTGGTTAGATTAAGTTCTGAAATAGCAAGTTTCCAGGCTTCGATTTGTAGCGGGGTGTTGACTCGAGTTTCACTCTCCTTCAGGGCAGCTGCTAGCTCCGTGGCCGCTGCCTGCACATCCTGAGCAGCGATGCTTCTCTGGGTGGGCTCGACTGGTGCAGCTGTTAGGACGTTGCCAGTCGGCGCAAAGTTCCAGCCCAGCGTTGGATCCATTTGTGATCTCGAGAAATCCTTGCTTGTTCCAGTTGCAGATGACTCCACGTTTCCCGTTCCAGAGGGACGTTCGAGAGCAGTGTCGAACGTCATGCTTGTCACGTCCGAGACATCGGTGACAGCGTGTAAGCGGCGGTTGATTTGAGTCCCGAAAGGAACGTTGAAAGTTAGGGTTGTCTGGTTGTTTGCTGGCTTTGTGAGGCAAAGTGGAAGGGTAGGGGGCTTGGCGAGATTTGCCTGAGGGTTGGCGTGCACTGGGAAATGGGGAGGTCGAGGTTGTTTGGGAGAGTTTCTGGAGCTTGGCTTCAACCCTGGCCTCCATTTGTGCCGTAGCAGTTTGGATGTCTGTAGATACGAAGAACATTGTAGGGTTGTCGCGGGGATCCCCATTGGCAGTAGCATAGGACCCCTGACAACCCACTAAGAGGCCTGTACAAAGTGCGGGTAAGAATAGGAGAAAATTTTTAGAATCCATGAGCCAAAAGAGGGTAAAAATCGCAATTTTTCATGCTGAGCCCTAGGGTAAAATTGGGTAAAAATGCTCCTTTCAAAAAGGCCTCATCTACAGTTGGGTAAAATGGCCCCATCGAGACTCGAACATAGTGCTCACTGAGTACAAAGCAATTGACTCTTGCTGTACCACTACACAATATTGACAACATATTGTAAGGTATTATAGACATTACTATACAGCTTGTTTATACATGTTTTTGCATGAACATCGTAGTAGTTGAATCTGGAGCTCAAGGGAAACTATGTGGATGATGATCCATTAGATGAGTCCATAATTTCAGCATAGATAAAACAAGGGAAGAAGAACCACCTGCAGTAGAAACAAACAAACAAAAATACATTTGGCAGCTTTCTGGCAAAAAATAAGCAAAAAAAGATGAAAAATCAAATTTTGGATATACCCTGACTCCTGAGGTCTAAACCGGGTAAGAAGGGGGTCTGAAATGAAGCCAGAGGAAAATCCGGGTAATAATCCACCTTTTGGACCCCCAAAAAATGTGGGTAAAACTCGAGTTTTTGGGATCAGGCCTCTTAGTGGGTTGTCAGGGGTCCTAGTAGCATTGGTAAAATTGTTCAATACATATTAGCATTGGTTATTGGCGTAAGTGTTAGCATTATTATTGGTAGTCATAGTAGCGTAGCATTAGCGGTGGGAGCAGCATTCACATTGGAAGTGGTTATAGCATTATACAGTAGCAGTTGTAGTGTTATACGGTAGCGGTTGTAGCGTTATGCGGTGTTGGTTTTGGCGGATTCGGGTTGGTGTTGGATGAGGGAAGCAGGGAGGAGTAGTGATTGTTAGATTATGCCTTGGTTTACTTCATGGGGGGCTGCTTACCTTTCAGACTCTTTTCCTGTTTTTGCTTGATAATTTCTCGACGGCTTTCTGCAATCACTCGGTCCGATATCACTGAGAGGTCGAACGGTTCCTTCCTTTCCATCGCGTCGTACCAAGCTAGTCGCATCTCTGCGTGGTAATGGGCCATTACCTGGTCTCCGTCTTTCTCCTGTAGCTCACGGTGCATGTCCATGTTGATGTAGAAGGCCCCGAACATGGCTATGTAGTTGTCTGGCCACGTCCCTAGCCCTAGTGCGTTGAGGAAAGCACTCTTCGCTCGCATGACTTGAGGCCAGGATAGTCGGGAGTCAGGAATGGCGTTTGGTGAGGCACGAACGGTGTGAGATCCCACTAAGGAGACGGTTGACCCCGAGAGTGTATCGCCGTCTTCTATTGCGAATTGCAGATGATTGGTGTCCAAAGAATCCTTGCTGCGTTCCTTCGCCTCTATCGCAGCATCGGGGAGGAAGTACCATAGGGGAACGTACTTTCGGGCGGTCATCATCTTTTTGGCATATGGGTGAAGCTGCAGTGGGATCGAGTCTACTCCAACTCCTTTCTGGAAGCTGTATATGGGCAAGCGCTTTTTCTCGGCTTCTTTCGCTAGCTCTTTCTCTTTCTCCTGCTGTTCAGCTGCAGCGAGTCTCTCGGCGTCTGCTTCCTCCTGTCTCCGCTGTTCTCTCAAGGTCTCCGCGTCCTGCAGTTGTGCTTCGTATTGAATCTTCAGTGCCTCAATGTGAATTGCCCACTGGGCTTTAAGGTGTTCAATGGCGAGCTCGTCTGTGGTAATTTCGGGGGTGTTCGCGTCTGTGATCAGCGCATTTCGCATGAATGCGTAGGCTCCGCTTGCAAAGTCTGGTGCGGGTATCTTAGTGGGGTCGACTTCCAGTCGTTTGGTCATTTTGTGAGGTTCTTTATTGAAGTAGTGAGAGAGAAAGAAGAACTAGGGTGTTACTAGGGACTAGTACTGCGAGGCTTCGACGTACGCGTGTCGATGCGGTACCAGCAAGAGCAGGGAGTACTGCATCACGTGTCCGTTCGAAGACTCTAGTTTGTTACGTCTCAATACTTCGACTTTCAAACTGCCATTTCCGGTGTGAGTGGGACATACAGTAAAAACAATTCAGTTCCAGGGTGTACATCAGTCAAGTGGCTGTGAAAATTCATCAGAGCGCGTGGATGAGTCAGACAAACGTGGTTGATATTCTCCAACATCAACTTCAGTCTTCTATTTTCGCAGGTGTCTTTCTAACAACAGTTCTGATTCTGCTCTAGCAAATGTCGATATGCGCCTTTGTTTTCCGACATTATACAAATTTGGCAGGCTGTCGACATATATATCTCAGTGTATACCCTTTCAGCTGCTTTGACTGAATATTTTATGTCAAAAACAACAGGTTCAGCCAACACACGAGTTTTCAACGTGTTGTTGTACCCCCTCGAGGCATGCATCGATTCGTACAGCGTTACGACCCGGCTGCAACCGAATATTTGCGACATTACCTAACCATACTCGGCGCACTCTTAGTGGTACGATCCGACAAGTCTGGGCATCTAAGGATGCGCCTTTGAAGATTGAAAACTTCTTTGCAAGTCCCCGAAATGAAATGCGCAATGCAGCCGGGCTCGACGGAGCCCTTTGACCACCAAGGGAGACTTAAAGAGAGCTTTAAAAGCTAAAGGGAATCCAGTAACTTCGGTCAGTAATTCTGATCTGATTCGACAACAGCTTCGCTAACGAAGTTCTTGCCTTCAGGTGCATCACCTGCTAGTCACCCATTCAACTCATTTATCGGTAATCGGCTGTAAGCAAAGTACCCAGACAATTCCTGAGCGCTTTAACCGATTGTGGAGCGCGACATCCTGTCCTAGTGCGCTTTTTTACTACATTATCTGAAAGTTCTCACCCGAAATGAACCATTCTCGATTTGCGTAGACCAGTGATATTCTAAATTTGGGACCTGACAAACTCTATTGACATCTCGGTATATAGGTCTCAACCATCCCATAATTTTCGTCCTTGGCCGCCTTTGTCTACTACAAGCATGGCGTCCTATCTCCGGAATTTGTTCGGTGGTAACAACAACTCGTCTTCACGATCACGGTCCTCATCAAAGGGGCATTCTGAAGGCTCGCAAACAAAAAGCCACAGTCATTCCCGGTCTTTAACCTCTTCTACTTCGAAACCCACTGTTGTGTACGCTACTTCTTATACTACTTCAACTTCATCAGCACGAATGCCAAGTCCTTCGCGAACCCAAAGACCGTCGCCTTTGCGTTACAACACTTATGACTCGACGCCAATCTCTTCGAAGACACGGCCTATGCGTCCGCTCGAGCTGCGCTCTGGATCTGTCAGTTATCAATCTGGTGATACGTGTGAGTGTCTAATTATCTCTTCCTACCATGACATTTTTCGCTTATCGTCGTATTGACTCTATAGTCGTTCCTTACCCAATTTATACTCCTGATCTCTCGAGCAACTCGCGCACGAATTCCAATTCTTCGCTTTATCCAGCATCTTCTGTCTCTGGCCATGGCTATAGCTATTCCTCTAGTAATCCGGGCAGTCGACCACCGATGGCTCCACGGACATCGAGCTCCGGGAGCGTTCCTGCACGGCCTGCATTGAAACAGACAAATACATGGCATGCTGGAGAGTCACCATCTCGTAAGTGGCAAGCGGCATTAAATCAGCCGTCTTGACCTAATCATCTCTTATTATAGGTTCTCATTCTCATGTTTCCTTCGTAAACCCCAAACGTCGAATTACGCTTCACATGCACCCTCTGCTCGCCGCCTCCCAGTTTAGTCGTGCACCCATTTGTTATGACGTCTCTCGCCCACCGTCTCCTCAAACAATCGTCGACCGGAGCACTCGAAGTGCTATACCTACACATACGCTCAACCAGCCAGCTACAGATCCTCCTACCATGTCCAGGCTCGTTCTTCGAAGCAGCAAGTTTCCTTGGCCTATAGTAGTGGATGCTGGGTGCTCTTCTCAGAAAAAGACTGTTCCCAAATTTTACTTGGGTGGATCGTCACCTACTAATTCTCACTATCCGTCCTCCACTTCCGTCTCTTGTGCTGACGTCCTCCATGCGGTGCACAACACGCTCTCGCACGCGGCCACGCCGGAAGAGTGGGACGCGCTTGGTCGTGGAAGTCATCCTCAACGCAAGATTTCCCGGGCGTACGACCGAAGATGTCGTTCTCTGGGTAGTGGATGGGACGGAGGAATCCGAAGGGTGGATCGGTTAGGGGAGAAATGCCGTCTTGTCGGTGCGGAAGTCGACAAGGACTCGTGTTCCAGCGTTGGGAATCTAGTTTTTGGAAGATCCTGAACTTGCGTCGACTTCATCCTTCTGATCCTTTCGGTTATGGACAATGTCAAAAAAAAAAACCTTCGTTGCGTTGTGCTCACTGCTTTCAGTCACTTTCCTTTTCTTTTTCTGTAAACTTTGGGGCTTTCTGGCTTTCTCAAGCATTTGTATTTTTTCTTTTCAACGATTTTACGAACGGGACAACACACGGGACACCACATACGATATCACCACATACGATATCACCACATACGATATCAACACATACGATACACCTTAGCGGGTACTACTTACAAACGGACACGCATTGTATATACTTCACAAGCACTTTCGTCATTTATGCACAGCTACTGTGTGATCTACGAACATGGAATATAGTAGCCCATGTTATGGATCGAATAGTCTATGGAGATAGTAATACGCATCGCCGCGGTGTTGCGAAGAACGCGACGGGCATGTGATCGTACCTGCGTCTGCAAGAGCCGGCGGCCGGCATTATAATCTCTCGAACTGGAATCTGATTCTCTGTGGCCTACTCTCCTATTTTGGTCTATTTTCCTGGTAGAAGAATCGGGAAACCACTCACTGTTCTTAACAGGAAACCCTCAACAGTGAGTTCATCCCACTTACCCTTCAGCAATCATAACGTTGTCCACTGGCAAGCGCGAATGAGATATGTCACTCAGTTTCAGTTTGTCGTCTTATCTCCCACCTGTTTAGCTTCAGAAGGGGAGTCTGTATATGCTGGAAGAAAAGATTCGCTTTTGAGGATCTTCAAGCATCTGATTGATCTATTAATACCGTCAACCTGAGGAGAGTCTGGGAGAGTAAGTGTGTTTCACATGGGTACGATCCTATATACGGTTTACCTTAATTCCTCCTTCCCGACCCCGTTGCCACCGCATCTCTTTTGATACCCGTTTAACGTTGCCTCGAATAACAGAGCGCTGATCCCAATGCAAAAGGAACACTAACACCCACGATGTTCCTGCAGTCCTAAGGGATCTAACACATTCGCTTTTCAAAAGCAGATACGGAACACCCATATAGAATATCTGCGATATACATGACAAGAACACAACCCATCACAAGATATCAAAGCGCTAATTATTTGACACTGCTCATAGAAAATCGCATTGTTGGGTTCGTGACGTCCTGACCCTGCTTTAGATACTAAGTACTCATTTGAATATCCTCATCCAATCCATCCCCTCTTCTCTGGCATCTCTCCTCAATGTCGCTTCCCAGTATTGATGAGATGTTTCCGAGTACGTGTACGCCCTTCATATCATCGCAGCCCCTTTGTCTGACACCGTCTTGGTTAGTTCAGAACTTTACCACCCAGGCGCCGATTGGAGATTTTGGTCAGTTGTGATAAAGATGATTTTCATGTACTCGTTGAGAGCTCTTGAATCAGGCAAAACAAATGGAGAAATCCCGTCATAAACACACTCATCAGCACGACAGTGATGGCGAGGTTTCACCCCACAGTCTATTCCCGGTCTCGACTTCAAATCGTGCAGGATCATCTGATGGTGGACTCGGATTGGATGTCGAAAATGACTGCGACGTTCAGACAAAGAAGCATGTTTGCCCCGAGTGCTTCAAACGCTTCAGTCGTCCCAGTAGTCTTCGCATTCATACGAATACTCATACTGGTATTACCCGTACGTCCTTCAGTTTACTTGTCTAGATGTCCAAAATATTGAACAAGGATCTTTAGCTTTTTCATGTCCATATCCGGGATGCGGAAGAAGGTTCAACGTGAGCTCAAACATGCGTCGTCATTACCGGAAACACGATTGTCAGTCTCCCGGAGATACTCTGAGGAACTTGAGCAAACTACATTCCAGGCCCAGTCATCCTTTTTGGCATCCCAGACACTGAAAGTAGAAATATTCTTTGGATAGTGGACAGTATGTACAATATGCTGTACTTTAGATGGTGTGCCTGTATCCTCTAAACAGTTGGTGACTTGGGTAGTGGCTGAGGTCGGTGAGTGAGTATGTACGCGCTGAGAGAACAGTATACTTACGCTACCATAATCAATTGTAGTGATCATCTCGCGCGATACCAATATTCCTGATACTAGTGAAGCAGTAAACAAACGATACTGGCCAGTGGATAAGGAGAGAGAGAAGGGCGTACGTTTTCCGGACTGAAGATTGTCCAAATCAATATTAATCTCCAACTCCGGGGCAGACTGTGAAAGAAGCTGAAGAGCTCAGTACGATAAAATCGATGTCATGAGACTTTACGAACTTCCATGGTACTGGGTTGGTGCGCGTGATTTGGATGGTGAATCACGTCGAGGGGACTTTGCAATGGAGCCATTGCTACGTTACGCATCCGCTTGTTGGAGGACGAGCGGGGTAAAAAGTCGAAATCAGTCACCGGAAGGGCCAACGTCTCGCGGAAACTCGCTCGGGAGTTCAACCTGAATGCGACCCGGTTAAACGTCAGTCACGGTTACGATATTGGTATGGCTTAAAAATGACTTACATTGTCACTGCAATGGGAGTGAAAATGAGGCGGTACAAATGAAGATAGAGTTCTCACTCATGGTAATAACATAGATCTTGTCCAACATCATATGAAATATCATCCTAATCAACCCATGATTTACTAGTAGTGGAGAAGCAGTCCGAGATGTACATATAATCTATCAACATTGGTGTCGAGACAGCCCTTGGCCTCTTCCCTCATCGAGGCTCGCCACAATTGAAGTGGGTTCAGCTATTCAACTCAGCACTACTGGCTTTTTAAGACTACGATTTCCTATTTCGAGGGGGAAAATGTGGGGAGAAAACGAAGGAAGAATGATCCTGGTTCCTCTGAGCAATTCTTACAGCTAGCACAGGACCTTAAGCGTCTGATAGCATTACAACTTTAACAAGATGTAAGTCCCACCTATTTGGCCATTGTGGTGGATGGTGCAAGGATAGACAGAGCGAGAATCTGTGCGTGACGTATCGCCTGCGGGAGGTGCAGACATTCCAGGTCCGGCGGTGGACGCTGAGGAAGAGAGACCAGAGGCGCCAGTAGAAGAGGAAGTAGTTAGAGGTGAGGGCGAGGTGTCACTTGTGTTGTGACGTTCACCACCGCGGAGGTTACGAAGAAGACCGGCACCTCGTTGAGTGGGTGGATCGGTGAAGTTGACAAGTGTAAGGAGATCGAGAGGAATTGGACGGCGGTTCACGAAATGTTTAGTAATGTCATCTTTTGCGCGGGCTTTGGTCATGACAACTACAGAAAAAATTAAGTTTCAAAGAAAGCTTGGAAAATGGGACTCACAATAATTGTCAAACAGTAACACGAAAAGTTCACTCCAACCACTCCATTCCAATCCGCCATCCGGCTGACGAAGCAAACGCCCTGTATGAATGAGGGAGCGATTAAGATCTATATCCTGCGAACGAAAAAAAACTATTGATAAATTGGGAGATCCTCAGAAGCCAGACTCACGATCCATTCCCCTGGCTTGAACACGATATTAATATTGTAGCTCCACAACTCTACTTTTTGCTTTGCACTAACAACGCCAGGTTCTGTATCTTTCCCTATCGCCTGTATCGCGTCCAGTACCTGGGGTATTTCTATCCGGTCTTCGTGCCCTTCTGGAGTCTCATCCAGAATCTCTTTGAGCAACAGCTCGTATCGGAGTAGACGGGGAATCGGTCGGTTGATAAAGTTCTTCATGTCAAGACGATGGGCGTCGGGGTGACGAACACATTGCTGTTAAGAAGAGATACAGGATCAAATTATATCAGGACAGTTTTAACCACCAAGAGCATGACTGACATCGACGAACGCCTTAAAAGCTGGATCATTCGCCATCTCATCATCGATCCTGTACGCTGCAATCGGGTAATGTATTCCATATAAGCGTCGCGGGGTTGAGCGCTGCATCGAACACAGCTGCTGTGACAGATCTAGAAAGGAAGGGGAAGGGGAAAAGGCAGACGCTCAGACATCTGTAGTAGCATCAGTCAATGGATACCAACTTACCTGATGACAGGAAACTCTTCCGTCTGCACTTCGTGAAACTTCTCTACTAGCCTCTGATGATGCGCATGTAGTTCAGCGAAATTATGAAAGACGTCCGTAATGAATGACTCGAGACGATCTCGAGGAATAACAGGTGGATCCGCTTCTCATAACAAACCTGATTTATGAACAGTCGGTAACCTAGTAGCTTTGACAGGAATCTTCAACGGAGTCATTGCTGCTCCTGAAGGCAAAGCCGGTAACGACGAAGAAGTGTTAAGCTCTTCTTCTCCTTCTCTCTGTACATTTCAATTAACGCGGCCGTCTTTCCTGACGTGCCTGACGTAGAGCCAAATGTGGATGTGAGGACAGATGGTTTCGCTGGGGGAGTTGGGGAGAGGGCCACAATGGGAGCGATTGATGTGAGAGCGGAGAGGTTGGAAACGGGCACTGGCGAAGGATTAGATGAAGCAAGAGAAGGAGCAGGCGAGTGAGGGAGAGAAGACGATCGAGGTGGTGGTGAAGTTGCTGGCAAAGAAGAAAATGTAGTGGAAGTAGAGAATGATCCGCTCTTTTGATCAGGCGGTAAGCTCGGTAACGGTCGTGCCTTCTCAGTTTCCGCAGCGTAAAGTTTATCCAAGTCCCTCGGAGCGTCGTCGTGTTCGTCGTCAGATCCATGCGCATATCTAGCACGTGGATCATCCTCGTCGACCTCACCGACCTCAACTGCCTCAATATCATCAGCATCAACATCATCATCGATGTCGCTATGCCCATTCAAACTACCAGGAGCAAACATACCCGCATCCCGAGACGATATCGCTTCTGGCTGACGCACATTGAGCAGGTCATCATCTGAGCCTTTGATAGTGATTTGTCTGAGCATCTTTTGTGATGCTCTCTTCTCTTCAGGATGAAGATCAAAGTCTCCCAATCGGCGGTTAGGTACGGACAATGTGAGGGGTTTGAATTCAGGATCTTCCTCTGTGTCTGCGTCAGGGAAATTGTAGGATTCAGAGGTGTATGAGGGGTCGAGATCGCCACCGGAGGTGAAGAATTGTTTGGAAGACTGGGTATATGATTGATCATCGTGATGACCTTGACCTCCAAGACCATGACCAGTTTTTCTATCCTTCCCAAACCTCGGGACCATCTGTACCTCGACATCATCTGAGTCTGAGTTCACTTTGACAGCAGATGTTGCGGAGTTCCCTCGAAGATACTCTCGTCGTCGTCTATACCAGGATGCGGCTGTCCACCTCTTAACAGCACTTAACACCCTAGCTACTTCTTGCGAAGCTTCCTCCGGGCCTCCATTTCGTTTACTTGCTTCGACTGACACTCGATGAGCACCATAGCCTGTAACGACGATATCTACCCATGCTTCGTCGTCGTCAAAATCTCCTCCCTTAGGACCACCACCTAATCCAAGACTGAATCTCTTCCCTCTACGTTCAGAGCGTAGACTGTCTCATTCAGCAAGCCTTGCAGCGCGTCGACGCCGAGCAGCTTCTTCAACAAAACCATCTCCCCTAGTTCCATCCAGCTCGGGAACAACCCGAGCATCACCTCTTCCATCTAACTCTCCGTCTGATCCTCCTCTTCGACCGCCTTCTCCAAATCTATCCCTGTCAACATCAATATCGACATCGCTTTCCCCACCCGACCCAAGCCCAGTCATCCTTGTCTCAAACTCAACTGTATGGTATTCTGCAGGGACAAGATTGGGCCTCGACTGCCTCCGGCTGGTTTTTGGTTTGGGACCTTTGAGTTTCAAAGCCGGTTTCGATGTACTAGAAGAGGGTTTCGGAGACAATGCAGCGGACGTAGGGCCTAGACGGAAGATATTTTTGATAGGCGTTGAGGTTATAGGAGACCTCATTTTGTGGTCGAGGTGCCCTGTGAGGGTGGAAGGGGAACCATCTGAAATTTGAACTTGTCTGCCTGAACGAGAAGGATGAGAAGGGCTTGTAGAGTGAAGATAACGTGTAGGCGTAGGCGTCGAATCGTTTCGTGAATCATGAGGTGTTGGAGAAGATGAAGTAAGAGTACGTGTACTTCCACTGAAAAACGACACAGGGCCTGCTTTTTCTCCTTCTCCATCTTCACTTTGTCCTGGTCTTTTTTATCCTTCTTGATCTTTGCCTCCTTAATTTTCTGCATCTTTTTTCCTCTTCCGGAATCGCTCATCAACCCCAAGCCCAGGGTCGAAGTCGACGCACCGGGTGAGAACAGTAATCCCAAGCTGGTCCTGACTATCGAGCCTTGGGAATACGGTCTCGCAGATAACATGAAGTCGAAAGGGAAGTCGAGCTCGGAAGGTTGAGCACATTGAATGGATGGTAAACATAGACAGGATTAAGAATAAATGTAGAATGTATTCCTGCGAGCTGATGGCAGAGCTGGGCACGGTATTCGCAGGGGACATATTCTTCCAAGAGGAAGAGAGAAGTAGATGTTCGAGGGTCTTTATTGTTTGATGAAGGAGAAGAATGTGAATGGGAGGAGGGTAAGGATTTGAATTCCACCTATATCGTTTGAGAGGAAGAGTATCAATAAGAATGTGACAATTATCGGCCGTGATGAACATGAAAGGAAATGAAAAGTTTCATAAAAGGAATGATAGGTGGATGCGGGAGAGATATGCTCGCAAGCCTTGCAAACACCAGGACAAAAACTTACCATAGCCCAATTACACTCTTTGAACAACTCGTTCCTCTACTTGGCCTTATCCGCACGATCTCCACCATCCTTTGCCTCGTCGTCTCGGCTAACAGATCTGCTGAGAGACATAGTTGTTGTAGCGTTGGTGTTTGAGTCAGGACTGGCACTGGGATAGGAGCGAGTAAGGGAAAAAAACCCAGAGAGAGAGGAACACGGAAAAAGGGGAGCGCGGAGTACGAAAGGAGACAACGCCAGGGAACAAATGGAAAGAAACAAAGGGAAGTAGGGCAAAGGGAATAAAAGACTTACTGCGCCATCGAAGACGAATTCCACAGCCCCGTAACCAGATCACCCAACAAGCCTAAGCCTTGTTGAGAAATAGACCCCAGCCTTAACTCGGCAAACCCCCAACTAACCAGATCCGTCCAAACATCCACGAACGCAGCTTCGATGAGCATCTCAGATCCTGGGAGGAGGAGGAGAGGGGTGGAGTCATAGGTGAATGGTGGAAGGGCTTTTTTGTGATCGTGCGTTTCATTATTCGTTCAATTGTGAGGTAAAACAAATGAGGTGAAAAATAGGGAGTGATGCAGGAAGAGAGAAGAAAGAAAGGATGACAAAGGGTCACAGAGAAGAGGGAGGAGAAAGGGCAAAGGGTGAGAGAAGAGGCAGAAAAGAGCAAGCCGTCAACTTTAAGAAGAAGGTGAAAAAAAAAGACAATGTAAGCTTACCTTTTCCTTCTTTTTCAAGTTCTTCCCCAAACTGACACCAGTAATGGTTCTCTCTCTTTCTCCTCTCACTTCCTTCCCGTCTTTATCTCTATCTTTCCCTGACCCGATGATCCCGAATTCACTCAGGTCGAATTGCAAAGCAGCATCAAGGCCCGTATCCAATGCGAATTCACGTACATCGGTTAATCTTCCATTTCCCCGACGTATGTAGCTCTTATCTGGATCATATCCTGCACCGTAACCATAGCCATTGTTATTCAAATGCGAGGAGTTAGTCGACGACAAAAGTGCCACCGGACTCACACCCCCACTCCTCCTTTGGTCACTCAAATCAAACCCACCATTCACGAAAATCTCGGATTCCTCTTTTAGCTGTCCGGCCTTTTCGTGCACTTTCAGTAAGATTAAATTTGAGTGCACTCTCGATATCTCTGCTGCCTCGCGCGGTTGTACTAGGAGGCGAAAGGAAACCAGATGACTCGAATTGACCCCAATGAGCATCTGATAGGGTTTTGAATTGGGATGAGAGAAGAAGGATGGGAGATAGAAGGCGATGTAGGAGACGATGTTGTAGGAGGACTGGAGCCCTGGAAGGAATACATTTGATGAGGTAGACCTCATCAAAGGACTTGATGTCGAAGCATAGGAATACGAGGAATAGGAAGAGTAGGATGAAGAGGATGACGAGAGAGACGATAACGGAGGAGCATGAGGGGAGGACCCAGGCTCGACTCCCGGAGGGATATTCATCTTCTTTCGATAATTGTCAGATTACCTCACAGGCATTTTCCCTCCTTTGTCCCTACCACCACCATTACTAATAATGCTACCCTGGGGTACCTGTAGAGGCGGGAACACCCTCCCCCATCCCTTATTCCCCGGCAAACTATTGCTAGATAACCCGCCTCCTCCTACTGCAGCATAGGTCGGCAAACCCCATCTCGCAGAGCATCGGACAAAATCTCTATCGTATACAGGGACCGTACGTTGAACAGCGAGAACACGTATAGTCTGTGCTCCCTTTCTCGGTCCAAGACTATGCTGTTCTCGATCTCTGATTCCACTGCTTCCCAACAGGTCGGCGATCGCAAGCACTCGGGCATGGCCGGAGAGTGTTCGCGGGTAATCCTTAATCCACTCCTTCAACCTTCCTGGGATACCTCCAGCACCTGATCCACCTAAGGAGGTAGGAGTATCTTGCCATCAGATGAAGGAAAGGAGACAGTGCTCGGTGGCGTGGACGGAGCGGTGTAATTTGACTCAAAAGACGTTGGGTCAGGAGTGGTCGAAGTGGAAGAAGAGGGGATAGCTGAAGGCGAGGGGATAGCTGAAGGCGGGGGGACAGTAGGAGATGCGGAAGAGGGAGACAGTAAGATGAGGTCGCCAGGCAGCGCCCCCAACCCAAACAACAACGGTCCAAAAAGCAGACTTAATCCTGGAGGCGTAGCTCCTGATTTTGCTAAGTGTGCTACCAGCTTCGTCAATAACGCAAACAACGTTATTAACGTCTCCTTTAACACCGTTGGTATCACCTCCTGATACTCATCTCCAAAAAGTCTACTCTGCGCCAAACTCGTCTACCACTTTGGCAGGGACGCGTCCGGGTATCAAGTAGGCCGGAGAAATGTGTTAGTAGATAACAGAGGTGGTGTTTTTGTTTTGCCCAGTTGAGGTATGCAAGATAGGGAATCAGACCGCGTGTAAGAGTCCGAGTATGAGGCGTCCCGGAATTCTGAGGTGTAGTAGTTGACTGTGGTGGCGAAGAAGATTCTATCCGGAGGACTTGGGCTAGTCCCCGGCGCAAAAGCATCACGGGCTCGTGAGGGCCAGCAAATCGTGCTTCGTCGTCGAAACCCACTGAGCGGCCTCCGCTCTTCCCTAGGTTTGTGTTTCTGCCGCTCTTGGAGGGTAAATACTCCACATACTTGTCTATCAATCTCTTCACTCGCCCTGCATCCAGATCGAGGGCAACTGGTACTCCTCCGCCGCCTTGCAAAACGGTACTACCGCCATTTAGGGGTTGGGTTCGGACAGAATTTCATCGGTTTAAGACGCAGAAGCTGCGTGTTCCAGATAATCAGCGTATACTTGGTTGTGGAAGATGATGTGGTAGACGACGATGGCAAGGGCAGAGGATGAAGAAGCCGCAGAGAGGTGTGTTGTCAACCTGTTACGTCGTAGTGGTCTTGTGTCCAAGTACAGCGCACCCTCCGTCGGCCGGTGTTATAGGAAACGGTCTCTCGGGTATAGAAAGGAAAGCAGGACCAGCCAAGTCAGCTTAAGAATTGTCGGCGCCGCTAGGGACTACAGTTGAGCAACCGTTTAGAACGAATTAGATACCAGGCTGCCACCAAAATCCTTGAGCCATAAGGTACCCAGGGATCACAGAAAAAACTCACCTGAAGACCACATACCCTTTCTTGCCCCTCATCGTAGGTATATAAAATCTGGTGGTCAGGAAAGGTAAACAATCGGGTAAAGCCTTTCGCATCCTCAAAGGCGTTGAAAGTGACGTAGTTACGAGTTCTATCTATAAAAGCCGACGGAGAACAGGACCTTCCTGTTTGAAGAAGACGATCGGATTTTGCAAATTCGCGGGTTGTGCAGGGGGTACGTGCAGAACAGGTCGTTCTGTGTGGGAAGGGGGCCGCTTTTCCGGGTACGGAGGGGGTTGTTCTGGGTACGGAGGGGATTGTTCCTCGCGACTTTTATAGACCTGACAGTAGAGGTTTGATCGATTATTGTGAGTGTAGTTTATGCTAAGAATTCAAAGATAGATGAAGTGAAGTCTGACATGGTCAACTATTAACCTAATCCATGCGCCACTGCATGTAAAAAGGTCCAGGTCAGCGTATGGCCCGGGGATGATAAAGAAAGAAAATTGACAGACATTCCAATGAACCTTTGATTTAAAGTAAGTACCCAATTGCCAGATGGTATTGACGACACTCACGTTGTCGGGGTTCTGATTCACTATACCAAGTTTCGGCAAGAGATACATGTCGTCCGTCACCAGGGACCAGAGAGGATTTAAAAGAATCGGTTTGCTGACGCTGATGAACCTCTGCAATTTCCTGGAAATGCGGTCAGATATCGACTAAAAACTTCGACTTGACCGTTGCCAGACACAATGAGCTCACCGGTTTAGCATACGCGAAGCCTATCAACGTGGATCTCATACGCATGCTCAAATTATCCAATACCTTGGTTTTCCTGGTGTGATCGGGGGCGCCTGTGGATTCTGGAGCTAGGCTATTGTCACGCACGGGTTCATCAGATCCAGAGCCATGCATAGACGGTGCTCATTTGCAGCGTAGAAGCTAGTGCCACAACGAAAACCATTCGAAGAATCCATGATTTAATCTTCCCAGCGCGACCTGGAGTAGTGTAGAACTGAGGAGCTTGAGTTTCATATTAGTCGGATGCGGTACTAGCAAGAGCAGGAAATACCGCATCGCATGTCCGTTCGAAGACTCTAGTTTGTCGCGTCTCCTTACTTCGAGGGGGCGATTTGATTCAAGGGCCCGGACTCCCTTATATATGTATGTGAAAGCAATGCAAGGCAGTGATGATCTATTGAAATTCCGATTGGAGAAGCAATGACAAAAGGAGTACACAGTATGGCGTCCCTGGCGTCAGGAAAATGGGCAAGCGAAATGAAACAGTCAATAGGTAACTCGAGGGTACAGTGCTTTGCGAAAAGGTTTGCTTGTAAGGATTTTTTACCAAGTGTTCATTGCTCTGTATTTGTCCAATACATTTTTGGGCCGAGACTCGAAAGAAGTCGTTCAATACAGTTTCTCTTCCTGTCTTCCTGTGGACTGGTATTCTCGGACTGAAATTGACGCGTTAACCGAGTCAAAGTTGAGACTGTTGGACTGGGATGGGATGTGAGTAGAGGCCCGGTTTCTCAATGTTTTGCGATATAACATGATGACCTAATTGCGCAGTTCTCGTGCCATCTACTCGATGCGTCTGGTCAGATATAGGGCATTCATCCAGGTTCTTCTGGTGAGGAATGGAGAGAGGTTGTGGATGACCGCCGACTTCCGGGACAGTAGCACATTTGCAACCGCACAGCAACATGGACGTAGAGTAGATTTCGCTTTCAGGACTGTCTGATTGGGGTACAGGACTAGTCAGAAGCCCACGGCGAAGCGAACAAGAGAGCTACTGAGGGTCTGGCTACTAACCAGCAATACAGCAAGAAGCTCGTACATTCATAGATGTTCGCAAGTTACCAGAAGCAAGGACTTCCTTTCGCCCGGAATCCCCAATTCATCGACAATTCACCGGATGAGCAGCGCTTTTGCCCATACCAGAAACCATGGGCTCTGAAGGCGAAGCGGGGATGTCTGACGAAGGAGGGGAAGGCTTCCCAACGTAGGGGATCCTCCTTTTGCTCGCTGTTGGGCCTGGTTCCATTGACATATCGTCGTGTATGATGACAGGCTCCTAAGCTAAGTTCTCCATGGACTCTCCTAAGTAGCGAACTTTGAAGTTCCCAATCAGGCTGAACATCACCGATGAAAACTCTGCGTTTTTGGAGCGGCCGAGTAAAGATAACCCCATCGTTTTCAACAGAGCCACATACGCCGAAGCAATCGCCTCGCCTGTAAAACCGCACCCCAATACCACAGGATGCGAAACCTGTGTGTCGACAGATATCGGCGCTAGTTTTGGGTAAGGTCTTTCTTCTGACTGGCGAGAACGAACGTGTGCAGGCTTGAACGTGGTGGGCCTTGCAGAAGATTTTTTGAAAGAGACGTGTAAGTTTCACAACGTTTACGACAACAGATAAGATGCAGGTGTCCTTGCAACGGAAACAGAAAAGGTCATCGCGAGTTGAGTCAAATGAGACAATGCTGGCATAGCTAGGGAATACGTGTCCATGAGGATAACAAAAAAGAATGACAAGCAGGAAAAGCTACGCACCGGGAGGTGACACATCTTATACGATACTTGGCATTGCAACCCTCCGACGCACATTTCATAATCTAAACGAGTTGTTTCGACATTGATGGCAATAATATTCCAGCGGACCTTCTGGCCAATTGCTTCTTGTTGACGCAACCTCCTCCCCGATCTCCTTCCCATAGTCCGTGTTCATTTCCGTAAATGTGGTGGTCTCTGGTTCTGTCTTTGCTTTCCCTTCTCCACGCGATCGTATTCTCTCCCGAGGGACCAGCTGACTCAGAAGGAGCTCTGTCTTCAATCTCCTTTGTCTCCAATTCCAGATCCATCTCCTTCCGGTTCGCGTTCTTCCTTCTCTGCCTTCTTTGAGTGGCGGTCATTAGTTCAGGAGGTTCATTGTCTGAAGCAAGTTCAACTTTCTTTTTAAGAGGAACGTAGATCTCACCGCGCTTGCTTGCGACAGCACGCATCGCAGCGGCAATTGTTTGTACATCAAAAACACGAAAAGTCTTTTTGATTGATGTCAAAAGCGATCTACATCAAAAAAATAAGAACCAGGAAAGAGAGCCAAAGACGACAATACACACCGAACAGTGACGCATTTTATATAGTATTTGAGGTTACAGCTATCGAACGCACAAGCCATGTGCAACTTGAAGGATCTCGTGCGGCGTTGATGATTAGAATTACTCAGATGAACCCAGTGGCCAATTACGTCTGTTTGCAGGAACTTGCCTTGTCTTCTCCTTCTCCTTCTCTCTCCCTTTTGCTTTTTGAGTAGGATTAGCCGGTCTCGGCACCTCGAGTGTGGCCGAATCAGACAGGCGTAATTTGGGGGAAGGTATTGTTAATCTCGACGTCGGACTGCGTTCGCCGCCCTTCTGCAATCCAGACCCACTCTCGATAGAGATAACGATAACATCGACTCCATTATTCAGCGTTGCCTTCAATTCTTGTAGGGACGATGAGACTGTAGATGGAGATGCCAGGGTAGCCGGAGTGGCGGAAAGAGCGGATACGCTGGTGTGAAAATGAACATCGAAGTCCAAGCTGTATTCATCATCTTTTAATCCGAGTTGGAACCGTAATCCAACACGAGACTTGACGCGTTACTCTGGAGAACAGGCGGAGGGGGTTGTGGTACGGGTGAAGTCGCAGAGGACTGAGGGTCCGTATTACGCCGCGTTCAAGCCTTTAGCTGAACGCTAATCATTCTCTGTTTACCTCGATGAGGAAGTGGATCACTGGAGTAATAAACTCTCTCGGAAGAATCGAGTATATCTAAACCATCAGAGGTAACATGCTTGTCCTCCACGGAGAACAAGATAGAGGGATTGATGGATGGTGGCGTTGCTACCTGCGTCTGGGGGCATGGACGTATGCTTTTGTTGACCAAATTGAATCGCAGGGTGGTCGGGAGTAGAAATTTCAATCCCTGCTCTGGAACTACGGCTAAGCCCAGAATAAAGGCCAGGCTCAATTCCAGAATTCACTTGATCACCGGCCTCTGGGATCCTTCCCGTACCAAGGCTAGGAATTAACCACTCCCCAACGTCAACTCCTCTATGATCGCCATGGACGCTGGAATTGCGGTTGGTTATTTCGTGACCAATCCCTACGTCACGTCTTGGCATATTCAGGAAACCATCCAAAGATCCGTTTGACTGAGGTTGAGGTAAAGTAATTACCCGTAGCAATGGCCTATGTAGCAGTAAGGAGTCCGGAGTCGAAAAGTCGAGGGAAAGATGACATACCTGACCAGGACGCTGCAGCTGCAACATTTCAATGACGTCTTTCGCCTGCTGAGGATCGTTCTGCGATAACACCAAAAATTTCTCAGCAGCCCATTTCAGGTCATCACAATGCGTGTCTGGTTGGTCATGACCTCTCTGACCGATGGTGGCCTCTGCTTCTACTCCCGATTCTGCGCCATCTCCAAGAAAAGGATTACCGACGACCGCAATAGGTGGAGGGGAAGTCAATCCAGGTATGTGCGCATTAGTTTGCGTAGAGGTCTGGACGTAAGCGTGAGGAGAGTAAAACTGGTGAATATGTCCGTTTTGATTCCCTTGTGAACTTGGGATCTTGACAAGGTTATTAGAAACCTGAGGACCTCCGAATCTCGTACTAAGACCTGAGACTGAAACAGCCGACGTACGCGAAAACAATTCATGTTGCCCAACACTATCTGGGATAAGATGATTCCGCGAGCTTCATACAGAATTTGAGCATGGTACGCGTCGTGATGAGTATGTGAAACATGTCCATGATACCGACTCGTACTGGAATTGGCGAGCACAGTGGAAGGACGAGGTTTCGCAGGACGACCTCGTTTAACGTGAGGTCTCCATCGTCGAAAGCCTTTCGTTTCCCGAGCGCCTTCTCCGATAAACCAGGGGGATTCAGCAATCTTGCATCAGCTTGAATTGAGGATTGCTGAGCCTTTACTGGGAGTGAATGACACTCGACAAAATTACGAGGTTCTGGTTGAGAACAGCTTTTTCGCAAGGACTGAGCCGATAACGAGAAGGAGGACCATGACTGGGTCGAGATTGGTTCGGAGAAAGAGGTTGGCACCAAAACTGACGGGTGAGACGCAGACGACGTGGAGAGGGATTCGTAAGAACTTCCCGAGTCAGGATATTGAGCTACAGCATTTGGTGTGGTGGAGCTAGAAGGTTTTTTCCGGAATTTGATATCTTTCAAGAAAAGATGACTTTGGGGGCCCTGCGAAAACTGATGAGAGCGCTCCGGGGAATTCCATGTGGTTGAGTTGTTGGTTTCGAGTTTGGGCTTGTAAGAGGCATGGCAATCTTCCCAGTGTCGACGGAAGGATATGACGACGACGCTCGCACTTTATGAACCTCTGACAGGTCCAGGTACGGAAGATCATCTTCATCGTCTGTCTCATCTCCAGGAAACTCTGCATCCGAGTTTTGAACCATCCAATACCCTGCCAAAGTTTCAGGAGCAAAAATGGAGGCAAACATACGCTCTACCCACCCTGAGTTTCTTTTTGCAAAGGATAACATCCTATCCTTCCGCTGCCAATTCATTAATCCGGTACTACAGCTATTCAATTCAGGGGGTAGGCCGCGCTTCGTCCTAAGAGTTTGGATTTCGCCTTGTCGATGGTTCTTTATGACGCGTATCAGAATTCTTGACCAGCAACATCCGATGGTCACGCCTTTTCTGTTTAGAGGAGGAATTGGGTATGGTGGACTCGTGCGCATTCTTCAACCAACTCGCCCCGAAAATGAAATCCATGTGCCTGCTACAAAGAGCCGCACGTAACTATCACCGTCCTCGCGCGTCTTGTCAGTTGGCATTATGTTGCCTGGGATATAGAAAATCTTCGTCGTCGTCGAGTTTTGACTGACCACTATGGAGACAGAACTGTTGCCAGACGAATCACGATGGCGCCGCGACGGTAGATGGGTTCAACTTGGCCTTTTTGCGAGGCAGGTGAACACCGTCAAATAGAGTCTGGACTTTGTTTCTGTTTACGACGAACGACAGGTCGAGGTTTGTCTATGAATGCCCCAATGTGGTTGTCCTCTGCGTTATGTATCATGGAAGCGTTCAAAGCATCCTGAAGGTTTGTGTACTGCATTGTAGTATTGTTTTGATGATGATGATGGAAGCGCAGAAATAGAGGGAGCAGAAACGTTTGGCCTAGGAGGTGCTTTCTTGTGATGCGACCCGAATGGTGGAGGCGACGGGGAATCCTGGAATAGGACAGATGGAGAGCTGAACTTAGTAATCTTTTCCAGGACTTTCGGATGTGGTTTTAAATCATGGGCATGAGTAGTGTCTCTAGGAAGAAGAGAGGCTTGGATATGGGAGAGAAAGATGTGAGTGTGCCGGTACCATGTCCATGGTAGGATTCGGGGTCAAACTTTTCACCTGGTTCTTGTTGATGGTAGTTTTCTGACTGCTGTTGCAGGGGCGAGAGCGTGCTAGTTGATGATTTGGGGGACTCCCTTGGGGAGAAAAGAGAAGCACCATCCAATGAAGATGACGGCGAAAGGGGAGAGATGGACTCCCGACGAGGAGAAGTAAAGAGACTACTGTTGATGCTTTCAGACATATTCGTAGCCTAGATGTAGGATGAATAATTCAATGGACAATAAAGCAATAAAGGTCATGACAGTGGTAGAACTCATTACAGCCGTCTCGGTATCGGCGTCTACGACTTTCGGCCTCTTTATCAATCGCATCGAGATTCTAAAAGAAATGAGATTAGCTACTCAGACACTCACAATGATATATGGAAGTCATACCGGAATATTTGCACATTTTTCTAACGCTGAAAACGACTCAGACGACAATACATCCTGATGAATTGGCAGCTGCTTCAAAGCGGCGACCTCTAAAGACGTGCATTCGGAAGTAGATTCATTCTGGGACACAGATTGAGGTGAATCTCTCGTGGAAGACGTTTTGGATGTCGATTTTGGTTGAAATAAGCCGCCACGCAAGACTTTTCTAATCCAAACGGTTTTAAATGTTCGATGGACCATTGAAACGCGCGGCAAGAAGCGAGAGAGATCGAGGCTGGGAACTGGGGGGGAATGCGCCAGATGATTGTTCGAATGCTTTCTCCATCACCTGATATAGCTGCTCGTCTTTCGTCTTCAAGCTTCGATCTAGTTTATCCAAGTCGGTAAAATCCACACTAACGTGACTGTTAATGAAGGACGCGACCGCCCTGCCAGTTTGAGTGGGCCAGAAATCCTTGAAAGTACCCTTGCACTTCGTAAAATCTTCCTTGTAATTCGGGTAATCACGCTTGATATTCTGCCAATGTCGGCCTGCTTGCTCAGATAGCCCTAACAGGTCCTAACATGGAATTTCCCATTTAACCGGCGTTACAACGTAGCATACGATTGGGGAATTCAATCACACTCAAATGAAATTCGAGTTGCTAGGATTTAAGATGTGTCTAGTAACCGTCTGAACACTCCCATTGTCTTCTCGGGCTCATCCCAATGCTTCTGATACATAGTATGATATATCAGCGTAAGCCTTCCCTGGAAATCAAGAATCACTCACGAAATGGTTCACGCCATTTATAATCATAAATCGTATGAACTTTCCCTTCTCGATCTCCCAAAAGGTCATCCAGACGAACGAGTAAGATTTATCCCCGATAACGTCCCATACCGTCACCATATTCCACAGTGCAGATTGATCCGTAGTTTCTTATCAAAGCACGCCTTCAAGTAAGTCTTTCGGAGTTGATGTTGGAGGACCTTTGAAAAGTACAAATCGATGCTGGATTCTGGCGTTAGAATGACGTTCTCGTCATGTTCCACTGCGGTGAAAGGAAAGTGTAGATTGAAGGCGTTCAGGAAAGCCAAAGTTCTTGTCTGTAGTCGTGATAGCCTGTGATAAGATGGCTGAAGAGCGGTGCGCGAGCTGAGTAAGGGATGTTGGGATCGCGGAACGCAAGCCACGTTTCTGGGGGAATGGAAAGACCAAAACCCGTGAGCGCAGGCTCTGCATGTACCATGGTTTTGTCAAAACAAGTCAACAATTTTACAGCAAATTTGTTGCTCACCTAACATAATATGGGCACGTAGATAGTGTCCAATCCGATCTCGCATCCCGTTAGAGACCAACGAGGAGTCTACGTTCGCGATTGCCGAAAGGGAAGAAGTGACCCCAAAAGACCAGCCAACGATAGCTAGTCCACCTTTCCGGGTCTTCTCATCACCATCCACCTTCTGACTGTTGTCTTGAACCGGAGGAATTCTAGAACATTGAATAAAGCGTCGATGAACTGTAAAATCTCCACGCCTCGGAGCTCTAGGATTTTGTCTTGGCCTCGTCGGTAGCAGAAGCTTGAGGGCCATCGTCTTCGGTGAGAATGATTTCTCATCCTGAGTGAACGGGGTTGAGCCAGAGAAACCTCGTCGGCCTGGCGCCATGTTGTATTGTGTGTTCAGAGGTGAGAGACGTTTGAATATAGCTAGAGAAAAAGTGAGAAAAGACCCTGCTATTGATATCTATTGAAGAAATCACCCACCGTTGCTGAAAGAATTACCATGGATGAGGATAACAGTTTTGTAGCTCGATACAGAGGAGCTGGGAGAGCCACTATCTAAATATGACATGCAAGAAGAAAACCCTTAGGTGCAGAAACGATCCGCGCTTGATAGCGTGAGAAGATTTCCGCGGGCGCGCCTATGTTGATTTAGGCCAGGCATTAATATCTCAATCCCGACTCAGTGTCACTCCTTATCGAGCACGAGCAGTGCGACGTAGAGTACATCGATTTTATTCTTCTTCCTCTCTCACCTTCCCCGTTATGAAGCATGAGCAGTGCGAGATAACGCGGTTGCATACTCTCAGTCAATTACTGGGCCCTCCACTGCGTCCGATGCTGAACTTACTTACACTCATACATGATACGCTCTTCTGCACAAATCCGGGCTGCGTTGGCCTTTCGCAATCATTCAAATTGGTGTGCACCCAGCCTCGAATGGTAAATGTGGATCAGTGCTCCGAATCGGTCGGATTTAGGTGTGTGCACAATCTTATATTCACTCTTAAAAAGTTGTGAAGTTCTTCTCACTTCAGATCATATTCGCTCTCAAGTGGTGAAATCAAGCTGAACTCAACAATAGTGTTGACATGGGGCTGCTGGCTGGGTGCCAACGTGGTAGAAGAGCCAGAAGGAGATTGCAGAGTCGAACGGAGGGGTGGTCAGTAGCGACTCGCACGCCGCGAACGGTGATGTCTTCGTCATGAAAGCGGGGTATTTTGATAATGCGCTTCGGAGGGTCAAAGGAGCAGCTGTCGCGTTGAGATCAGTATGGTCAATCTCGACTTTCTCCTCGGCTTCCCTAAAGCCAATCTTGACCTTCTCCTCGACCCCCTTGTTTCCTCCTGCTTCGCTGCTATCGTCGCAGTCTTCCCTCCTACTCCTCCCTGGTCAAACCTCCTTCCCCATCGAAATTCGGTGAACCGTCGAACCACAATAACATACGAAGCCAGGTTGAAAAAGGACAACAAAATGTCATTGGAGAGCTATGCTACCAGCTGGATTGTCTGGCGGTCGCTCTATATGGGCACGAAGAGTAGACGGTGACAGAGGTCTGCCTCAAACAACGAAATCGCAAAGACCTCATACAACCGGATCTGAACATCAACAAGCTCGAGCCTCCTGGTCCTGTTTATCTACTCAATCATCCGTTGCGACTCCGTTGAAATCGTTCTCCCATCACAATCTTTGCCTTTACCGAAAACTTTGTACGTTCTTCCTCAACAACTCCCTATCTTCTTCCTTCGCTACATTGATCGAGGCTGGTACGTTGCTTGAATCATCATGCCCATCAGCACACTCGCTGATCATACTTACCAGGCCTGACGGTATCTAATTCCCGCGCTGTATACATTCGCTCACGAACAAACGCTGACAACATAAGAGCCAATTATTCCTGAACTTCGTTCAGTCCAAACCTGTCCCTATACGATACACTCGCTTCGCGCCAGGGGGACGCCACTGCGATCCCAACCTCAACTTCTTCTACCACTGGCACAGTTTTCGTAGGGTCGTCAGTCCATCAGCATTACAATGACCACCCTCGGACTGCCACTTGGGCTGACATTCTTCCAAACTACCTCGAACTACACTGTCCACCCATTCAACCCGGCCGACAATTGTTGTTGTATCCATACCTCGAAAGCTTTGCCAAAGCTATGTCAATGGGCGTTCCTCGAGTTCCTCAACGTCTTTTGTACGCATGTAACACATGCACATCCAGTGTTGATTTATATGGGTGTACGTATAAGGTCTTGAATACACTTATTCGAACTGGTTTGGTAGATGTAGAATTGGAGGACTAGGATGGAAGAATAACCACGCAGAGCCTAGGTGATTCAACGTCTGTCTTGGTCCTTAGGGTGACCAAACGTACACAATCAATGACGGCGCCTCTTCCATTATGATGTTCTAGCAACCGTTAGCTATCATTTCCACCAGGAAACCCAGGGAAGAAACAGGAGATGCCATAGGATACCATTAATCACACTGTCTGACATTATGATATTCGCTACCGACTATTCCCCCCCCCTCCTCTTTTTGCTAAGACACCACCTGTTCGCTACTCTGATGTCGGTGGTCAGTCCTATGCTATCACAGAGCTTTGCGAGACTGCTGAAGGGCCTCCTCTGCATCCTTGGGAGTCAAACCTCCGAAGGGAATCTTGCTATATGGACCACCAGGCTGTAGTAAGTCCATGTTAGTCAGGGCTTGTGCTTGTGAAAGCGGCATAAACTTTATGGAGTCAGAGGGTCTGGGGTGTGTAATCTTCACTTTATTCCCTAATTGTTCATTGAGTTCAGTTCACCTATCTGCCCGCAGCTGTTGAACAAATTTGTCGGAGAGTGTCAACGAGCGGTCCGCAAGTTCAAGCTAGAGTTGCTTCTCCATCACTTTGTAAGCTATGGTTTTGTCTTAACAGGGTGGACTTTACTAATACTCGAATACGTATAGGATGAAATAGATGCGCTAGCTACATCTAGAATGTCGCCTGATACGAATGCGGGCTCATCGCATTGAGGTGCAATGACCTAGATGGCATGCAGGAGCTTGTAGGGGAGATTATACTAATTGCTTCGGATATGGCAGGAAGAAGAGCCAAGACCATGTCTTGTTTCAACTTCCAATTATACATTTTCCGATCTCTTTTACGAGCAGTTCAGAACAGTGTATTGGAGCCAGAAGCATCACACCTTCCTTTATGGTTCTGGATTTGCACCTGCATCTGCATCTCAACTATCCAATAATTTACCAGCTTCCCCGGCTTTACATTGTCTTTGAATCAACCCCCGGCATTCATGTCTCCCTTGATAGACAGGTGGAAATACCAGAATATTGACCCCAACTGCCCTAAGCCGTTCAAAGTACGACTCACCAGCATTTATACTATCACACTCACCAAACTAGTTGCTTCTACATGCCCATCTTGCCGTCTACAACATCCACTTGCTGCACCCTCTGCTGCTTCATTTCGAACTCCTGTACGACCAACAGATGTCAATACCTCATTTCGATCTCCTCCTTCTTCGTCTATCGCTTCATCTTCAGCACAGAAACCCGCTTCATCTATCTCCAGACACCATTCGAATCATCCGACTGTTGATACCCTCCACAGCTTCACAACGCCTACTCGACACAGTCCAGTACTCTCTCTTCCTTCGTTGCAGGGCAGATACGAACTACTCCAGCAAAGTTTGTCACGCCCTTCAAAATTGGAGTGAAAGCTAGTCAGGCAGGTCGACTCGAGCTTGAGGCTCAACAAAGATCCCAGCAGCGATCCCGTGCACCTGCGATTTCAGCTACAAATACCACTGGAAAGTGGATGGACTCTTTTGCGAGCAACCAGCGTTTTTGATATGAGTGGGTGCATTGCTGTCGAGGATATCGTTCACTCACTCGCATAATCTCATGAATAGCTGTTCCGCCGACTCGAATATTATTATCCGAGTTGGGCCTCTTTCCTCAGCAGTATACTGCACAATAAATGGTTGACTACAGTGTGTAATAAATCTGCTTTGCCATGACAACCTACGGAGAAGGTAAACCAACCGACAACGCTGTCCTGCTCATGCACAACCTCCAGGCTGAAGACTTCGTGCTCACGATCTTTGCGGCTCTAATATATCATCTTCGGTCTCGGAAACTATACCTATGCCCGAGAATATCACAGCATGGCCTATTCCTTTTGATATGATCGTATCTTCTATTCCCCACTTCATCCAGCCCGAAACTTCATCCTAACTCTATTCACGTCACTCGCGCTGTACTCAAATACCAGTCAACTCCCAACGAACGCGTTCCGGAAAGATCGGTACGGTGTTGGCTCAAACATCCTGCCTAATCTCTATTATGCTGCTAATGATAAAGAGGCACCTCTACTTGGCAGTACTGGCGTGGCTGGTGCGGTTGTGCCCAGTTATGCTATTGAAGGTCCCTGTGGAGCTTATAAGCAGGAAAACATCTTCGAGGCTCCAATTCATGTCAGGCGGTACACATTCCGCTTACCCACTAATCCCCAAGAGCCCTGTGATCCTGGTTGGCCCTGAAACTGTAAGTTGCTGTTCAAGCCCCATGCCCATGATCTTATATCCACTTCTCAGGGCATTGCCCCCTTCCGAGGTTTTGTTCAAGAACGCGTCGCCCTCGACCGTCACTCCGTCAAAAAGAATGGATCGGACGCTTTTGCCGATTGGGGTCGCATAACTCTTTCCTACGGTTGCCGCAAATCCACAGAAGACTTTCTGTACAAAGACAAATAGCCTTCATACATATCTAAACTCAAAGGCAAATTTGTCATGCACACCGTATTGTCTCGTGAGCCTCCTTATATTCCTTATAACTCTGACGGAAGCAAGGTCTATGTGCAGGACTTGATATGGGAGCAAAGAGAGTATAGCCGGTTCAATATTGAACGGCAAAGGATATGCGTATATCTGCAGAGGCGCGCAGAACACGAGTAAGGCTGTAGAGGTCGTGCTGGCTAAAGTCCTTGGAGAGGTCAGGGTGGCTCGGCGGAAGTGGAGGGTGCGGGGGAGGTCAAGATGCTCAAGGAACGTTCTAGAGGAAATGGACCCCGCCTGTTTGTGGGGGTTCATACTCGTCTGAGCAATCTGAGATGGGAGAACGGATAACACAGGAATATTTGGTATGGGCTGGGACGACGGTGACCGTGGCTTTCTTACAGCAAGATAGATTTACAACATCCTCGAGTTCAAGGTGAATTTCGAGATATATGACATCCATTTTCATTACTCACTCTTTGCTGATATCCAGTCCCTTTCTTTTCGTCCGTTGAGACCGGCTGGTTCTTCCTCGCAGCACATTGAACCCGCCGACCACACTCAATGAACAGAATACCCTCCTGAAATTCACGTACGACCATGCGCATCTTCTCAGGTCATCACTCCTTCAGCTCATCATCATTTTATTCGATATATCGTTCACGTTCCTTTCTAAACAGATGATAATTTCGAATTTTCAGTCCGAACCGATCCTCTTATACAGCATCTGCATAGCGATGAGCCATGACAATGTCTGCATGTACGTTCGACGGTTCATGCTTCACTCTTTGCACAGCTTCTACGAATCGCGTTAGCACCATATAATCATGCTCACTACATCTGCGACGATCAATGAGTCGCCTTCTCCGAGCGCTGATTCCGAATCCAAGGCTGGACAAACTCAGGACTGTATATGGTGGATGTCGAATTCTATGAGCAGAGGACAAAGAGACGGTGATCGTGTTCGATTCTGGTAAGCGACAAATCTGTTTCTAGCAATTTTCGCACTATTCATTCACTTCCCTATTTACGCAGTTCCACTTATTGACTATCGACGAAATTTAGTCTCAATACTCCAAATCCGTTCAACGTATTTCATATACCCCCACGTTCCTCTCTTCTACGCCGATTCCTTTGCGTGAACTTTCCGCACGTAAGGGAGAAATTCTGCTGCGCTCGCTTCAATCATATCACCCTCCCTGAAGTCCGGTTCCACTAGGTCGCTTAATAGCAAAAGCCGTTGAATGACACACTCCGGGATGAACTTCATCGTCTCATTGGTTCATTTTACCAGGAACACCCTGTCTACCAGCGCCAGACGAGGACTAGTCTTGGTTTGTCGCGAGCGTCTGAAGAGCGTTTTGAACGTTTGGAGCTAAAAGGCCTCGGTATTCCTGAGCAAGAGTTCATGATATCTCCTTTGCCTGAATTCGCTTTTTATGCGCTCGCAGCAGATAACCTTGTCAGTCTTCGTACGATTGCTGGTGTGGGTGTGTGATTCGAACGATCATTATGTGTCGTATGCCACTTTAGCGCCTTAGCAATTATGCTCCCCCTTCCTCCTCCTCCTTTTCGCTCTTTTCACGTTCGCTTGCCCGTAATAACGAACGGAAGACCACGAGGGGCTCTGAAACGTTAAATGAACCACTTATCATTCAACCAATTTCTGGACATCTACATATCCCTGGAAGTCAACGATGGTCGACAAATCGCAGTGAAAACCTTGCCTTTCAATGAACGACATCTTTACATCTTGGCCCCTCTTCTCAGGATATAACACATGACAATGTTTTCGAATTCCCCATGAAACCAGTCATCCTGCGCGATCTTTACATCAACAGGACGGGCTGTTCACTGCAATCACTCAGAGGATGGAGCTCTTCCTGAAACCCAGCTCATCGTACCCTATCCCTGACGACTCATGAACGTTGGCAGCAGGGAATACAGCACAGGTTATCAAGAGTTATCGGTCAATCTGTCGGGTCTTTATCTTGCCTCTATGCATCATCATCCTACACGGCTGTTGTTGAAACCTTTGCGTATCGTTCTCCGTTTACGTTCATCAAGTACTCACGCCTACGACTGTACCGCAAGGTGGTGAGCCCTACTGGGTGTATCATATTCATATTCAGGAATTTGCCTTCCTTATCATCAATGGTCTCCCGTAGCAGAATATGTCCCTTCTTCGTCACCTGCAAGCACCTGTATCCACTCACCCTGATAAAAATTTTGGTCAAGTTGAGCCGCTGACTCCCTGTTTTCGGCTAATAAATCAAATTTAGAAGTTCGTGAGAAGATGGTTGGTTTCTTGTCCTCTGCCATGAGCTCTTCTGTAAGCTCTCTTCACTCACACCTCTCTTCACTCACTAGGCTTTCTGGTTGTGGGCCTCGCTTGGGTCTTCTGGATCCTTCCGCCCAAATATGTCCGTTGGCGGTCTCGATTGGCAATGGTATTCCCGTCTTTCACCCTTGCTCGTCCACTATTCCTCAAACATGTTCATGATGCCTCCAGCTCAATGCGATCCCGACAGTCGGCCCCACTGGCTTTCTCTCTGGATTCGTCGGACCGTACCAGTTCTTCACTAATGCCAAAGATATCCCACAGGAAGGATATGAAAAGGCACGTCTATTTGTTGTATAATTAATTTTCCAGTAATGACAAATGGTATATCCCAAATCAAATCACATCTTCAAGGTCGCTCTCGTTGATCGTTGGGCGATAATAGCTCCTGGGTGCACGATGGTTGAAGATTTGATGAAGGCTACAGATGATCAACTGAGTATAATCGGGGCAGCAGCTGAAGTATGTCTATAAATTGTGTTATACTTTTCCCTCGACTCAATGCTCATGTGGACTTAGACCTTGCAAGTGGAATATACGTTGAGTGTTGAGTAAAGAAGTCGTTCTTCATCCGTACCATGTCGCAATGACCCGTAACATCGCAACCCGATTTGCTGAAGTGAGGGATGAGACGGTTTCCGCTTTTGCGGATCTCATTCCTTTGAAAGATGGTACGTTGCAGTCTGTGCGCTCTGTACCTTGCTGTCATCGTTGTAGACTGGGTCAAGGTTCCGGCCGACAAAACGTCCTTCCAGATCGTGGGCCGTACTGCTAACAGCTTCTTTGCTGGTCTCCCTCTTTGTTCGTGATACACTGCTCAAATATATATTGTGCGCTAACGTGTCGTTTAGGTCGTCATTCTGATTGGTTGGTTGATTCATTTTCCCAATAAGCACTTCAAATAGTCATTAATCCTTAACACGCTAGGACTTGAATACAAATTTTGCGGTCGAAATATTTATCTGTGCAATGACCATCAATCTATTTCCTTCGTTCCTGAAACCGTACTACGTCCAAATTTTTGCGTGTGGATTATACTTACGCGACTGTTGCAGAATCGCTGGGCGTTTCTTAACGCGAATGCAATCTAGTACGAAACGAGCCACCAAGCATCTAGCTCTTATTATTGAAGAGCGCCTAGCAAGGGAAGATGAATATGGGACTAAAGACTGGCCTGGTCAACCCCGTAAGCATTTTAGGGTTTCAACGTTTTGGAAGATCAGGGGACAAATCTTGGACTGCTTTAGAATGATCTTATATCGTAGCTGCTAGACGAGGAAAAGGTTGAACAGGTTGAACAGCGTGAAGTGTCTGACCTGATAAAGGGGATTCTCGTCATTGAAGTCGCTGCCATTCATACCACAGTGCGTAACTCATTCTTGCATCGTGTTAAGACTTCAACAGACTTTCTGTAACGCTCTATACCAACTCGCGCCACACCCAGAGCTGGTCGTACTTCTTCGAGAAGAAGTAGAAGCCATTGCGGAAAAATCGGTTTGGACAAAAGAAGGCGTCGGCAAAATGCGTCAGCTGGATAGTTTCTTAAAAGAGATCCTGGGATTTTCTGGCGGCGGCGGAAGTTCGTATACTTGAAAACATTTTACAATATCATCAAGCTGAGTGCTGTTACCTTCACCTGTAGTCGTCAATAGTCGCACAGTCTTTCAAGATTTCACATCCTTGGATGGGACATCTGTCCCAGCTGCGACCACCATTGGTGTTGCGGCATACATGCATCATCATGACGAGGTGCAAACTCTGTCCTATACGTCGCAAACTAAGTTTTCTGACCAAGTCTTACTCAGAAATGTTGTTTGTTCCTCAATACCTACGATGTCGAAGCTGCTCGCTCAAGTCCACCAGCTTGCCGTCACTGTCAGCCAGCATCCTATTTCTCAAACCACTGCTTATCATGAAATCTGGTTGGACAAGAAAATGGCTGCTGGGGAAGCATTGAAAGATTTCGAACCGCTATACGGCGAATTTCATTTGCCCAGAAAGTTCAAAGTCGCAATCGCGGTACTGCCCACCAATGACGGTGGTGTCTTCGTGAACGACCTTGGATTTATTGCGATTGTTGACGATAACGGTGAACTTGCTGGCTCCAACGTCACCATCGGTGGTGGTATGGGTGTTACTCATGGTAACAAGGAAACCTATCCTCGAACTGGAGATCTTATCGGTTTCTGCACCCCTGAGCAGGGCAAGTACGTCGCTGAGAAGGTCATGCTCACTCAACGAGACAATGGTAATCATGCAGAGTAAGTCGCCTTCGATATTGTCAAATTGTATCTTCTGATTACGCCCCTTTACTATAGCCAAAAGGTAAATTATATCAACAATTTGAAAACTACTTGACTGATAACGTTTCCAAGAACGCTCGTGTCAAGTATACTATTGACCGAATGGGCTTAGATGTGTTCGAAGCCGAGGTCGAGAAGCGACTAGGATATCAGCTTCAGCCCGCGAGACCGTTTACTTTCGATGACTATGGTTGTCTCATCACAACGCATTCTTCAAAGACCGCAACATCTCAAAACTGCTGTCCAACTTGTCGATGAAAGTCTCTACTCACGATCTCACGATAAACTACTTCATCGCAACCAACAATGGCGGGGGAAGGGCCAACGACTAGGGATCAAGAGGAGGTGCAGCAGATGCGGATGTGGAGATATTCTACGATACCGACTTCTATCAGCAACTCTTACGAGTTATTGAAGCGCTGAATGATGCAGCAACGTATGATTAGATGGACATTCAGAAGCAAAAGAAAGCTAAGAAGAAAGTGGACACGAAAGCCAGCAAAGGGCGGAAACTCCAGTGTGTACATAGGCTGTTGCTACAATATTTCTGATTGTCCTCAACACCCCATCTTTTACACAGATATGACGTTCATGAAAAGCTTCAAAACTTCATGGCACCCATCCATGTCAAAGGAACCTGGCATGAAGAGCAAATTCATGAACTGTTCACCTCGTTGCTCGGGAGAGAGTTTGAGGAGGCAATCAATACTCAAGCAAATGAGGTCATTGGACTCATGGAGGATCCTGGAGAGTTATTAGTTGCTCTCGAAGGTTTCCGGGTTTCCAGATAGCAGTCAGCAAATTAGATTCCGCTTCTAAAGAAGTGCAAAAAGGGCTTCGGTTCCGATTTGAATGGGATTTGTATCTCAGTACTTGCAATTGGCACGACAGGGATTACTGCACCATAGTGCACCATCTACATTAATGGGAGCTGCAAGACGACATACCAAGGACCTATAGTGGCACGACAATCACTAAAAATGTGAACACATGCAGGGAGCGGAAAGCAGCAGAACAAACGAAGAGGTGTGCGTGAAGAGGAATTCTGGATAAGCAAGGTCTTCCTGAACTTCAGTGATTGCGGAGGGATGTGGAATAAGAATGTATTTAAAGATGCTGCCGTCTGTCTGAGGGATGCCTTTACTCACGGCGCGGCACAGGTAGAAGAACACAATTTTTTCGAAACCTGGAAGAGTTCCGTGTTCGTCTCCCTACTACGGCTTCAAAATAAAGAACCATCGCTTTGAGCAGTTCAAGATAGGGAAGAATGATAAAAAGGTGATCGTCGAAAGCCGAGTGAAGAATATTGCGCAACTGTGTACAAAGGTATGAAACGAAAGATATAATATATCGAATCAAAGCTTACGAGGTGTAAGAAATAGTCTGCTGTGAATACACAATGAATGAAACGGCATTCCGAGGATAAATTCATAGAATGGAGCTAGCATAAGTAGGTCAGGAAAAAAAGAAGAAAAGGAAAAGATTGAACAGCTACTTACTCACGATATGGTCTGTTGTCTTTGTTGCATTGGGCAAAAGGACACGAGCAAGCTGGATGAGGAGATTGGCGTAGGGCGTGGTATGGCTAATATGACAGTGAAGTAATCCGACGTCTATCAACCAACCCAGAAGCCATGACTTGGCGACGTTTGATCTCCCTTTCTAGGAGTGGAGTATTCGCTGAACATCGTGAGGAGACAGCGCGCAGAGGTATGGCGCTGTTACTGGGCACGACGCCAAGCAGTCAGCTGTCAGGCCGGAGATCTCGGTCGAAGTCGCTTATGGACGGTCCGGTAAAAAAAAAGTTTCCCATTTTCATGGAATTATGCAAAGGGCTGTAAATGATTCGATATCTGCGTGCCTTTGCGGGATCCAGAGTACGTGAAGGAGCGCAGAACTGTTGGCTGATTGCCTTCAAATTAATTCGAAGGCAATCAGCCAATTAATATTGTACCAAACGCCAAAATCAAAACCTCTTCAAGAGCAAAATTCTGCGGGATGCGCAGGCCGGCTTAAAACTATCCCAGCCAGAGATAATCCACGGTTTTCTGTTATCATTTCGCGAACTCATGTTATATGAGGAACGGTAACGTTCTTCTTGTTTCCCGTGTCAATGTTTGTAAATTGATCGTGTCCTTGAAATCGCAGAGGAGATTTTGCGATACAAGGATAGACTACGAAATTTCGTCATTACTGTCATTCCTACCCTCGCTCAAGTAGATACCCGACTGTTTGTGCAATATTTCCTGCACAAAACGATGGTCCATTTGAAGGGTCTAGCTCTCGTTGCAATCGGACATACGGCAAGACAAATTGGAAGCGATATGAAGCCATTTCTAAGCTCTATCATGAGACACATCAAGGGTGGTCTCGAGGCTTGCGTGTGAGTATTTTATTCTCGCAATTTTCCTACTCATGTGAGTCTTTTCAAAGAAGAGACAGTGCGTTTGGAGGACCAGTAGTAGTTCAATGTCTTGGACTGTTAGCGGAAGCCTTGGGCTTCACCTTGACCAAATATCTTCACGACGTGTAAATTGAGACAGCGAGTGTGATAACCGGATACCAGGGGATCTAGGAGTAGCTCCAGCAAAAATAAAACCGTGTCGGATTCACTATGCTCAGTATCTGGAGCGATTCTGTCGCAAGGATGAGGACAGAGAAGAGTGAATGCCTCCGCGTTTGACATGCCATAGATTCCTCGCGTCTCATTCCTGTTCGCTGCACGAGCATCTCTCTGTGTCCCGAATTGTCTTGTGGGAGAATCTTCCGGCATTCAGTGTGAGGATTTGTGGGCTGATGACAAGTTCGATATCTGAAAACACAAGATGGTCTAAGAAAGATTGCGATAATGTCAGAGTGAGATATTTTCAGGGTCTATCATTCAAGATACTATTCTAATTTGCACTCAGGAATACATCGAAACCCTGGTAAACTGTTCGGACATTAACATCCCCTTAACTGAACAATCAGTAGATGACTTGTCTTTCCCAGTCAACAGGTGCTTTACTCTGAATTCAAATCCTTGGCATTGGTTGAGCCCTTACATCTACAGATTCCAAAGAAGGTTAACTTTCTAGATAGATACCAAAACCATTTTTTGGAGCGTTTCGTACCTTTGAGCAGACGGACGAACTTGAAGTCGCCTCCCTCCGGCCGCTGGTGTGCAAGGACGTGCCGAGCTTGTCACCTTCTCCCCGAGGAAGTGCATTCCGCACTGGTACCCTAAGGGTATGTTTGTTTGAGACTCCCATATCGACTTTCCAAAACACCTCCAACATCCCAATTTTCCTCCGACATCTTCCCTTCGCTTTAACACATATCATCCCACTCCTCTGTTAATACACTCACTAAAACCCCGGCTGCTCCAATGTCCTCGGAGTTAAGATCATGGTTGATTATTTTGCCCCATGTCTGTTGGACAAATGTTTTGGACAATTTTCCTTTCGAGAATTTCTTATCAAAACCATTTTGGGTCCTGAACAATAGACTACAGGTAGTAACAATGTTCTGGTTTGATACATTCAATATGTGAAAGGTTACTACGTGCTGCATACGTTCCTATGATTGATCATTCCTCAAGAAGGTCCAATATTCTTCTTTCCTTTCAAGTTGCGACGATGGGCCCGGTTTGCAATGGCTGCTCCAGTGAGACAAATTCTCCTTCCCGATCCTATGGAAATACAAGCAAGCCATTGCTATGAGTATAATGCTATTGGAATTGCCGGAGGAGACATTACTCACTGGTGATAATTACCTTTGAGTCAACACCTGGTTCTGTGGTATCCAACGAGCCTCGAGTGCTAATGACAGAGTTTTCCAGAAGCTTGGAGCCTAAGGAATACTGAGTCAAATATCAGGGTGTTCTTTGGCTTAAAGCACTCACGCGAAGACTTGGATGGTTTGTGAATTACAACGGCCACCATGGTTCTAATGATCTTTTTGTTTTTGTTCTTTCTGGACGAGACAGTGAGTGACTCGGATCTTGAAGACTCAGCGAGCTCTGCATCCTGTAGTGTTAATGGCTGCGATGGTGAAAGAGAATCTTCTCCTGCGTAAGTCATTTCTTCAATGAATACTTTCTGTGCGGAAACAAACTGTTACACCAGATTACAGACCGTCATGCAATTTGAGCCACTCTTTTCTGTTGAATGTACTCCAGAAGGCTGGATAGAGACAGTCATGTCCAGGGTAGTCAAGGCCAGTTTCTTCCACAATTTTGCAATCCTTGCAGGGAATAGGATTTTGGATAGGATTTGAATCAAGTTCATGTGTATGCATGACCGTTGAAAATAACATGCAGAGCTAAACCTAGGGGAAGTATAAGTTGAAGTTGTGACGGTGTGAGTGAAATATCTGCGAGTATAGTGAGGCCAAAAAGAAATGGGTTCTAATATTATAAATATCAATACTTCCTTTGGGAGGTGTATCGGAGATGAAAAACGTTCACTTGCATCTTGATTTGACCGATCGAAAGAATTAATTGTTTCAACACTAGCCAGTTCCTGCTACCTATAAGTTAAATTCACTTCACTACTGAGGATTTCTTAGCGACATATAAAGTACATGCGTCAACGAAAGCGATACTTACCTTGATATATTACTAATTAGAGGGTCATCAAATAAAAAGCGCACAGATTTTCTCGATCAGTTAGGCGCCCATTCGCCTGCTACATACAAATAATTACTTCATAACTTACAAGAGCTTACAAGTGATATCCTTACCGTTGGCCGGTAGCAGGCCCTGCCGCTTGCCGGCGCTGTTTGGATATTCCGTCGAGCGGAAATTTTTCCAAGTTTCTAATCCTTACTAGCTCCTTATATGGCTCCTGCGTGGCAAGGATGTCGTAGTTCTCGGTGAGGAGAAGAAGTCGGTTCTGCAACTACAAGATCCTCGAACCGTCAGAAAGGCGGCCACGTTTGTCTGGCTTCTGCAGGTGCGGCGGATGTCAGGTCAAAATTTGTAATTTAAAATTCGAGGCTTCCAAGAAGTTCTATCATATGTGAATCACTCCTTCCATCCTTGTGATTGTCAGTTATCACAGATGTGCAAATCGAGCATATGGTCTAGGTGACTAGACAAATGATCGTGACCCCCGAGCCTACGTTTAGGATACTCCAATCCGGATATTAATATCCCACTGGAGGACCTTGATGAGTGGCAACGCTCTATTACTTCTTCTCAATCTGGAAATTTCATTTCTCTTGCAGATTCTGTGTCCAACGACTAAAAAGGAATGCCACCAAAAGGGAAGACTGCTCCTGCAGGGCTCGTCAAAAAAGAGCAGCATGACGAAGAACCTTTCAACTGTGGGGCTGCCTCGTCACCCTTGCCAGCGGTTTTGGATGCATCTACACCATCCGGAAGCCAGAAATTCTCTCTTTCACCCCCGACCCTTCCGATGAGCATCCACCCTTTAAATGATTCCTCTCCTATGACTAGTATTGCCGACGAGGACGAATTTCCACATCCATCTCAGCTCACACAGATGGTTCGAGCAATGAGACCAACACCGAAACCGAAACCAAAGACGCAGAGGGATACAACTGATAGAGAGGATCCGCCAATTGAAATGCTCAACGATGTAGAAAGCGACGTGAGCTTATTTCCACGGATTAAGCTGGTGTTCTCATTATCCTTTTCGTGTAGGGTTCTACAAGGTCCGCGAAGTTCCAAGGGCGTGAACAGTCCCGTTCCCTGGCCGGTACACTAGCCTTTACGAAGCGCAAATGGGACAAATCGATATCGTCCTCTCCGTCTACTTCGAGGCCAAAACAGCGACTCAAGTACTTCCATGACCCAGGGAACGAAGAAAATGGGAGTTCCTCGTGTTCTTGCTCGAGAAAATCCTCCGATTTTCTCAGATATAACTTTCACGATTCATTCCTGTACTTGGATGCCAGTGTCATCGTCCGCATCGGATTGACGCAGTTCAAACTGCATCGTACATTACTAGCGGAACACGGAGTGTGGTTCGCGGCGCGTTTTCAAAAATACCCAGATGACAGGTTCGGGGAACTCCCAGTGTACATACTGGATGGTGTCATTGAAGAGCTTGATTTTGTGAATTTGTTAACAGCAGTGAAGGAAGCTATGTACGTGTACTCTGTTTCTGAGCTGCACAACCGACATCCCAAACATGATTCTATGTTGCAGCACATATATAGACAACCCCCCGGATTTACAAATCGTCGTCTCCATATTTCGAGCCGCGCATAAGCTCAAATTTACCAGATTCGAGGATTGGACGAAATCCCTGTTGGAGAAAATGTGGCCCGCGCAATTAGATCCTCTGGATACCATATCAATACCTGCCGAGCTGACACCAAACCGCAACGAGAGGCTTTTATCTACACGTTTGTCCCCTAGTGTGGCTACCGCCATTGTACTGCTTGCCCGCAAATGCGGTCTTCAGAGTGTTCTAAAACGCGCACTCTATGAACTGGTACGAACAGACGGTTTTGGGCAAACTTTGGACAGTTCTATATCGGTTTCAGGTCCCTGTGATCAATTATCAGCAGAGGATCATCGTCTGCTCGTGAAAGCACGAGAAAGGCTGATCTCCTTGTGGATGTCGGTTGCAACACCATCTTTTCCCCCCTGTCCGCTTGCTAATATTCCAGTCAATGATACGCGTCCAGAATGTACAGCATGCGATCCCGTCCAGGATACTAGTGTTTACAGCAACGTATTGCATGGCATTCCATCCGTTTCTCAACCGAGTACAGAAATTCGGAAATCCTTATTCATGACTTATACCAACGATCCTCTTTGTGGGCTCGAGAAGTTGGTAAAATTACCCTGGGAAGCACCCAATACTTTAGACGGTACAGAGGGTAAGGGTTTAAACTATTGCCATTCCTGTGCCAAGATACGGAGAGTGTTCTGGGAGACACGTAGGGAAGAATGGTGGGATGTTTTCGGACAAGTAGTGGGTTGCTGAATACTTGAGTATGAATAACTCCAATCCTTCTTTGTGGACTATACTCTATAATTTTTCTTCCTCCTGTCAGATTTTCATTTGCTGCCCAATTCTGCCACCTATCAGAGGTCTTTGGACTAAAGGATATTCATTATGATATTTGCAATAGATACAAAGCAAGCCCCAATAGGTGAAAGTGTGTAACGGAGTGTCACGCGTTACTGGTTACGAAGCGCCTGATTTGGCGCTTCATTCGGACTGTACCTATGCCTGCTTGTACTTATGCTTACCTATGCTAGATTATGCAGTATGAATATGCTACCATATATGGGACACTGACTCTTGTAGGGTATATAAGGATACTCGATTGTACTATGTACCCTAGGTTATCCAGAAAACTCCCCAGTTACAACAGTTCTCTCGACGACCTACCCTAAGTCCCCATCTCTCTCTCGTGTGGTGTTACTGTGATTTGTCACGCTACCGCTACAAAGTGCTTATATGGTAGAATGTAAGATATGCCGACGCTGCGTGCTTAAACAAAAACATCAGTGTATCATTGAGGCAAAAACTTTCGCGCTACTTTTGTTTTGAAGAATAACTTAGGCAGAATTCTCTTCTTTATGTAGCCCCTTCCAGCAATGCTGTCCTTTGAATGTACTTCCAAATTGCGCGCAGCAGACAAAGACACTCTACTCAATCTCAGCTCAAAGCATTATCTTACTCACAAGGACTCCGATAATTCTAAGGCTCCCGGAAAATGTCGCTATCGTGCCAGCCTCGACCATCGTTTTCTCACTGTCGGCAGTGCTCAATCAATCCTTTGGAGACTTTCTGCGAGCCAACGCGGACCAGCTGGGCCTGAGTTTCAGGTCTAAGTTATACATCGGAGAGGGTGCTGATCCTTTTCCCAATAGTACGTGTTATTTTTGCCTAATATGCATTGTTTATTCAGATTTCCTTCAGTCAATGTCAGGACTAATCGCAATCGCATTCCTTCTCACGACAGTGTCCCGCTACGCGTGTCACTACGCTCCATTCACATACAATATCTGGTAACGACCACCAAAGAAACTGACTATACTTCGTTCTCCTCTCGACTGTCTTTGCCATATATGAGTCTCTTGGATAATATCTTGAAACGTTTCTTCACTTACCATCTTGTCAAGTACGCTTTCAATCGTTTCACCCTTCAGAAGCTCATACGTAAATGTTTGCTTTCCAGGAAATATCCTCTTGTATTCGGCGCTCCATGTCAGGTACTTTAGCTTCCTGTGTGTCAAGTCATAGTGGGAGACTTATTGTTGAGCAGCAATTGGATATCGAAGCATTGTACTTCTTTAACATCTTCCGGTCCATACACGAAATGGCACAACGGTGTAGGTGCTTCAGAAACAACAGCAAACCACATATACCTCTTCCTCCACTGCGCTTGCAGCTTATGTGGACCATGCTGATGCCGAAGACGCTGGGCCTCCAAAACTGAACAGCAAGACAGCATTTTGCCTTTCCATGGAGAGGTCATTCTGCAACGGAGTCAAACGCCTAAGTTCAAGGTGAGCCATACTACAACTCGCATTTCTCAAAGTTCATGCGTTCGCATAGGCCACACCCATTCTACCGATGACCAATACAGATACACATGATGACGAGGAGATCTTGCGCGACTACCCTGTCAAATCCTCTCATATCAATGACGCTGAACTCGTGGAATTTGTTGGACACGATGAGGGCGACCATTCATTCCAGGGCGATTACGATGAGGCCTTCCACCTATCTAGACAAGGCTTCTCGGACAGAGACTGGGCAGCAGGTGATTCTCTAGCCACTTCTCTAACTGTTGCAGTTTCCACGACCTATTCAAATATGATATTTGATTCCGACGCAGACGATTCAGCTTATGACGGTTCTAAGGCTATTGTTGATGCTGACGGCGAAATGGTTTGTCTATCGTCAGATCCTGAACTTCCACGCCCTCACCGAAGCCCTGAGGCTTTGGCCAATGAGCACCGTAACCATCTGGAGCGTCACACGTCCATCTTCTCTGAATCCGAAGCAGGAAACGCTCCCTCAGCTTGTCGTGCTTTCTTTGCCTCTAGGTTCGTGTCTGAAGCTGAAATGGACCAGGATTCGGGAATAGTTCTGGATATGGGTGATTACTTGGATGTCCTGCCGCATGCTGCACCTCAGGTTGTCCCACGTCCCTCTCATCACATCTTGGAATACGAAATAGACATCTCAAAACACCCTTCTTCTGAGGTTCTGGACATTGATTCGGACGTTGACGCTGGCTGGCTCACTGTGCCCCTTACACCACTCCGGTTTTGACATTGACTCGGGTGGTGAACCATGTGCTAGTCAAAAAGGTGTAGACCACCTGCTATCGGACGACGACATGAAAGGAATGGATATATGTGCTGCTAATCCTTCTTTCTCCCCCGTTCCTTTTGCTCATTTCATTGCCTCGCATTCTGGACCTGGGTCTGATCGCTTCAAGGGGCCACCATCTCTCGATTTCGGGTCCACCGTCCGACAACTCTGATAAAGAAGAACAAGAGCATATCCCTCATCTCTTTTGCTCCCATTCACGAAGCTGTCAAAAATCACGTCATCGATCCTGAAGTGTTCAGAGGCGACATTCTCTTGGATAACGACGACAAGGACTGCCCCTGCAACGGAAAGCGAACCTGTGTCCCTCTCACGACACTTAACTCTTCTCAATCTTCTTTTCGAACTACGCAGTCATCTTTGGCTTCTTCAGCATGTTATACCTTACTCTCATCGCCATCAGGCTCTTCTTCCTCTTCTGCCTTGCCAGTATCGCCTATCTCACTGTATCTATCACAATATGAGCATAAAAACGACGGAAATTGCAACCACGACGATAACGTTGACGATTCCCACTGTTCTCGTACACCCCATGGACTGACGTTGACGCTGATGCTTTACCTCTTCACCCGCAACTTCACAGTTCGTCCGGTTCCAATATGGTCACGTCTCAATGTAATCAATATCGTGCGGAAGACGACGGGACAATGGGAAAATCTGACTGGGAGCTCGATTTCACGGAAGATATTCTAAATCTCGAAGACTAGGATCCTCATTGTCAAAACCGGAATACCGCAATAGTCGCAAATACTACGATCTTGAATTCAAGCATTTGAGGACCCGCATTCGAAAACGTTGCACAAGAGTACTATGAAGATCAAAAAAAATCACGAATATCGTGAAGTTGCTATTGAGCACCGAGTATATGTTTTGTGGAGGACAAGGACAAAGAGCAGGAGAATTCTGAGGCTGTATGTTTAACTGATTTTGCTTTTCATCTTGGGTGGTTTCGTTCTCCTTATATCTGGGATGGATGTAGAGAGGCGACATGCGGAAGTATTTTATTACGAGTCCGAAAGGAAATGTAGGATTCGTCCTTATGGCGTGATGACTTTCCTTTTTAAGCGATGCAATCTGCCTTTTATGGGCTGTGACTGATTGTTCCTGGAAAATACACGTGATCTTGTATGATGTGAGCCCGTGTGACCTGACCTTCTGAATTCTTGTCCAACGGAACAGGAAAAACGAGCCTGCCCAAAGTTTAGATAAGCATTACCAATATTAGTAATCGCTAACCTCTTATCCGCGCGCACGGAACAGTTCCCTGCACAGAACTTGTGATCTCGATATCAGTGCTCTTATGCTCTCCCTGTGGTCCCGGTCCAGGTGATCCCTCTCACAACCGAAACTGACTACTACATAGCTGGCCTCCTAGCCATCCGCTGTCTTCGTCCTTTTTTCCGTGTAGTCATGGGATAACTATGGAGTATCTACGCCAAACGACCTGCTCAAGAACGGACTTTCGTGGTGCTTTCTACGTAAAACCTGTGTGCTTTGCGGTAAGTGTCGGGTTCATATTCCGATGTCTGTCCAACACTCATCCTCCTTTCAGAGCAGCTTATGGTCTTTTCTCAACTAATATGCTCGGAGGCATATCCTGCTCGGAAGCACACGAGGAAATTCGGCTCAATCTCTCGGTTTAAAGGATACATTCGACCTGGAGCAAACGAGAAAATACTTAAGAGAGGAGAGTGAATGCGATATAGCTGGCGCTTTCGTCTTCTTTATTTGTTCATGTACGGGTATGTAGCCTTGAGGGTCGGATAATGTTAACCAGGAAAGGCTACGATACAGCCAATAAAATTCACGTTACCTCCCATCTTACTAGTTGCTCGCTTACATACTGACACATCTCAGTGTTTTACCACCACTGAGATGTGAGTACACTCGTCATAACAGAGTACTCCTTCTTCATACCTAGTTTATTGACTGTCTTTTAGATAATATTCACTCTTTTATCTAGCTTCGTTTGTGCCCTCAGTGCATCGTCGTGAATCCCTATCCTTGGTCCACTGTGCAAACCATTCCTTGGGGTCTTTGAATGCCATGGTGCAGACGCACAGGCTCCATCTCCTCCTGTGGGTGTTCATACCTCGACACACTGAGACTCAACAGATATACGATGTTGTGAGCTCATTCCCAAATACAACAAAGTCTCTCTACTGAAGGACCTGGTTGCGCAGTGGCAGACTACCTGGGATCGATCGTCTCCATTTACATCCACAGCGATATACTTCAATCCGAGCACGAACTTACGTTCCGACGAGCGTGAATATCGTAGTGGATGATACGGTGGAATATCAGGATATCGTTGGTTTCGGAGGATCTCTAAGTGAGCACACATTTGTTTATCCTTCACGACATATGAACAAAAAATTATTTATCGGTTACTTCAGCGGACTCCGCGGCTCTGATATTGAAGAGTTTCCCTCCCTCTGTAGAAGTGAACAATCATCCATTCATATTCTGAAAATACACGTTCATGCACAACGGGAAAGTTGCTGACTTTCCTCTCTTCGTATGCGTCTTTATGTTCTTCAATGACTCGAGCTAAAAGAATCCTGGTCGATAGCGATCCGACATTGTAAGCAGAATATCCGAATTACAAATGGTAGTACAAACCTTCGTGTTACCCTCGTCCGTCCCGAGCTCCAACTATGTGTTTAATATACGCGGCAACACTGACACCGAACATCTGGCAACCCTTTACTTCGTTCACCTCGATCTCGTCAAGGCAGGGATCAGGTTCCAGCGTCGACGGGAATTTGCCAGTCGCCGGCCAAGAACTGTCGGCGCCGACTCGACTGACCCACTGCTATGTGCTCTTATCAGAACCATTAACGACATCCACTGGATTCAGCATCAACGCAAGGTTGGGGCCTTCGAACCTGGAAAGGGCCGTGCTGGAAATAAATTCAACCTCTGCATTAGTTTGTCTTCCACTGTCCTCTTCCGCTGACATGCCCAAGCTCATCGCTGCATGATTATAGCGGACAGCGGAGACCAGAAGCTTGCGTGTCGCTGGAGGGACTTGAAGAACGGTTTTCCTCCTAACCTTTGTCTTTCGCTCACCGCTGGCGAGAAGCTGAATAGGAAATATCCTGATTCCAAATTCCGGAAGGCTGAAAAGAATATTTGCGATTCTGATGTCAAGATCAAGTCAATCAGCCAACTCATATAGGATAATGATATCGGCCCCACTGACCAAGGTATCTATGATATCTTAATCAACATTCAAGCCGAAGTTCATCATGATCTTCTTTTAGGGCGCCATGTCATTGTTGGCTCCGAGCCTTGCAGTAAGCTTCCGGAAAATTTGAGTTCTGTAATCATTGCCGACTGCCTGCTATAGCTGAAAACGTTAACGATTGGGGTCTGTTTGACCCCAACCAGTGTGTCGCCGTCGATGAGACTCACAAGTTGAGAATTATCGATATGACGAAATCCTTCAAGCAGGACGTGAGCATGAACTCAAGAAATGCGGAATTAGCGATGTCTTCAAACGAATCTTCAGCCAAATCTCCAGTTACAAGGATGATACACCTTTACCGATGATCAGTTTGCGTGTGCCAGCTATCAATCTACCTGCGCCTTCAATCTTCGAAACTGAACCGTACTTGAAGGAGAAAGATTGATAAGCATGTTGGGGTCGCGTCTTATTGTACGTTTAATCGTTACTATAGACAATGTAAACTTCGTACTTGGGACATCGAAGATTTCGCCATTGCCTTCGAAACCTCTTTCACTATAGGCCGAGAGAACAATACGACAACGTACCCGGTTCACTGCCAAAGTTCGTGACACCTCCAGCAAGCATGTTGAGGGTTGGACACCGTGCATGGTTTCTGGGCAAGCGGTCGTCCGGTGCTTAGTTTTTAACCCTTCTCATACTGTCTTTTTGTTCTGTAGAAACTGACATTATCCACTGCAAATATACGGTGTGAGAACAAGGGACATTAATGATTGGAGGATGTATGAATTCGAAATGCGAAAGGAACTGGGATACGATTGTGCGAACCCGCTTCTGAAGCTGTTTGATTTTGTTTCTGGTACCAAGCATCCTTGACCCGTCGAACAATCTGTTTCGATGGTATTCCCAGTTTGGACCGAGTTTTCCGCCGAATAACATTCGGGAGTAGTATGGAGGGCTTATTGGTTAGAACCGAGGTTGTTTATAGCCTCGATGATGTCAAGTTCACTGGCGAGGGGTCAAAGAAGGGTGTTGAGCATCCAGAACGAAGGCCAGACCTGGGTATCCCTTAGAAGGAATGATATAAGGGTAAGTGAGAACTTAGTGAGCAACCATACGGAATGTACGACACGTCAATTATGACGCGACTACCCATGGGATAGCGTCCTTTGAGGTGATTGTAACCTGCAAGAACTACAATGAGTACTGATATGAAAGAGTGATAGAATAATTGACCTACTGGATTCTTGTTAAGCGTTGTAGCAGCAGCAATGTTCCTCGTATTATCCACTTAAATTATACCATGTCCGGTGTTTGGATCGATATACGTCAGTCCCTGCGACGTTCCAGTGGTTTTGTCGACGTATGTAACGTTCCCTGAGTGAAAAAGAGTATTCTGCGACAAACAAAATAAGCACAACGACTCACCCATAGTAGTCCCACTCTTAGAAGAAATACGTCCCAGAATATTCACGTATTGGTCTCCACATGTGAATGGGCGCACGAGCAGTGTTGAGGCTGGATTTGGGACGGCACTGGGTTGGTTCGGCATTGCCTGGGAACGAGGCCAAACCGAGGAAACTGCACCAATTTTCAATGTGACTACCCCAGAAGGAATGGCTGGAGCGTTCACTCTTCCGAAAGGCGTCAGTGGAACCGAAAGTGAACGGGACCCGGTCCCAACTACTATAACGATTCTGTTGTTCGAGTAAGATTTTTGTGCTACTCATCATATTTCAGGATTACCTTCAAGTGAGGCTCTTCTCGAGAGTCAAGCTCACCAGCAATAACATTTTGCTTGGACCCCGGTAGTCGAGCAAATGTCTCGCAGAGATCGCCATCTACAACCGCCTTGACCGGCGTATAATAACCTCTCAAACTTGACTGTTCTTTGCCAACCAAACTACTCTGCTCTATGCGCAGATGCTGCTCCAACGTCGATATGAAGACGACATCCTCCTTCGAAACGAATGGTACGAGGATACCGACCGTGCCATGGACACCAGTATACAGCAAGATTTCACGTCCTCCAGTAACCATCGCTACTTTGTGTATAGAAGTGATAAGGTCTCCGACATGGAAATGTGCCACCATCTTGGTCTTGTGAGGGGCACCCGTCAATATCCCTTTTTCGTGAAGGATACCAGCGCCGGTAGGGTCTTCATCGACTTGGTCTGATTCCTTAGTGTCCGGTCTATTGACGATAATGTTACCAAAGCGGTCTCGTATTGCTACAGTGTTGTAGTCCACCATCCTCACAGTACTGACCCATCTTCGTTGGGAGTCGTCCCCGAAAACGAGCAAACGGTTTTCTGGTGCTGTGTACGCAACGAAAGAGACATAGTCTTGTATTTCCCCCACTATAATTCTCAAACCTTGCGTATTGAGTGTGATGATGGGCGAAGCAAATGTCTGAACAATGTTTGATGAGCGTACCTTTCATAGCATAAGCCTGGATGCTGCCCTTGTTTTCAACCTTACGAAGTAGCTTCTTCTTCCCGATATCATAAATTCCCAAAGCTTTTCCTACATCGGCGACAAGTCGCCCCTGGAACGCCAAAAGCGCCAGTGGAACATCATTAGTCTCCGTCTAGAGACAACGTTGACATACATTTCAGCAAATAAAGGGGGAAAACTCACTTTGTGAAGTAACTCCAAGCCTCTTCCTTCATCCGTGAATTTGTAAGTCCGCAAGAAGCCACTCGAAAAAGAGCGTGGAGACATCGTCGTATCAGTCGCGGTCCCAACAACTAGGTGGAGCTCACCGCCCCGAACCCTCGACTTACACACAAACTTACTACAACCGTTACGATGCAACAACCAACGAACACAGTTTACACAATACTTTTCATTACTATACGATACTTGGTGTTACTTGTACTTAGTACATAGTTTCCCCCGCTCTTGGCTCCGAAATGGTGGCCTGCGGCGGTTAAATCAACTCTCTCTCTCTCTCTCACCGCCCCGAACCAAAAAACGAACCACTGTTAAAGACGTTGGAGTAGGGTCTCTCAGGATTCACTATCTAATCCAGTATCTTATCTATATCGGTGTTGTTCATTGTTTGTTAGCGTAGGTACAGTAGATATCGAGTAGGTAGACAAGGACAACAGAGGACTACGAGCACTCACAGATCAAGATCTAGCATTAGCGACCGGTCCAACGTTAGAATCTAGAGGGATATGTGCCACTGTCCGCCTGAATAATCACATGTCAGACGTGGTCCCGAAGTCCACGACTAAGAATCGATACAGTTTACAGTGTCCATAATCTGTACTATATTCTGAAGAATGTATTTATGTTGAATTTTCAGTTTGTTTTTGCCCGAAGATACATTTGTTATACTGTCGATGGAGAATATCAAAGACAAAATTGCAAAAAATGAACTCCTTCATTTTTGCTCCTACGAACATTTTTTGTATACTGAAACTTCGGAATCAGTATAGTGTTTGATGTGCGACCAAAATCGGTGTTGATATTTAAGTCAAGGTCACTGTTGGTCGACCTAGTGCGTTGTATAAACTACTAGAATGTTCTGAACCAAGTATCTGTCAGCATGAGCAATTCCACTGTAATATACAAAGTCACCGTATGAAAAGGAGTTGGAGATCTTCGTTGTAGGATCAGTGATCATTTCATGAAAGAACGAGTGATTTCTGTTTGTAAGTTCAGAGGTCGGTTCCACGGGATAAGTTTGGTGTTGACGATAATAATAAGTACAAGGGGAGGTCAAATCATTGTCTTGATTGTGATTTTCAGTAAATCCTCGAGTAGGTTCCTGACTGATGGATAGGTTGGGTGGCCGCATGGTCGATTTCATCCAGAAATCTTCTGCAGGATGGTCATAGAAAGCATTGTTGTTGTGACTGATGTCTTTGATGGTGGTCATTGCAAGCGACTGTAAACGGTGCAATGTTAGAGTACAGGTATGATAAAATTATGGCGTACAGGCCTTACAGTGTTTGCTTTCTTGAAGTCTAGATTTTGTGAATCAGTCTCGGGAACAATTCGTATTTCACCGAGCTCCGAAATTGAAGATAATGTCTGTAAGTAACGATTCAACTATATGGTCATTTGATTTCAGTAATTCTCGCTTACGGTAGTTGCAGTGGTGGCTCCGTTACGCGAGGTGGGTAAGATCTCGAAGTCTTTGAGCATGTAGTAGGATATATAGGAATGCTGAGTTGCTCACTTCTTTGACTGTCGTGTCTTTGGGATGAAAATGTTGATTTATGTCGGTTGTTATCGAGGTGGTGTTGAATGCGGAGTTGTTATGATGAGATGTCGACAACTGAAAGGAACCATTGGGTTATAGTGGGTACAGAAAGAAGGTTAAGAATGTGTAACGTGCTTTGTTTTTCACATACGACGCAGTTGCAAAATCTCGTGGTGCTAGCGAGATGAATCGAGGGGATTTCTATACGAATTATGATGCAAGAGAACGACGCAATTTAGACAGCGACTGACCGATGTTGTAATTTTTGGTCTTCTTGAATTGTGAACTTTTTCGTGTTCATACCAGTCCAACAACTGGTCATATTGTGCTGAGTTGATTCGCATCGATGCCATAAGCCGAGAGCGTGTGATGATTGGTACGCGGCTACATCGACGATGGGGAGTGCATCCTTCGCATCTCATGTTGTTGGGGTGCACAACGCACGTTTTACCTCTTGCTTGACAATTATTACAGCTCTAGCATGTTGTTTACGACGTCAGGGATACTTCGGAAAAGAGGACATACGATATCTTTGTGTTCTTCGTTCAGTGCTTGCCTCTCTTTTGTGGTTCCGTATTTTTTGTAAAGTGAGGCGAAAGTTGATTTCATGATGTTCGTTAAATGGTGCGCGTTGTTGTTCTCATCGTCTAAAGTTGAGATGATATCCTGCAGTTGTATGTTGTCGGTACTTCGGATTTGATATTGAGGTAGTGTGGACTGCATAAAACGACGATAGTGGTAGACGTGAGTGTATGGAGATATTTGTACCTGTGGTATAACAAATTTTCCTTCGGGGGCTTGTCATGTTGATTCAACATCTAGTATATAGTGCACACCGGATAATTCCAGAAGCGACTGATTATTTTTTACATGGTCTTGCTATATGTATGTTGTTGTCGAATCCATTAACACACCGGAAAGAGAAAAAAATCCGCTCAGAGGAATATCGAAATTTAGCGTAAGTGATAATCATGTGATCGCGGATAAGCTATATTAGGGCAAGGGCCCTTATGTATATGCGGTGTCGGCTTTGTTCACTTAATTGAATTTGAAAGCTGTTTACGAACTAGGCTCCACTGTCGTGGACTGCACATCGCTTCGGTCAAGATGTTCGTCATTGAACTAGGATAGGATAGGACATGAACAATACTTCTGTATTATTTACAGATATACGGAAGCTCTATGATCTGTGCATACGTTATATCGAGAGGCGGACTTTCTGTATTCCATCACCAATAATCGACCTCTTTGTCCAGGCCGTCATCTTCGAGCATCTGACTGCACCATAAATGTCTCGCTGAACCAGCATCCATGGAAGTGCGCCACAGTCCGTTATACCACCCACAATCTTGGAAACCTTATTGATCATACACGACGTATGAAAACCTCTTCGACCGTGGAGGGGAGCCATTGCATATGGGCCGGTGTGTTCACGCACCACCATTTTTCAAGTGACATCGTCCGGGTAACCCACGTACAACCCTGTTCCATTCACAAAGCAGCATCCTAAAGTGTCCCCGAAGCCCAAAAGCAGTGGAAATCCCCTTTTGCTGAAGAAAATTCGAACCCGCAATCCCTGTGGAGGCTGATAAATATGATGTCAACTCATTGAACTACGAACTACCTTTTTGCCATGGAACTTCATGTAAGCTATGCAATAATCTTCAAAGATAATTGGTACGCAGTCCTGCACACCATCCAACCTCATCCTTGACATGATATCCTTTCATAGTGTACCTGAGTCCGAAGGTGCGAAAATCAACAACGGAGTACGTTTGAGGAATGTACCCACCGATACGTTCAGAAAATGTAGCACGAATTGGCCTGCAATGACGGATTTTGGCCTCGTCAGCATTATCACCAATGAGTCGGCGCCTTCGATGTAAGTTTCCAGCAACTGCAGAAAGCGTGCGTCCATGAATCGTGACACCTCAGAATAATGGAAACGGGACACCCCTTTCACCATTGTCCATTCGCGTAGACCGGACTCCGCAAGAATGTGATGTTCTGTGACTGTTGGTAGTGTTTCATGGAAAACGTATGGTGACCTCCCCTCCCATACTGGCACCGAACATTCTTGTAATTGTGAGTGATGGCATTGAGATGATATTAACCCCAGGTCTCTTTATGAACTTTTGCTTGAATGTTGATTAATATATCATAGATATCTTGGTCAGTGGGGTCGATATCATTATCCTGTATGAGTTGGCTGATTGAATTAATCTTGACATCAGAATCGCAAATATTCTTTTCAGCCTTCCGGAATTTGGAATCAGGATATTTCCTATTCAGCTTCTCGCCAGCGGTGAGCGAAAGGTAAAGGCTAGGAGAGAAACGGTTCTTCAAGTCCCTCCAGCGACACGCAAGCTTCTGGTTTCCGCTGTCCGCTATAATCATGCAGCGATGAGCTTGGGTATGTCAGCGGAAGAGGACAGTGGAAGACAAACTAATGCAGAGGTTGAATTTATTCCCAGCACGGTCCTTTCCAGGTTCGAAGGCCCCAACCTTGCGTTGATGCTGATTCAGTGGATATCGTCAATGGTTCTGATAAGAGCACATAGCAGTGGGTCAGCCGAGTCGGCGTCGACGGGAATTTGCCAGTCGCCGGCCAAGAACTGTCGGCGCTGGAACCTGATCCCTGCCTTGACGAGATCGAGGTGAACGAAGTAAAGGGTTGCCAGATGTTCGGTGTCAGTGTTGCCGCGTATATTAAACACATAGTCGGAGCTCGAGACGGACGAGGGTAACACGAGGGTTTGTACTAACTACCTTTTGTAATTCGGATATTCTGCTTATAATGTCGGATCGCTATCGACCAGAATTCTCTTAGCTCGAGTCATTGAAGAACATGAAGACGCATACGAAGAGAGGAAAGTCATCAAATGGCCCGTTATGCATGAACGTGTATTTTCTGTTGACAGTTCCTTGTGTCCCTACTTCAAACAAGTTAAAGCCAAAGACTTCTCAACCATCATCCTCGTCAACGCCTCGGGGCACGAGTTTATTCAAAAGCAGTTTAATCAGCTCATGCTCTGCGTCTTTTGTAGCGACTGCTCACTCAATGCCACGGGTTACCAGTGTGAGGATTGCCATCACACATGTCATAAGAAGTGCCATGAAAAGTCACTGTGGACACATGCTTCCGCTTGGTCGTCAGAACGCACGAAAATGTTTTGAATGCGACCTAACTAGCCATGCGCACCTCGTCGAATGCGACATGCTAATTTTGTGCACCTCGTTGAATGCAACATGCTAATTGTGCGCACCGCGTTCCGGACTTTTGTGGTTTGTCGATGGAAAGCGCAAATACTCTCCTACTGGACACTGTGCGGGATATCAAATTGTATATCTTGCTCGTTTCTCATTGCGGTTTGCTCTCAATAGGCTTGCTGGACTCGTACTCAGCCTTACTCCATGGGTGTATACGCTGCAGAGACTACGGTGGCCATTGGATGGTTCGCTCACCGAGCCCTGCACCCTCAAAGTAAGTTTTGGAATTTTCTCCATATCGTGTTCGTTTCTCATCGCGTTTACCTCTAAATAGGCTTGCTGGACTCGTATTCACCCTCGCTACCTGGATGTATAAGCTGCAGAAGCTACGGTGGCCACTGGATGGTTCGCTCACCGTCCCCTGCACCCTCAAAGTAAGTGTTGCAATTTTTTGTATATCTTGTTGATTATCTGAACTACACAGCTTCTGCGTCTTATATTGATGAAATCCTAGAATACTGTCCGACCCCAACCCCTACCTCTGCCGGATTCTCTATCTCCCATTCGCCTGCACCTCCATACCCAAGTTCACCCCTGCCCTCGGCATCCCCAATTTCAACATAGTTTTAAAGGGAAAGAAGGACAGATGATGAGCTGGGGACTTTATATGATGAGATCTGGACAGGAAATGGCGCTAAAGGGTTGAGAAACTTGGAGAACGCACCAGGCGTTGAGGCAATGGCTATGGAGCAAGCCCGAGCTCCCCATCCAGCAGGACCCGCTCATACTTTACTCCTCCGACTTCAACGACGTCTTTTTCATTAGTAAATTCGACTTCTTTATGGATTCGCAACTCCATCATCCATACCCCGACCTCCCTCGCTTCCAGCTTCATCTCTAGCGTATTCACCTACTCCGAGGAGTTCATGTCCTCTGCCTTTGCCTCCCGGTGCTCACGGCCCACCTTCAGCGACGATCAAGGCCTCCCTATCATCTGCCTCAGTCCCAGCTCATTCCGCAGCGGCCTCTAAATTACGAAATTCGGTAGCCTTAGGCTCCGACAGACGGAGCACTCCCACTCTGGATTCGCCATCATCAGCACGAGGGCATCAGCTATCTACCGCTCCAGGAGCTTCCAGTGTAGCAAGCCCAGCATCCTCGAATATCTCTCCGGCGGCTTGTTTCGAATCGGTTTATAGGGTACCGCCTGAAGCCAGTGGACTAGTACCTCCTCCTTCTCCCTTGGGTCTCGTCCTGCACCTCTCCCGGGTGATGTCTCACTGGCTGCGCTGTTTTTTCCCCAGATAATTGCTACCTCCATTCTGGTGACGACGAATGGCTCAACACTATATGGCTGAACTTACACCTTGGCCGTAACTTTCATCGAGGGTAAGGTTGACAGCTCCGGCCTCCCGAACGTGAATGGGCTAAGAGATTGGGTGAGGCAAGGAGACGGAGGACATAATTCCGAAGGAAACGCAATTTTGTATAAGGCAGGTGTCTTTCTTGTGACGTCTTTCCCCTGCTGTAACCTTCTATCGTCTTCCACACCAGGTTCTCATAATAGCGACTGCTCTTGCCAGCCCATGGCTGTCGGAAGCCAATTATGTCTTTCGGAGAATTCGGTGTGATCACAAAGAACTTCAAACCGAGCTTTTTGCATACATCTTGACCAGCCCGATGGAACCACTGGCACTCCACCACCACTACCTCCGGTTCAAACTTGTGAACAATATCTTCGATCGTTCTGAGCTGGTCCATGTATTCAGACTCTATCCACGGAAGCAGCATGCTCGGCGCATGCGGTGTATCAAGCCTAGTCATACCAACTGCTTCGATGTGTCCGCGGCCAGGGAGTAGACTGAAAGAAATATTGGACGAATTGTAACCTGCGTCTCGTAGTTGCATCTGCAACTGAGTAACGCGTTTCTCGAGAGCTGCGAAGGACGCGATAGCAACCTTAACACCGGGTCGTGTGGCAAGCTCATACGCGAGAGCAAGAACAACATGCGATTGCAGGCCACTGCACCACCGTGCATGGCAGAAACTCGGCTCCTTTTTTGAGGGTTATTAAATATTATGGAATCAAATAAATGGGGCGCCTTACAGGCACCGACATTGAATGTTTTTTGAGAACAAAATAAAAGCAAAGTCACATAAACTACAGTAGCTATGGAGTAACTGAGTGAGACGAGAAAAAATAATCGTGACAGGGTCACAGTCTCGTGATATCCCGTGCCGGTCACAAGAAAATCAATACAATTCAACTCAGTGTTACTTTTGTCCGAATAAGGAGAAACTCCTACCATATATAGAAATGAATTTTGTATGGAGTGCCGTATATAAGGACGATACTTCCGTAAACTACAGCCTCGTAACATTCGCTTGTCTATATTCACAATTCGTAGTGAGTAAAATGCGGCGAGACATGAGAACCCTGCAAGTGAGCGAATGAGGGAAAATAATGACTCAGAAGAAACCAATGAGCGAGTTTTGAAAGGTAAGCGCACAGCAGGCGCATACATAACCCTTGATTGAGCAGTAGTCTAGTAGAGCTGTATACTGTTCAGGCGTCACATTGCTATCTGCAGGGTCTTTGGGCTCAGTTGACCTCCGTTCCGGAATATGCGGCGTTGACGATCATATTCGAGCAAGCGTCAAGCCCGCATCATCCTCCTCCTGAGTCATACTTGTCGGTGGTACATCCGGTGTCATGAGGATATGTCGGGGTACAAGTGCAGAGATTTATGTCTCTTCGAAACATGTCACTTGCGAAATTTGAATTCTAGACCAACTGTGGGCAAGGGTCCTACTTCCGAGAGCGGGTATCGACCTAAACAAATTCCAATTTTTGCTAAACATGATGTCCTTAAACGCTCTTACCAGTCTGGTTCCAGTCCTTGATCTTCCTGAAACAAGGACCTGTGCTGAGGTTGAGATGCCCGCGATGGGATGATGTCAAAAATGGTCATGTCCGAAGACTCTGCATCGGCTACACTCAGATAGCTTGTTGGGGCGTTGCCGTTTGGGAAGGAAAGTAATTGACATTGTCTGCATGATATTGCGCAAACTCGTCACTGCTACTTTCATTGAGCCAGTAATTGAAGTGAATGTCTTGCAGAGACTGTCGTTCACCAAGGAACTACTAAGATCCCGCCACTCAAATACCTCATGACTCTCTAGATCATCATCCACGGTGGTAGGTCCATTATAGAAAATGTCAAGGGAAAAATGGCAGATGTGGTGACATTGCATAGCATGCAATGCACTCATCACAGCCTGCGATACATAGACGATCTTTTTATGCTGGTTATAGAACGACACATTCCCGTTGTACCCAAATTCACGGAGGCCATGGATGAGAGGAAATTGTATGATATTGAGAGAAGAAGGTCAGTCTACAGAGAGGAGTTTGTGATTAGCGATTTCATTCCACTTCAAGAGGCAATGAGAATGGACACACCACGAGCATTGATAATAAGCTTCTCGAGTTGTTCCATACCACTCAGGATAAGTGCAACGTCGCGGTCTCCCCACCATTCGTTGATTTCAACAATGAAGGTACTCAATTTCCGAAGATTGAGTCTACTAGAAACGACAGCCCGGGGTATATGAGGATAAGTGGCTTGCAAAGATCGTGCATAGGGCAAGAGAAGCCTTTTCACTGATACGGGTGAGTCGCCAGGAGGGAGCACCACAGCAGGAAGTGCTAGTGTGCTAGCAGAGCCTGACTGGATCATAGATCCATGGACAGCAACACTCTCAATACATTGGCCAGGCACGAGAGAAGCAAGGCCAACTACCGAGTGAGCAAACAGGTACCAGGGAATATGGGCCTGAACAATACTGAGCGCCGGAAACAAAAACTCGGGGCAAAGGAACAGAGCGAGTGTGGTGGGATGCGAAAATTCTAGGATGAGACGCGTGACGGTCTAGCGGATGGAGGAAATGGACAGGAAATTTGCAATAAATGCATTATACTATGTACGATGCCCAAGGATATGGAATGCAGGAATATGGAGAATTCGGGGGGAAGATGTGAAATGATGGGTACGATCATATGCCTGCCATTGACGAAGCTGTTCTCCACTTTTGCTTATGTCGTCCGTGAGCTTCAACGTATGAAAAATGATTTTATCGGCGGCAATCCGTGCATTGTAGGAGACTTTGAGAAATTTTCTGACATCCTCAGGCTCACAAAACTCCCGGAGGAGAACATCAAAAATATCAACAGGGAGGTCATCCATCTTTGATCACCTAAATGAAAGGGTGAGTGAATGCAGACTAGAATAATTAGGGTAGAAGTTACACTGTTGCTTGTTGTGATGGAAGTTGGTCGGATGAGGTGGGTTGAGTTCAGTAAGGGATTTGAAATTTGTTCAAGGATGATCGATGACGCTGCATGTGCAAATTAAATGACTACAAACAAAAATAATTTCAGCGGGAAATGTAGTCCTGTGAGACCATATTGCCTCCTATTCCCAATGAGGATGTGGGTGTCACGAACCACATCATGGAGGATACGGTACAGGAAAACCATATCCTCAATATGAATGTAGTTTGTGAGACCCACATCTACATCTTCGAGGAGAATATGGTACCCCTGTTCCATATTGCCAATGAGGATGTGGTCCATGACATCCGCATTGTCGAAGATGATATGGTCCAGGGAGACCATATGCAAAATGCAAAGTCACATTCACATTCAGAATATGGGCCACCCGATAACGAGCTTGCCTTGTTTTTGTGTGAAAGAGAATGGAAGGAATCTAATGGGCACTCCAACCAACCAATCTAATACACAATATGCGAGTTCACTGCTATCAAATTTATTTAATAGCAAGGGGTAGCGTTGGCAAAGGTTCCGCAAAGCTTTGAGAGCTAAGTAAGAAGCTTTGATCAATCAATTTGAATCGTTCTAAGGATTCGATATATTCCTTTGATCAAGGTAGATTCAGCACGATTTGTGCTTTGGTTTGTATTGATTTGGGTATATCAAGAATTGGGGGTTTGAATCAAAGTAAATTAAAACTGAAACACACAGACCCCTACGGAGGGCTAGAACTATGTGCTGGCACAACCACACAGCGTGATTTGCTCTTAAGACCAACGACTGATCCTAAGTTCGAAGAATACCCAACAACTGGATATACTTCTCGCAGTCACAAGGAGCAGAACACAACGTTCCTATACTCACAAGTGCCGGGCCCGAATGGCTGCTAGCGAAGAGGTTTCAGTCTGGCGGGAGTGTGTCTTTCCTTTTTACGGATTAGCACTGCAACGTCGTCCCAAAATCACTTCTATTCCAGATACATCGGATCGCTATTTATACATACAGAATATAGAGTTGCACAGTACAATTAATTTAATACAATAAACGTTCGGAACCGTCAGGAAACTTCTACACTCGGTCAGATACCATTTAATTTGAATCTTCATGTCCTTATCTGGCCCATATTGGTTCCAAGATTCTAGTATACCTCCAAACATAGGTAGGTACTTCGATATTCATTTAATTTAATTGTTTTTGGAGGATGACTCGAATGGTGTTCAACTGTCATTGCTGTTCAACACTTACTTCGATCGTTTGTCACCTCGTCCGGAGGCAAATCAGCTCTCCTTGATTCTAATCCTATCAATCTGATTCATCTGGATTAAACTAATTGCTTCTCTCTTTCAATAGACACCCATTGTGCCTATACTCTATCAAGGGAGTTACATATAATATTTATTTGTTTGCATTCTTCAATATTTTCTACGTCAGGACTCTTTGACATTCATTTGATATGTCTTCGGAGCCTCGTCATACTTCGATCGCTCTTCTAGTCATTTTCCTCAATCACGCAACCTGATTGGTCTATTAGACTAAATCACAGTCTTTTAGATTAATGCCTGATCTCGTTCTAGAAAGAGTATTTGATAATTCCTGAGTTCTAGAAAGTCATCTCGAGTCAATCCTCGGCTCATGGTTACTTAAGTAAGTTCTTCCAAACTCCTGCCAGTGTAAGGTCCAATAAGAATACCCTTGGTATGTCATACGTGAATGGTCATCCTTCGGATGTAGTCCGAGTCTGGTATAATCCTGCTTGACAAACAGGTAGACTGCTATCCGAAGGTAGTATCGGGGATGGGTAAACTAACCAACTTGTGGTAGTATGGGTGTATGGTCCCTTCAACTTATTAGACTGATTCAGTATTGACTTTGACTGTCAATCTGGGTCTCAATTACAGTCCTCTTGATACAAATCTATACGTGAAAATGTCACAATTCACAGTATAGACGTCTAGCCAAAATTTAGGCGTGTCACCGAACCATAATCGAAGAGAAGATGCAGATATAGTATGAGGGAACCATAGCATTAAGAGCAAAAATATGGCTCACCTGAACCTCATTGTCATAATCCCATCATCCATAGAGAATACAGATTACCTGAACCGTAGCCTGGCCCAAATCCTGATATATCATATTACCTGATGTGACCAATGGCAATATGGGTCGCCTGAACCATATCACCTACCTTGTGAAGAGAATACGGGTCATTATCGCATGCGGGGAACTTACAAAGGGTGGATGACCTGAAAAGGGCTTAGAAGAACAATGAATAGTCTGTAGGTGGAGCAACACACATAATTCCTGCTTGCTTGTAATATGCGGAAGCTGCCTTCATTCATCAAAGTATGTAGTTCGAGATCACTACATTCAACTACTAATCTAAAGTTAACGCCTTGTAGATTACATAACCTACATACCGCCGGGTGCTCTGTCTACAGGCGCGGGCTGTATGCTTATTCACAGCCGGACTTCCGTCGCCTGGCCCAAAGATCGTTGAAATAGTATAGTCACCTTTACGGTGCCCGACTGGGCTCAGGCTGGATTTGAATGAAATGATCAAAAATTATTGAATGGTTATGTTATTTTGTGACCGAGTGACTGATTTGATGCCATGTATCATAATATCTCCGAGATATCGGCCCGGCAGGAATTCTCGGCACAGTAGCAGCTCCCGCCTCTCTCTCTTACCCAACAGTGAAATCAGAGAATTACTTCATTGAGCACTACGTGAGGATCATGTGAAACAATACCATTGATTTCAGATGTGTCACAAACACTTGCACTACATCTATATTTTGCAGATGTTTCAGTGTATAATTTGTAATGTGATCAAATTATCTACATGTCACAGTAAATTAACATGAGCCTTGTCATGCTCAGAGGCACAGTGAGTAAGTAAGGGAGTCAAAAATAAAATGAAGAATTCATTCATCCTTATGGTGAGGAAATGTTAATGTAACTTAATCTCAGTTGGTAGTAAAACAACTGTATTGTGGTACTTGTTAATGTTGGTTAATCTACATTTTATTAGTGTGGCTATTATAAGTAAAGGTCATGTACAAGCTTACCTCAGTTGGTAGTGAAACAACTCAGGGAGCTGTACTGTCCCATTGGGTGTCTATATACAGTATCTAGTAATAATGCTGTTTAACTGAATGTACATACTTGTATGTGTTAGAGTATACTCCGTACGTACAAATACCCTATCATTGTGTAAACGGCGTTATTACAGAATACTGTACAGTACTAGCTTACATCCCACGATGCAGCGTTTTGATTCCCTCAGTTGCTTTACAGACAACTGAGGTGAGTCCTAGGATATCAACTACATAGAGCAGCCCACTGATCACCTACATAGATTACGCTCTTAACAGATTATGAGACTTGGTTCTACATAGATCAAAGGTTATCAGTGGCAAAAAGAAATCAAATATAGAAATTAACATACAAGATGTCATTCGGAAACATGCCAAATATACAGAGATTCCTGGATGAGAAACAGCTCATTGGTGAGGAAAACTGGAGACCATATAAGCAAGAAATCCTATTCGCAGTGCAGTTGAGAGGACTAACAGGATACATTGATGGCACAATACCCTGACCCAACAACTATCCGGGCCCGATATACCCATCGACTCAAATCACTACCCCGCTCTTCAGCCCAACGCCGTGCTTGGAGGAATGGGAGGCCCGCAACAGGCTAGTTGCTGGAGTCATTGTATCGAATATCACTGACCCCGTAGGCCTGGGGATAGATGAAACAAAATGGGCATCAGAGATCTGGACTACACTAATCAAAAGATTCGAAAAATGCGATGAACAACGCATACACCTAGCCGATATGAACCTCCGACAAGAGAAATTCAACCCAGCAGAATCAACAATGGAGGACCATGAGAAGTGAATGCAAAACCTTATCAAGAAGGTACATGATCTGGGAGGTACGGCTATGGACACCCAATTCCACCAGATCGTAATCTCGTCCATGCCATCAGACTGGAGACAAGACATATGGAGCATACCCAGGTCCTCGAGTGCAGATGTGTTCACCTATCTGCATACACTGTGGTATGAGAAGGAGGAAGAGCGGAAGGAGGAGGAGCGTGACACCAAGCGTGTCAAAGCACTGATGGCAGCACACAACACCACCATGCCTACCAGTATAACAGCAAATGCACTCTGAACCAATAGACGCACAGTACTCACCTGCCACAACTGTAACAAGCCTGGACATATAGCCAGAAAGTGTTGGGTGAAAGGAGGCAGCATGGAGGGACAGTGGCCGAAGCAGAATCAAGCCAACAAACCAAAGAGTGGGACAAATGCAAGCACCGCGAGCACAGATGACACTGAAATCTCCACTCCCATGGCAACATACGTGATGTCGACCCAGACGGACATAAACACAAAACAAAGTACGTCCAAATCCATCCCAGGATCTAGGCATACCGCTGACCTGGAATCATATCCAGTACTGAGTAGCAGATAGAATACCTGTGAATTTGCTTTTACATTTTCTTTCAACACTTTGATTTATTCTAGATATTTTTGATTGGTAAATGTTAACTACAATATTTCAGTAAATATGAGAAGGAAGAAATAACATCAGTTGAATGAAAGGACAACTGAGGGAATTGAAAAATATATGTGATAAGTATATAAGGTGATTGAAAAGTATAGGAGTTGAGGAACATGGTGGCCAGAAAACAAAGTAAGATCACACAGAACAAAGCTGAGTATATGGAGTATGAGTCCAACAGTAATCTCAGTATAGCTGGTCTACACTCTGGCCTCTAACTTACCTTCCAGCCACCTGCAGAACATCCTTTTTTTCCTATTTAATCTTGTGTCAGGTCTATATCATACAGTGATTTTTGAATGTATACCGTGAAAGCAGTACCCCAAAAAGAGGCAGCAATTGTGCCGGAGGCATTGCCGGGCTGATATCTTGGAGATATCCTGATACGTGGCTGTCATGCCTTGGCTACAACCACACCAGCCCCAGTACCCCCAGTACCCGCCACACGTTGTCATACTTCCTACCCACCTTCTGTACCTCCTTTGCACCTCCCCAAGTATTCCTGATATAACTCCCCAAACAACCTTCACCTGACGCGCATACAAGATCCTCCTAACCGTTAACCCCTTTTAGTACTAATCTCGATTACCTCCCTCCCTCAATTAGCTGCCTCATGTCTCCAGATGTCCTCTTGTTCACTTCCCGTACCTATTTAAGTAGCGCTGCATTGTCCTGAAGCCCCAGCTTGGTATATTTTGAACACACACCCTTTACATAGGTCCAGTCCCTGTCCCTTTGTACCTGCTAACCATACGGAATTCTCTTTACTGTTTGTTTCTCTATCTCAGTTTCGCTTTACTCCCGTCTACTGTCCTCCCGATCGTCTGTACGATCAAATACACGCTTTTACTACACGTTTAAGCCATCCGAGTGAGTCTCCGAGCTCCCTCAAGCAATACTAAAGCTCCCCAACGCCTAACGCCTTGGTGAGCTAACCTCCCCAAAACCTTCCTGAGCTCCCCAATTGCCCCACAAGCTCTGGGACCTCAATCTAAGTAATGTTGAAGCTACCCCCTACGTCAAACTACGTGCCGCTTCTCCGTTACCACCTCCAACACTCGAGGACGTCCACCCCCAAACCCCAGTTCCCGGGACCTCCCCTCCCGGGCGTATACCTTCTCAGGAGCTTATACGCTTGAGACCTATTCCCTCTACGACCTATTAGACCTTACATTGATGTTCTAGCGAGTACAACTCCTCCTATGCAACATTACTAGGTTCCGCACCTCTACCGCCTCTATTTACGCCTTAGGGACCTCCCTGGACCTTACAGGAACCCCCCAAGGGTCACACCTCTTAACCCCAGCCACTACTAGGTCATTCCCGTCCTCGGTCGCGGTTTCTGTAGCTCCCTTCAAGCTCCAGCCTGCTCCTAGCATGCTACAACATAAACTCTTCGTACCAACACCTACCCTAAGACCTATTTTGACCCAGGTCTTACAGTGGCATCAAATCAGTCACCCGGTCACAAAATAACATAATCATTCAATAATTTTGATGGGTTTTATTCAAATCCAGCCTGAGCCCAGTCGGGCACCGTACCTTGCTTGCGTTCTATTCTACAGTGCTTTGCGAAATGGTTTGCTTGCTCGACTTTTTCACATCTATTTGTGTTTATTTATTTGTCCAATATATTTTTACCCCAAAAAGGATTCATCAATCACTTTTTGAAGCCCGACGGCCCTGGTGGTCCTCAAAGAGAGCCCTCTCGAGCCTCGGCCCAAAAATGTATTGGACAAATAACCAGAAATAAACAGCAATAAACGCTTGGTAAAAAATCCATACAAACAAACCATTTCGCAAAGCACTGTACCTGGACATTTTTGATGTGCAGGCACACTTTGAACTTGTTTTGTTTTGAAGGTTCCATTATCTTCTAGCTGAAGGGATGAATAATTCTGTAGCTTCCCATTGTAGTACATAGCTTTACAACAATTCTTCGTACGTTGAACTTGCTAACTGTCAGACCTCGGTTACTTCTAATAGCACCTGCATGGCTGGCGAGTCGTGAAGGAAATCAGGCGAAGGCGAGGTCAGTCAAATAAAGAAAGAAGGCGTTCATGTGTGTATCCGTGCATAACCCGCAGTTAACTCTTATTTACCGTCACAGCAAAACTTGACTCCAGTCCAACATTAGAAGCAAACACCCTTAGCGCCATCCACCGACTATGTTCCTTCAAAGTCGACGGAGGCAGGAACCTTTGCGTACACATTTAATCTACCGGATTTTCGTATGGACATAATAATTCCCTCCCTTACTCGACCACGATATATCATCCGAGGAATAATGACTTTGACGGACTTCAAACATCGCACCCACATCCTAACACCACTAATAAGGGACGCATATGTTCAAGATCTATGAACTTACGTCGGTTCCTTTTCGAGCTGCGCCGGAGCGATTGACCCCACAAAGCTGAAACGATACCAGAGAGACGAGTACTGCGCCAAGTTTCATGGTCTTTATTAGGTTCTTGATCTTCTCGTTAACTGTGGATCATGAATTGTTAGGAACAAATTTGAAAGTAGAATAAAACACAAAACACACGAGATGAAGGAAAAATCCGGTTATTGACCAGAACAAGATCGGCCGTATTTATCCATTCAATTACCTCTGCACTTTGAAGCATATCTCCACAGACAACCTCCATTTTTCCAATGGGAATACCCCAAATCTCGCTTCTTACAATGGCTGTTCGAAGCATAGTCTCCGCAATGGCTGCTACATCTCGGCGGATCTCGATACCGAATGATCTACATCTGTGAGTTAGTGCAGCCTGTGCAACTGTGTTCCCAGCTCCACTACCCAAATCTAAGAAAACAGAATCCTCCACTAGATTGGCCTCGTTGAATAGGCGTTCAAGGAAGATCGGCATCAATTCTCCATATACAGTGTTATCACGTCCTGATTTGAGCAGTGTATGTTTGGGTTTTAGGCAGTGCCCATAGATTTCTTGAAGTAAGCGAAAATAGCAGCTAGCATCTGCACCTGCTAAAGGTGGCACAGATGAGAAGATTTTATTGATTGAAGCCAAATTTTTGATCAATGCTCCGTGATCACTTCGCTGAACAGCTTCCTCAAGACTATGAATTGAGGTCTGACATGCCAGTGCTATTAGCTCCAGCCAGCATACACCCAGGATTGTTTTACCTCAAGGTCTGATGGGGTAGATCTTGATGTCACAGCTAATAAGAATCTTAACTAAGGCTGCCAATCAAATCAGATGAACTGTTTACCTTTGGAAAGAACATAGATAGTGTCTAGGAGATCAGAAACCGGCTGATAATCCAACGTCCTCCGAGAGAAGCAAAGGGGGTATCTAAGCTGTGATGTGAGACTTGACCTTGTAGCAGGGAATTGATTTTGATCAAAATACCGCTCGAAGGCAACTGCTCCCGGAAAGGTGAACTGGACTACAGGGAATATGCTATCTTCACTATTAGCCGAAATTCCGGGAAATACTTGTCTCGCAAGAATTAATGTAAGGCATCAAACATGAAGAGCACTCGAGTGTACATACTCACATGGTCTATAACATTGGATGTTCTCCTGCACTGCTGCCAAAGGACTAAGCATAAAGCTCTCTTGAAGGCCTTGAATCTGGTACCCTTTGACCCGCAACTCGGAGAATATCTTGTTGATAGTGAGAGGCGTGACCAGTTCAATGTCAAAAACGGAATTCAAGGAAGGACATGGGGATTCAATGGCAAGGAGTTCAGTTTCAGGGGGAGAACCGAAGTGAATCTTCCGCTCAAGTTTGTTTCGTTTGACCCAGCTTCTCTTATCGTTCTCTGCACCTCCGCCTTCTGCTTTTGCGAGCGCCTTGTTCTGTCTTATGCGTTTGTGAGTATCTATTTTGTAAAAATGATAGAATAAGTTGATACCGGTATTTTCGTGAACGTTCTGCCGCAGACAAAGGGATCTTCCTAGCGGTCTGAGCAAGTACTTCCTGTTGAACTTTGAGTAGCTTCTTCTATTTCAAATGAAATTTTTACCTTATCCCACTCAGCCCAACGATTATTCATCTTCAACTGGTAGTGTTAGAATTATAAAAAGAAAACTGGCACGATGAACAAACAACGGTAAATACTATTCAATTAGTTATGTAATGTGTAATGATCTACCGATTCTCCTACTAACAAGTTAGAAAAAGTAAGCCACTGGGTCTCGTCGAATTTGCGTACGTCAGGAACCGCGATCGTGAATCAAAGTGCTCCCCTTCCCTCATATAATTCCAGATCAAAGAAAAGAACAGCAAAACCGAATACGCTAGACGAGATCCACCCGACGTTACTTCATGAACAGTGATCATAGAAGGCGGCCGAGGGAAAGTCACTTTTTTCCATAGGTCGCGACTATGCTGACAGTAGTACTGGAAGGGGTTTCAATGGAACGGCATGAACATCAAACGATGCGACCTTAACTCATAGATGTTGTGCAGCATCAACACAGCGCCAGAGAAGAGAACAACGTAGACCAGAGCGTAGCCGAAAACAGATGCAAAACGTCGAAAGTATTCTTGTTCAGCGGAATGTATAAAACGTCGGGGTCTGATTTTTTGTAAAGAGTTGAACGAAGTATCGATGGGGAAGGGCGCTTTTTCTGCCAGAGAACCACGCCAGAAGCCTGTCTCCCATTTAAACCAGCTATAGCTACCAAAAAATGATCGCTGGTCGAAGCCGTCTGGCCCGGCATGAATTGTGTATGTCAACAGCAAAAGCGAAATCGATGTGACGAAAACACTCACGGCGACAGCTTGAACAAGGCCTACTAGATGCTACTTCAAGTTGAGACTTTGGTCTACTTTTCCAGTTTCCACGTCATACACCAGTGCACATCCCGTATCGGTGCCTCCAATTAGTGTTGTTCTCACTTAAACAGATATTCTTCGGCAAAGCAAGAAGAATTGGATCAGACGAGAACTTCTTGATGAATAAAAGGCGGTCATGGTCAAAGAGCTCGAACCCTTCGTCGGTGCAAGCGATAAAGCGTTCACAGGTTTGGTCAAGAGAAACTGATTTCCTGTAAACAGCTGAGTACGCACGAAGAGATTACAAGCTGGCATACTGACATAGATCTTGGTCCTGTGTGTTTAATTCAGGCCGTATTGCCTGTATGGTTATCGAGGCAAGCGCTAGATAGAGGGGATTAGGCAGCAGAGTAGAGTAGGCGTAGACGACGACATACATTTTATCTCCCTGCATGGCAAAAGCATATATATTACCTGTTGTAGTATCAAACCGGACAGTTTTGGCCAGAAAACCGTCTTCAAGAGCAATCGAAATTTTCTTCCTGAGTTCCCCCTGGGCGCTGAGAGTCCACATCACCACAGATCTATCCAAAAAAGACGCGATTAATTGGGCGCGGTCTCCAGCGGGGACTTCCTGTTGAAACACGTCTAACGAAACTACTTGAACAGAGGAGGTGTGATTTACTGGTTTTCGCATCGACTCCAACATCTGGGATTAAAACGGAGCATCGATGGAGAATGCGAAACCTAAAGGCGAATGATACTTACGGATCTTTCGCTCATGTAATCCCAGAGCTGGACGGAGCCGTCCCAGGAGCCTAGTAGGAGCAGGATATGACCAGAGATTTCCATGAAGAAGTGTGACCAAGCAGCTGCTAAGTATACGGTCGTTTCAGGTTGCGGAGCGCCGGCTTGCTGAGAAGTCAAAGGTATGGAATGGCGTGTTTGTAGATCCCAAACATTCGCGCCTCCAGGTCCTGTCATTATCGCAAGACCTTGTCAACCATGAATGACCAAATCGACGAAAACTCACCAGCTGCAGCAAGCAACCTGACTTTTGCAGAGAATGCCAATGAGGTGACTGCATTCTGTGGTCCTTGGAGGACCGTTTGATTTTCGTACGGCATAGTGATTCTTCGAAGCTGTTCCGGACAAAGTACCAACATGTTGTAGGATGGCGGCGAGGGAGCACAGAAGCGCAGCTTCGGGATCTAGTGATTAATTTCGATGAATGTGACGAGGTCCGGATAGTTGAGCTTTGATTGCGAGAGAGATTGCGCGAAGGTGATAGAATGCAACAAAGAAATCCCTGCCATGAGGCAAAACCTGAACCGTTTACTGTTTCAATTTGCCGAGCATGCTAAGGCTTTGTTGCTTTGTCGCATTCTGTGATTTGATGGCTGGTTTTGTTCTTCTTCCCTTCCTTCCTTGAGTGCGTCGGACCCTTATAGACCTAGGAAGCACATATTATGTGGGGAAAGAGGTCCACCCCTGCGCGCAACCCCTACCGCCGTTTTCGAAACTTGTATATAACCCCTATGAGCCACAGCGCGCTAGTGTTACACGAGCCATCGGGAGAGTATTGTGAAAAGCGATGTGAAGAATGGCCGTATAATGAAGGACATAGAGGGTGGAGAGGGCTGAAAGTCGCGCATGGATAACTGGAAGAATTGTTCAGTTGTTTGTCTGTCGCATCAGACTGACTTGAGGATTATTTACTCAAATTGATTGGAAGGCTTATGGAAAGTCATCACAATACGGTCCATTTGAAAAGATCGTTTAAGCCACGCTATCAGCGGAGGAAGGAAAACGACCTTGTCGTTCGGCCCAAATCACATAAACGCTCCACCAAAAAAATTAACTAAAATAACTCAAAATAAACCTGTAAGTGGGTAAACATGTTCTCCTGGTGCTGATGTGTGATACGATCGTGCTCGGAGGCGCCAGAGGGATCACTGACAACACTGGAGACATGGAAGGGATACCTCATCTCTCCATCCTTTTCTGCCCAATCAAAGTCAACGAATCGTATGCGCGTCTCGGCCGGTTCATCCCCGTCAGCGAGCATGACATTGGGTCTGCGAAGATCCCCAAAGACAAATCCTTCTTTGTTCAGAAGATCGAGTCCTTTGCGGACGCTGTTTTTGACCGAATCTGGTAGCGGTTGTGAGATGTCGTATGCATCGTGGAGCGTCTTGCCCTCGATGAACTCCATGGCAACAAGATTAAGGTTACCGTACAGTTCACCGAGCGGGGAGAATGATAGCAGCTTGGGAGCAAGTCCATGTACTGCCATCAATTGATGTACATCGTGGCCATACTGTCGCACAAACTTGATCACAACTGACTCCTTTGTATCGGTCCGAGTGGCCTTGAAAGTGACGGACGCAGGGTTGTGTTGCAATGGATAGGCATAGACAAAAGGTATCTTGGTTTCGCGGATGGAGAAAGAGGAAATCGAGGGACAGAAACGCGGGGGTATATGTCCAGGTTCGACAACAGGTGAAGAAAGACGAGCGTGATATTCGTTCAACTCGACTAGTGAAAGTCGAAGAGCGTAGAGGACATGCGCAATCCGGTGAACCTGCTCATCATCAAACATAAGAGAGCAGCCGAGCCATTCGTCCGCCGAAAGGCGCTGAACGATCATGCGGGATGTAAGGACTGCGCCCATGATAACAATCCAGGGGCCGGCGAGACCGATGAGGAACGTTGGGCAGCATGATACTTCACGGACTTGGGCGCGCTTTTGGAAGAATACATCAGTTTTGGAGCCCTTCTAATTACTGGATGAGAGACTTACTTCAGGACGGCAGTAAAATCTGGCATACGAAAGTGCAGACTGCCTCGATGGATCATAGCCGCCACTGCCTAGTTCGCTTTTGATCTCACTGATAATGCAAGCCCCGTTGACGTTCAGAGGCGTAGGTGTAACAGACAAAGTCTGGGGATGTCTTGTCCGAATTGGTGATACGCTCGAGCCCAACACCGAGAATATCAGCCAGAATTTTACGAGTCTGGGCGTCTCGAGGGGCCTCCTTGACTGCAATCCTCGATACGGATCGCAACAACGAGGCAGTATCGCGGAGAATACCCTCCGGGATTTCGATATCTGATGTTCTGCAGCGCTGCATGAAGGTACCAAAGACGGGGTGATAGAGCTCTATTGGAGGGGCAACAGTTGAGGGGCCATCTTGCGCGTATCTCCCATCGAGTACAGCAGTAGCTGGGGCGCCTTGGCTGTCATTGTACTCTTTGGATTGGGCAAGCACAGATGGCGGTTTCCCTATCCACAACTTTTCGAACATACTTGGTAAAATCTGAAAAAAGATTTCACCCTTAGGGGTTAGTATCGAGTATCGACAGCACACACCGTAATTTAGCTCGCTGACTATATCCAAGGCCTCGCTGGCTAATTCAGGTTGTGTGGGAGGCACTACCGGGTCTTTAGGTGTGAAGATGACCACAAAATCTTCGTCGGCAAGATCCTTCACGTACTTGCGGAGCCGGATTGCTTTTGCGTTTTCAAGTAAGGCCGGGAAAGTGGGGAACAAGGTTTCAGCTACATCTGGATCCCGTTCAACTGGGTGCTTTTGCTGAAATGGTTTTAGCAGAACGAGCCAGAACCAAAACACGTGCAGACTGACCCTGGTAAATTACAGCAGTGAAAGCGTAGAGTCGGGGTAGTATTGGTTGACTAGAGCCTTCTGAAGCTTAGTAATAGACAGCTCTGGGTCGACATCGATTTCCGACTGCGAGAATACCAGTGCTTCCTGTTAAGTAGTGAATACTCAGTTAGATGTAAAATAACTCTATTCGGTACCTGTTAAGTAGTGAATACTATGTACGTCGTGAGTATGTTATATAAGGCTAAGTAATATGGGGCTCACCTCAGTTAGATGTAAAATAACTGAGGGAGCCCCGTCCGCCGTTCGTTGGTGTGGCTGATAAACTGTATAGTACGTATGTAATCGGGCGGAAGCAAAATATGTGGTCAAAGCTGAGGACTGTGCGTACGCTGTGCGGAGGTAGAATCTAACACCCCCCTTGCTCCGCACGATACAGTCCTAGTAGTCCAACCATTTTCGCGTGGATTGGCCCGCTGAGGGCTTTAGTAAATACATCTGCGACGTTCATACCTGTTCTGATCTCTGAGACTTTCACCGCCCCGCTAGCTACCTTCTCCCGGATGTAGTGGTCCCGTAGGTCGATGTGCTTCACGAGGGCATGTCGTTTGGAGTTCTCGGTCAGGCTGATGGATCCGAAGTTGTCGCCTAGTAGTGTTATAGGTCCCTGCTGATTCAGATCAGCCTCTGCAAGAAAGGATTGTAACCAGACTGCCTGCTGGCAGGCCCGGGACAGGGCGATGTATTCAGCCTCCGTGGATGATAGCGCGGGTGTGGGCTGGCGTTTAGAACTCCAGGAGACGGGCGCCCCGGCCATGAAGAAGACGTATCCCGACGTAGATCTGCGGGTGTCCATGCATCCGGCGTGGTCAGAGTCAGAGTATCCTTTCGGTTTCAGTCCTATACCCGGCGCATGTTCTTCACCTGCTCCAGGTGCTTGGTATGTAATGGCGTATTCGCAGGACCACAGGAGGTATCCCGCCAGCCACTCGACGCACTCCCAGTGGGTCCTGCCGGGGTGGAGTTGGTATCTTGCAAGTAGTCCGGCGGCGAATGAGATATCGGCGCGAGTGCAGGTCTGGCACCACAGGATCGATCCCACGAATTCGCGGTAGGGCTTGTCTGACATGAACCGCAACTCGTCGTCGGGGAGCGGAGTAGGTGCTTCACAGAGTTTGACATTGGGAGGTAGGGGTGTATGGCGGCGCCGCACGTGTAGGAGGTGGAAGTGGTCAAGCATACGGAGAATGTAGGGCTTCTGGGAGATAGTGATGGACTTCGTAGTGGGGTTCTGCTCAATGTTCATTCCCAGCAGGACATGGGACGATACCTCATTCGACTCCCACCGTTTTGCTAGGTCCTTCACTGCCCGTAGTCTCCCGTCCTCCGTGGATGATCCTCCGCAGACGTCGTCCCCGTACGTACTGGTGAGTGTGTATTCGTCGCCGTCCCGTCGGTAGCAGATGCAGGGGTCAGCTCTGGACGTGACATATCCGTCTTCACTGTATCCGGCTGCTAGGGTCTCCTGCCAGTCGTGGCTGCCCTGCATCGTGCCGTAGATGGACTTCCTAAGCCTGCACACCTTATCTTCGTTTCCTGGTTGGATGAATCCGTCCGGCTGTCGCATGTACACTTCGTGGGATATAGGTGAGTTGAGGAACGCAGCTGTGAAGTCGACTTGGAAAAGGGAGAGTCGGAGAGTGGCTATAATGGCTAATACGATCCGTACGGACTCCATGCGCGCGACTGCCCCGTATGTTTTGTCGTAATCCTGCCCCTGGATCTGGGTATATCCCTGTGCTACCCACCGTGCTTTCCGCTTCAGTACCTCCCCTCCTGGCCCCCATTTTATGGCGTATGTCCATCTTCCCCCGGTGAGGTTCGCGTTTGGTGGCAGGTGCACCAGCTCCCAGCACCCCTTCGCGATGAGTGTGTCGTACTCTGCCTTCATGGGCGGAAGCCACATTTCTGGGGCCTTCATAGCCTGTTTGAAGGTGGATGGGACCCAGGTATCGTTTGTGGTCGATGCGAAAGCCCATGGATTGGCAGCGATAAGTGCGAGTGTTGGGTTGGCTGGTGGGGAATCCGTTGCCCAGTCTTCTCTGTTAGCCTGAGCTTCGCGTTCGCGCTCTGCCAGGGCCTGGTTTTCGATTGCAGCACGGGAGGGGGTGCGTATACGGGCACTTCTGCGTAGTGGTGGAGAGGAATCGGAGGTAGGGCCGGTTTCCCGTGGTTCCTCTACGTCTTCTTGATCCGCGTGCAATTGAACTGTGGGTCCGTTCGTGGGTGCACTTGGTTCTAGACCGCCTGCAGGTTGATTACATTCCAGGTCGCCGTCGTCAGTTGCGGGTGTTTCTTCCCTGGAACGATGGGCATCCCCTTCCTCGAATCTCACATCCCTTGACTCCAGGAAGGTTCTGCTAGGTTGGTGCCACAGCCGGTACCCTCTTCGTCCCATGTAACCTATCAGCTGGCATTCCACCGCCTGGCGTGCCAGTTTCCCCTCGGTTTTGTTCTCAGGGAGTGTAGCCCACGCTCGACATCCGAACGGTCGTAAGTGCGATACATCCTGCCGCTTATTCGACCAGTATTCGGTGGGCACGCGGTCTGGGAATTGTGCTGTGGGCACGAAATTGTCCACGTAGGTGAACGTTGCCGCCGCCTCTGCCCAGAAAGAGCGGGGGAGGCCTGATTCTTCGAGGAAGGTGCGTACCCCTTCAATGACTGTCCTGTTACCTCTCTCTGCCATCCCGTTTGCAGGGGAGGAGTATGGGGTTATTTTTTCGATAATGATCCCCCGGTCGGCGCAATAGGCTTCCAGGAGGCTGTTATCGAATTCGCCTCCGCCGTCGACCCGTATGATCCTCATCCTCTTCCCCGTTTGGTTTTCAGCCATTACCCGGTACTTATGGAACTCTTTTAGTGATGTTTCCTTTCGTTTATCCTTGAGAAATGCGGGGACCCTCACTGATGATGCTCCGTCAGAGAAGAGCATCATGTATCTTGCCCCACCCATGCTTGTAGTGGTGGCTGGTCCCCATAGGTCGATGTGCACCCTCTCGAGTACCTCTGTCTCATGGGTGAGTCGTTCGTCAAATGGTCTACGCGTCGCCTTTCCATACAAGCAGTCAACACACATTCCGGCTAACGTTTTGGACTTGATTTGTAGTCCGTCCACAAGGCCTCGACTCTCCATTCGCAGGATTCGCGGTACGGCTACGTGTGCCAGACGCCGGTGCCAGGTGTGTATGTCGACCGCCTTCTCGTGAGACCTTGCTGAGTTAGCCTGCGTTTGGTGCAGGGTTTCCACTTCGTACATCTTGGTCTGGCCTTTCCCCAGCATCGCGATCTGTCCTTCCGGAGTCTTAACACTCAATACCCCGTCGCCCCACTCCCCTTTGAAGTTTCGTTGGTCAAGAGTTGATAAGGAGATCAAGTTGTGCCCGAATTCCGGTGTATGTTTTACGTTCGTGAGTCGGATTCGTCGCGCTGCCTCCCCTACTCTCGTTGTGAACTCAACCGTTCCTGTCCCATGTATCTTGAACCTTCCTGCATCACCTGCCAGTGCGCTAGTTCCGCTCTGCCCTTGTACTTGGTTGTAGTCTACAAAATCTGATCTGCTCACCCAGCAATGTTCGGTCGCACCGGAGTCGATGAACGTTCGAGTAGACGATGTTTTCGCAGGTGCATAGAGGAGTGTATTACTTCGGCGCGTTGTACATGCCATTGGGCTCGGTGCTACGTAGTGTGTATGTACGTCCTCACTCCCATTCGCGCCCCTCATCCCCTGATGCTCCCACCCTCTCAGAAAGGTATGATCATTGCTATCGAGGGGTCTGTTAGTTAGGGATGTGCGCTGGTGGGGAGTACTGGGGGACAACGTACTGGCGCCATCACTGGTTGCTTTAGCCGACAGGACATATGTCTCCAGCGGGGTCGCAGTCGGGTTCGTCGTGTTGGCCGTAGCTGCTATGGCGTTTCCGGCATTCTGGTTCCTATTCGGCTCGTTGTTCTTGTTGAACCTCCAGCCGTTAGGTCCTTTACCCTCTGCACCCCCTCCCTTCGCCCAGCACCTTTGGATGGTGTGACCGATTTTCTTACAGTTCGGGTTCGCACATGTCGGCCTGTTCTTGTCTGGGGCCTGGGCACTTGCTACGTGCATTGCGAGTAGTGCTTTTACTTTCTTCTCCTCTCGCTCTTCCTCCGTTCGTCTCTTTTCCCTTTGTAACCAGATTCCTTGGAGGTAGATGAACGCTTCGCTGCTCGTCTTTCCGGGGAGGTGCCTGATGTCGGCGTCCCAGTCCTTAGGGAGTGACGCAAGGACAATCACTCGGAACTGGCCATCTGTTATCACTGCCCCGGCGTTCGTGGCCCTCCGAAGTAGGTTTCGCATGGTTCTCTTGTGTTCCTCCATCGTCTCTTCGGGGTAAGCGTATCGGTGGGCTCGGAGGTTGCTGTCGTGGAATAGTAAGAGCTCTTCCGATTTTTGTTCGAATTGGTTGACGAGTTCCTGCCAGATTGCCGACGCCATTTCGGTGTAGTCTACCCCTAGTCCTGTGGGGTCGATAATATTCGAGACTATTGTACTCGCTACGTATCGGTCCCGGGCGTACCATTCCTCGGGTGAGGGTGTCTGGCTGTATGGTGGTGTCGTTACTGTGGTAGTAGTCGTAGTTCCCTCTGGCGAGGTGACAGTTACCGCGGGCTTCCCATCGCTGGGCTTGGCTATTGTTCCATGTAGGTACCCTTGTAGTCCTTTTGATTCTACTGCCAGACTGACTTCCCTTTTATAGGGCCACCAGTTATCCTCCCCTTCGAGGGCTATGCCTGTGGGGAATCGTTGGACATTCGGCATGTTTGATGACGATGACATCGTGGGGCTGGGTGGTTCAGAGGCTTTGTGAGTATATGTGGTTGCTCTTTCAGAGATCGAGTCTCATAATCTGTTAAGTAGTGAATACTCAGTTAGATGTAAAATAACTCTATTCGGTACCTGTTAAGTAGTGAATACTATGTACGTCGTGAGTATGTTATATAAGGCTAAGTAATATGGGGCTCACCTCAGTTAGATGTAAAATAACTGAGGGAGCCCCGTCCGCCGTTCGTTGGTGTGGCTGATAAACTGTATAGTACGTATGTAATCGGGCGGAAGCAAAATATGTGGTCAAAGCTGAGGACTGTGCGTACGCTGTGCGGAGGTAGAATCTAACACTTCCTGGTTCCGTGAGGCGGCGGCAAAGTAAAGCATTCGAGACATGAGAAATACTGATCACGTGCAGCAACAAACCGTTCGGTGGTTTCGGTATACCACCGCGATTCTGATCCAAACCGCCACAGTTGGATACACTTTCTCGCCGCCTGCTAGCCTCTCCATATTTTGAACTATCACCTCCCGGCGGTCCCAGTACATTGACCCGTATTGCCTGGGTGTTCTGTCGCCCAAATCCCCCCGATCGACCGAACCTTTTGCAGCGTAGATTGGAAAAGGGTGCGTGAGGTCGCAGGGGTTATCAATGAAGATGTTGCACCTAGAATAGGTTCAAAGAATTCTAGCTCAGATTCGCCCTAAACAATGTCCGCTATGGATTTCAGTCCGTATTCACCCAGCGCCTATCTACAAACTTGACACTTACCATATTCAATGTATCAAACGATGTGAGATTCGACTTATAAGTTTCCCAGTGGCAGTTTGCCAACCCAATTTTTCTCTCGTCAACATTGTTACCTGAGCACCCAACTAGCCTTCCGTTGGCCAAAGAATGGAATCAAAGGAAGTATCGAATCGTGCACAAACGGTGTAGCGCCTGTGAGGGTAGTGACAATTCTTACTGTTGGATTGACGTCGGTGCCTGAGGGTGAAAGATCCACCTTTTGTTGGAAGAACACCTTCAACGGCGCATCCTCCGAGAACGGGAACAATCCGCCTTTGAAGCCTTCAACACTTCCAGCCCATGGACCGGACCAGGGGATCCACGCCAATGCTATGCAGACGACCCACACGAGACCCAATATCCAGAACAGATACCGATGCACTCTCCGAGAGCCGATGAACGGAATGGCAGGAGGAGAAGCAATAAGTGAAATGAGAGATATCACGGCGTAGACTGTGATGCGTAGGTTTCCTTGCAATGGGACTCTGTAGCGTGAGGGTTGATGAGGATGCTGATACAGAGGAATTATGTCGATGTCCGAGTGAGTTGAGCCTTGCGCGTATACCCAAAGGTGTAGTGCCACTTCCACGGGTTATAGAAGGTGAGAGCCGTGTATTCAGTCTACCTGGCGTTCGTTCTGCTTGGTTTACTGAAGGTCCAAAAGGTGAACCAGGACGCGCATTAGGAGATATAGGACTCGACACTCGGCATAATTCATTTCCGAGAGGAATCATTTGCAGGAGGAATCATTTGCAGGAGGAATCATTTGCAGGAGGAATCATTTGCAGGAGGAATCATTTGCAAAATGTATCGGTAGCAAGACGAGTCGTCGGCAAAAGAAATCGTTGGCGAGACGAATCTCATTGGCAAGACAGATTGTTGGTGAGTAGATTGTTGGCCAGATGGATCGTTGACACAACGGATTGTTGGTGAGACGGATCGCTGGCAAAATGGATCCGGCTAGTGAAAAGGATCGTTGGCAAAAAGAATCGTTGGTGAGACGGATCGTTGGCGAGACGGCGAGAGATTTTCAAATGAAGAGCTCATGTCATGGATCTGTATGGGAAGTTATTGGGAGGAAAAGATAAGCACGTTAATGAAAAATTAGGAACTTTGGAGCGTACAAGTTCCTGATGTTCCCTGTTCCTTTTCCAACACTTCATGTAGGCAATTTGTTTGCAAGGATATAGCTGAGTTGTGAGAAGACTTCCTATTCTTGATAGGGCCCGACTTGAACCGTTTCGCGTACACGATAAGGACGCACAAAGTAGAGAACAGGATGACCGCCTCCATTCCAGTCTTCTTGCGCTCATCATGTTCAGGTTCAGCGACCCAATTCAAAAATGTCACTGCGTCCTTAGTCATCTGAGAGCTAATGGCGGGGGTTCCTGACCAGACGGTTTTAGAGCGAATAACAGAGAAACGAACGCAATCAATAGACAAACTATTATCAAAAAGGATTCGAGTCATCGACAGGGCGCTGCCGGGGAAATATGGGTCGTAATTCATGCCATCATGCACTTCGACACCAGCCGGTGGGTCGACGTAACCGGTCAGAAGAAAAAAAATATGGTCCTAGATAGATGTCAGATATTGTGTACGCGTCGGAATTCATACTAGACACTCACGTCGCCACCGCGACCCGTCTTGACGATCAGACTCGAGTCAAGAGGAGGAGCACCAGCATTGCGAGCACGAGCAGCTTCTTCATTGGGGTAGGAGCAAGCGAGCTTGCATGGACGTTGAAACATCTCTCCATTATCATTCGGTCCATTCTGCTATTGCGCGAGCTTCACCAGCGGTGTGGGGGACGGCGACGAGGTTAAGAGAGCGACACGTTGCACAGACTTCGCGGTAGACTTCGTAGTCTCGTCAAATGTTAGAATAGAAGACAGGAGAGACATAACGGGGCAATGGGAATCCGTAGAGGGCAGGATTTCGTACTCGGCATAATCGAATGTCTCGAAAAGCCATTGTGAGGCCAAGGATAGGCAACAGCATGCAATCCCTCATCGCTGAGGTGACTGGCGTGTACCTCACCAAGGAAAAGTAGAGTGCCGTAGAAGTGTGCATACCAGGCCGCGGCGCCAGCAGTGAATGAAGTTGCGGAATCAAGGGTTAAACGGGAGTTCGCGAAGGACTGATAATGATTACTACCAAAAATGAGCATAAAGTTCATTAATAGGCACCTCCAATACATTTGACGAAGACGGAGCACTTGAAGACGCAAAACGAACCTGGCAAAAGGTTAGTTGCAGAGTTTTTGATATAGTCGTGGATGAGCTCACGAAGCAGAACAAATAGTCCAGGGTGTGGCTTATGTGGGTCCTCGGGAGGTGCCATCGGAAAGCCACATAAGGATTTGAGTGGGTTTGAGAAAGAGGGGTGCAGAGGTGATGGTAAAGAGGTTAACTCGCGGCGACTTCCTTTGTAAGCTTCAATACGAGGGCATTTCCTCGCATTTCCAGATTGTGTGTTGTTTTTGCAGCGCATTCTTCCGTTCCGATCTGTATTTCGAAGCGGTATAGATGCGTGTAGAGGAAGCATGATGATTGGGTTAATGAGGTTGCCTATGTGAGGAAAAAGAGTGGGCGGGGACTGAATGCGGAAGCGGTATCTGGGACGATTGAGCTCTCAATGATGGCGCCGGCAAAATACTATCAGAGGTGTCCTAATGATTTGAACGAAGGATACGTAGCGTACTGAATCGGCCGGGCAGAGTGGATAGGGAGTCCGTCAATGGACCGAACGAAGGGAAGCCCGCCGGTGCTGATTGACATCGCATATCTTTGGTGGGAGCAGAAGGCCCAAAAAACGTGTTTTGTTCGAGACCAGCAGATAATCGACCACCTGGAGGGTGCAAGCCTGCGAACCCTCTTTCAAGGGCATATGCGCAAGACTAGAGATCCTCTAGAAAAGGAGAGACGCAGCAAACTGACATGATGTCATCCGCAGTTTGTGTTTAGCGAAGAATTATGACTTCGGTCTTTGAGCACTGAAGGCCGTCCTTGCTAGTGCCGGTATACTTAGGAGAAGTCTGTTGTTCGCTCAGGGTATCTCTGTCGTCTGTGTCGCCAGGAAGATATCTGGCCAGGCAGACTAATACACAGTATGCAATCCACTCTTCCTGCTTCAATCCTCCTTGCATCTAGCCCCGAGCGTTGATCATCACCCCGCCCGCTGCATACAATGCAAAATTCCGGGCACCGGCACCAATGCACCAAGAAGAAACGCTACTGATTCAGCAAGTGTAGAAAGTAGTATTGATGGCCCGATGAGAGACGGGGTCAGTGCGATACGAGCAGGCGGAGGTAGATATGATGGTTTTGGATACACTGAAGAGGGGGCGGATGAATAGAAGGAGAGTGAGGATGTATGATGATTATGTCGGGAGGAATTCCGAAAATATCGTGAAGAATGAGTGGTTCGTGTGGGCAACATCATGCGAGCTTCAGCATCTCCGTTTTCCGCAATGCCATCATCCTCATCAGCAGCAGCATTTCTTTCGTTGCCTCGACCTCTATGTCCCCAATTACCAGGTTCATTCAGAACATTGCTGTTCCCTGCATATAATCCATGTACTGCATCCACACGTTCCAGCTCTCCCATTAATAGGAAAACATTATCCACTCCTACTGCGAGTACCAAGAACGGTATAACCTCTGCAACCACCAAAGTCACTCTAACACCCACTAAGGAGAACAACGCAACGGACCTGCTGATCGATAGAACGACCAGGACAAGCGAGAATAGAGCCAAAAGCGTGTGCGAGGTCAAGGTGTAGCTTTGTAACCCCAAGATTGCTGCGCGCCAGTGGCGCCTCCAACGATTGGCATTATCAGGAGAAGCACGCCGAGTACTACTCGGCCCACTTCCACCTCCGCGCAACGTGAGCCCTACATATAAGAACATCGCTATATAGCTCCCCACCACAATCCTCACGTCTGTGTTTCCTTCTTTCCTGATTTCCTCTTCCCAACTGACACCAGTGCTAAAATCCACATTTAACCCAGCCTCTATTGGCGCTCGTATCTTCACTTATTCGAGGAAGACGCGCAAAGTTCGTTCCCATTCCTCAGCAGCGCGTTCGAATGTCTGCTGCTGTTCTGGATCAGGCGGGCTCAGTGACGAAGGTAGGACAGCGGTCATCACTAAAGCTGGAGCATTGAGGTAGGTGTTGAGGTTCCCGTCGCGCGTTCCACCAGGAACATAGTATGGCACCAAGGGTTGACCAAAGTCAGGCAAACATTCTACCGGGCTCCGCGTGCACCTCTCTATCCTGTCCTTGTACGTGTTTTCATCGTAACCATCTAAACTATCACCAAACCATCCCAGAACGCTTTGTACAACACATGGCGAGCCTGGACCTGCTGGAGAGAAGCACATGTCATCGAGCGTGAGGTTGTTGGGTAAAGAAACGAGTTTGTGCCGAGTGTGCTTCTCGAGTGCGAATACGTACTGTAAATGCTCAAAGGATAACACTGGCTGGTTCTCTTGGTCGGTAGAGATAATGAAAATTTGCTAAGGACGGTAGAATGGCCCGAAATGCTCATCGAAGAAATCTTTCTGTACTCGTGTTTCTGAATTTGGCGCGACCCAAAGCGGGACAGGGTCTGTTTCTATGTCGAATTTTGTCCAACTAATATTTATGAGACCAATGAATGTGAAAACCACCGCGCAAGTGAGCATGGGGTATGTAGCAGTGTTGAAACCGAGTTTATAGAAAATTTTACGAAGAAGCGTGTTGAGTTTGTACTGCTTTGGCTGTACCGTTTCTACAGGGTCAATGGGATCTCGAGCAAGATCTGCATTATGGTTGTCTAGTGAAGCAGCACCGACGAGTGCGCGTGGCGACGTTGGAGTTTCACCGGACAAAGCCAGGCGCCCGTAACGACGTTCTCGACGTTTGCGGATGGTTCGTTGGATAACGAAACCAAGAATGAAGCCACTACGGCAATCGAATATGTGAGAATGAGGGTGAAGGACAAGCAAGATAGTAAGCCGACGTGAGATGCCGAGCCCAGGTCCGGAAGGTCTGGAAGAACAGGACAAATAGAAGGACAGTCGATGCAGGTACACTGAGGGGCCAAGTCATTATCACTGCAATTCCTCGGTGAAGGACTGCGCGGCGTAAAAGACGGTGTTGAAGTGGATGGAAAGTTAATCTGGAATGGACTCCCCATGTCCTTTTCTTCTTCCAAGAACTTGAAGAAGTCGTGATAGTTCTTAGCTCCTCCACCTATAAAATCCATTGCATATCCGCTGCTAGCATCGAACTTGACGTCCTTGCAACTCTCGAAGAAACCCTGGACGAACTGAGGTCCAAAATAAAAGTCGACAGATTTGACAGCAATCTGGTCGTTGTTCGTAGTCTGTGTGGATGTAACGTTGAGAAATGAGCCTTGATTGGGTGAGCAAGTGAACTTGCAGAAGAAATCGTGAAAGTTGTTCTTGCAAGCTGGACAAGCTGAGACAATCTTGTCCACAATTCGAAAGTTATCCTCAAGAGTTGTGAGCTGGTCGTGAGTGCAACATACAGGTCCAGAGCTAAATTCTGGACCGCAAACTTCTCGTAGGACATTTCGCGTGGATGTGGAGGGCTAACAGGAAGGAATCAGAGATGCATACTGGTGCAATGAGGAGATACAGACCTCTTTCGGTGGACCATCATAAGGACAAGGAAGCTGTTTACCAAATATACTCTTGCTTCAGCAAGTATCCCGCATGCCACATCATTGAGGAGGGTCCGACATGTAAATGGTAGACACAGACTAAACTTGAAGCGCCCAAAGCGTCTTCCCATTTCCACAAAAAACATGTTCTTTGAACTACTAGTGATGTGTGTAGATTATGTGTAGCTGTGTGAAGCAGAGGACCTGCAAGGTCAAGTAAACCTTAAGGCTCCACAGTAGCTATGCAAGTCAATGGGAGGAAGGCCGCAGGGCCTCCGGGTCCCAGTGCAAATCCCCGCAAGTATTCACAGTCAGCTGCGATTCCCAAAATTGTAGGAGTGCACGACGCATCCAGGGACTGTGGATACCCAACTCAGGAGGAGATGCACTCACCATGATCCAATATGTGAAGAACTGAATGTCCAGGGTTCATGGACTCACCAGTGGGTAATGATTGCTGGCTTGAAGGTTTTGACTGAGGATCTGCAATGCATAGAGATGCCCATATAGGTAGGAGCCTGTGACACATCAAGCAGAAGCAGATATCCAGTTTAAGTAGGAGCAGGAACCAGTATTGCATCCAAGATGTGAGTAGCAAGGCCAACACAGGAATTGGCAATAAGCAGCAAATGATCAGGAAATTAACAGAGGGACCAATATCTCAGAAATAGCAAAGGGGTTTAGAAAAAAAAACTTGGAAATAGCAAGTGGAAGTTATCAATAGGACAGGCTTAGAATTAGCAAGAAAATTAACAAGTAGAAAGTTAGCAGTGAAGACTTAGCAATTAGCAGTAAGTAAAGGCTTGGAATTGGCAGGAAATCTTGCAGGCAGAAAGTAGCATTGGGCAAGGGCTCAGAATGAGCAAAAGCTCAGGAAATCAGCAGAAGGAGCAATAGCTCAAAATTAACCAGGCAATTCAGAAATTAGCAAGAAAATAGCTCAAGATTAGCAAGCAAAGGTGAGCAAGGCTCAAAATTGGCAAGAAAATAATGAGCCAGTGGAAAATTAGCAATGAGCATGGGCTCAGATTTAGCAATTAGCAATAAGCAAAAGCTCAGAATCAGCAAGAAAATTGGCAGGTAGAACATTAGCAATGAAGAATTAGTAATTAGCAGTGAGCAAAGGCTCAGGATTAACAAGAAAATTAGCAAGTAGAAATTAATTAGCAAAATTGGCAAAGGAGTTCAGAAATTAGCAAAAATAACAGCTCAAATTTAGCAAGTAAAATGAGCAAGAAAATTAGCAAGTAGAAATTAGCATTAAGCAGAGGCTTAGGATTAGCAATTAGCAAGGAGCCAAGCTCAGGATTAGCAAGGAAATTTTAAATGAAAATTAGCAATGAGCAGGGCCTCAAAATTAGCAATTAGCAATGAACAAAGCTCAGATTTAACAGGGAAATTAGCAAGTAGAAATTAGCAATAAACAGAGGCTCAGAATCAAGAAGAAAATTAGCAGGTAGAATTTAGCATGAGCAGGAGCTCAGAATTAGCAAGTAAAATTGGCAGTGAGCAGGGGCTCAGGATAGGTAAAGGCTTGGGAAATTAGCAGAAGGTGCAATAACTTATAATTGGTAAAGGAGCTCAGAATCAGCAAGTGGAAGTGAGCAATGAGAAGGCTCAGAATTAGCAGGGAAATAGCTCAAGATTAGCAAGTAAAAGTGAGCAATGGTGAAAAGAAATGAAGTAGGTGCAAAATACTAAAAATGATGTGCACATGTAATAGGCGCACCTGTGCAGAGCATCGCGGGTGATGATCTTTTGTAATGAGGATGGATGAAAGGAAGAAAGTTGAAGTGAGAGAGTTGAAGTAAGAGAGGAGAAGAAAATGGAGCTCGAGACGCTAAGGCGCCGAGTCTCTGCACAGAGTCTTCGAATGGGTGTGATGGTGGTTTGTGGCAGGAGCAACGAACTCACATCACGTGCATGTTCGAAGATAGGCAGCTTTGGGGTTCGAACCCGAAAGGTAGGGACTTTGTGCGGGTTTCGCCCTTGCGAAGGGGCTCATCAGAGGGCTTAACCGCTGCCCTAACCCGCCGGTTCTACTTTGCAATGATAGATCATGACTCCCTATTCACGGGGTGGAGTATGCCATGTGGTGCCGTCCACATGGTTACCCGATCCGATTTGCAACATCGGCATAGCATCGGGGACCACGGCATATGTGTAGGTGTTTTTGGTGTGGGTGATGGATCTGGGGGGCACCCTCCCCATTAAGCCAATATCAGAGTGCCTGCCGCACAGCTCTGATGAGAGGCCGGTCCATGGCCACCTGACGTAAGCCAGGTGGACTTCTGTGTCCGTCTATCTGTAGCTTTACTGACCGGAAGCCATGCGTAACAGTCAGTTTGATGCAACATCAGTCATTTTGATCAATTCGGCTTTCCAACAGCCGGTCGCATGACGGCGGGAATTCCGGGCGGAGGCCGTGTAGTTATTCCACTTGAGAAGTGCACTGCGATTGTCGCACTTCATCTGTATTCCCTGACATGTTTGACACACTCTCACATTCCATGGTGAATTTAGGAGTTGCTGATTCATGATGCAACCGGTGTCAGTAATGCACTTCATTGAGAGAGAATATATCTGAGCTGTGAGCTGGTGAAGGGAAGCAGGTGGCACATGGCCAGTGATACTGAATCAAAAGGTTCTGAATTTAGTCAGGAGCTTGAGAGAGTGAATTGCAGCTCACAGATTATGAACTGACCATGAACTGACCATGGGAAACATGGGTCAATTAACTAGGGCACAGTTGAGATATATTCTTGTGAAAAAGAAAGCACCATCCAGGTACTGGTTGTATATGGAATTGAATGGTCTAGCATTCAGTCCAGAGAGTGAGGAGGTGAAGTTCAGCTCACTGATTATGGACTGGGGATGTCAAAAATTCTGGACTTCCGCAGCGCCTGGCACAGAAATATTCTGGTGAGAAACAAATCACCTGCCTGGTGCTGTTGGTATATGGAATTAAATGGAGGGGAATTTGGATGAGAGTGTGGGAGAGTGAATTCAAGGCAGTGGAAGACTGTTTGATGTAATCTCACAAAGCTGAGAAATATTGTTGCTATTAAATGGCACTGGTACTGGTCTTGCACTTAGTCAAATGGTCACCCAGTGTTTCTGGGAACTAATTGAGGTTGTTTGGCCAGATTTAAGCCAGAGGAACACTGTCTGAATTAATCTCACAATGCTGAGAAATGTTGTTACTGCAGTAATCACACAACAATGGTACTGGTGGTGCACTGATTTGAATGGTCTAGAAAGTCAGCTAGTGGTTGTGGGAAGGTAATTGAGACTGGTGGACTCAATTCAATCCAGGGGAGCACTGTCTGATTTAATCTCACAACTCTGAGAAATATTGTTACTGCAGTAATTACACAACACTGGTACTGGATGTACCTTGATTTGAATGGTCTAGAAAGTCACCTAGTGTTGGGGGGAAGGTAATTGACATTGGTTGACTGGATTCAATCCAGGGGAACACTGGTTGACTCAATCTCACCAGGCTGAGAAACATTGTTACCGCAGCACAACACTGGTACTGGTCGTGCACTGATTCAAATGGTCTAGAAAGGCACTTGGTGTTTGCAGGAAGGTAGTCAACACTGGTTGACTCGATTCAAGTTAGGCTGAGAAATATTGTTGTAGGCATGAGCGCACCACACTGATACAGGTCGTATACTGCATCGATTGGTCTAGAAGTTGATCTGTTGGCTCGAGGAAGGTAGTTCACCGTTCTGAGGTGGAATCAAGCCTAGGGAACCTCTCCTGATTCAATCCCACATGGCTGAGAAATATTGTTGTAGGAGTGAGCTCACCACACTGATACAGGTCGTATACTGCATCGATTGGTCTAGAAGTTGATCTGCTGGCTCAAGGAAGGTAGTTCACCGTCCTGAGTTGGAATCAAGCCTAGGGAACGTTGTCTGATTCAATCCCACATGGCTGAGAAATATTGTTGTAGGAGTGAGCTCACCACACTGATACAGGTCGTATACTGCATGGATTGGTCTAGAAGTTGATCTGCTGGTTCTAGGAAGGTAGTTCACCGTTCTGAGTTGGAATCAAGCCTAGGGAACTTCTCCTGATTTAATCTCACATGGCTGAGAAATATTGTTGTAGGAGTGAGCTCACCACACTGATAAGGAGCGCACCACACTGATACTGGTCGTATACTGCATCGATTGGTCTAGAAGTTGATCTGCTGGCTCGAGGAAGGTAGTTCATCCTTCTGAGTTGGAATCAAGCCTAGGGAACTTCTCCTGATTTAATCTCACGTGGCTGAGAAATATTGTTGTAGGCAGGAGCTCACCACACTGATACAGGTCGTATACTGCATCAATTGGTCTAGAAGTTGATCTGCTGGCTCTAGGAAGGTAGTTCATTCTCCTGAGTTGGAATCAAGCCTGGGGAACACTTCCTGACTTAATCCCACACGGCTGAGAAATATTGTTGTAGAAGTGAGTTCATCCTAGTCTCTCCTTATTGTCGTTTCCTCTATCTTGCAGGCACTATATGTATAGCCCCTAGTAGCTAGTCTGGTGCTCTGCCCCGATACACCAAATAGTAGGTATAAATACTCCTGTACTATACTGTAGTTCCTCAGTTTGATTATCGACTTAGACTGTCACTCATTTTCTCTCTGAAGTCTTAAGGATTCTCCCTTGAGTCCTCTCTGCTCTGACCTCAGGACTTATACATTCTTTGGTTTGCTCCTTGTTGTCGGCGTTACTGCCACCTACAACCTGGCTACTCCTAGTTACCTTCTTCTGGCTGCTCCTAGTTACCTTCTTCTCTACTCTTGATCTCCAGGGACTAGCGGCGTAACGGCGGTGTTGTTAATAACTTCACTACTGTCCCACTCGTCTTCCGCACTTAGACACCTTGTGGCTTTGGCACAGTTACATGGTGTACATGATCTTAACATGCTCACCCTGTGTTTGAAGCTGATTCCATATCTAACTGCGGTACTGGCCTGTCATGCCTTGACCACAACCAGGCCAGCCTAATACCAGCTCCATGACCATAGATCACACAAGTCCCCACCCCTTAGCCTCGGGACCATCTTTTCATGGAACCATCACCTCCCCCTATCACAACCTTCACAACTCGGCGGAACCTCCCTCAACACGCCTGATAATTCCATCAACATGCCCAAGACCTCCATCAACACGCCTCCCTGTCTGACAGACAAGGCTCCTAATGTTCTCTTGTTCACTTCCTGTACCTATATAAGTACCCTTGTAACACAAACATCCCCAGCTTGGTATATTTTGAACACACACCCTTTTGCATAGGTCCAGTCCCTGTCCCTTTGTACCTGCTAACCATGCAGATTTTTCTTTACTCTCTGTTTCACTATCTCAATTTCTCTCTACTCTTGTCTATTGCCTCTATGATCGTCTATACGGTCCAATATATGCTTTTACTTCACGTCTAAGCAACCCAAGTGAGTCTCCGAGCTCCCTCGAACAATACTAAAGCTCCCCAACGCCTAATGCCTTGGTGAGCTAACCTCCCCAATTGCTCCACAAGCTCTGGGACCTCGATCTAGGTAACGTCGAACTACGTACTGCTTCTCCGTTACACACTCAATACCCACTTCCACTATGACCTATTTGATCTTACGTTGACGTTCTAGCGAGTACAACTCCTACTACGCAACACTACTTGGTTCCGTACTTCTACCTCCCCTACCTATGCCTTATGGACCTTCCTGGACCTTATAGGAACCCCTTCAAGGGTCACACCTCCCTATCCCAGCCACTACTAGGTCATTGCTGTCCTTGGTCGCAGTTCCCGTAGCTCCCTTTGAGCTCCAGCCTGCTCCTAGCACGCTACAACATAAACTACTTATACCAAAACCTACCCTAAGACCCATTCTGACCCAGGTCTTACAGATTTGGTGAGAAACTCATTGCCTGAATGCTCATGTTTGGACCAGTGGTGTTGGTCACTCCTGCAGATGTAGCAAACATTTGTGTTCGGCTTTCCTGTGGCTGAGGAGCAGGAGGAGGATCCCTTCTGAGCTTTCTTGCCCTTGGAAGCTTGACCACTGGAGGAGAACAAAGTATTACTGTATTTGGCATTGTTTACAGACCACCTTTTATTGCAGTGCATGTTGTGTGCCCAAATCCTGTTGAAGAATGAGGGATGGAAGATGTTGATGCAGAGATTCATTTCCAAGTGGGAGAACCAGAAGGAATAGATCTTGTGAGCATATTCCATATATGACTCATATGCTTCATAGAAATCTGGTTGATCCGAGAGCATGTCAAAGAACCTCTTCAACATCTGGGCGATTTTGATGGCTAGCTCAGAACAAATGCTGCATTCTCCAGGGGGAACAAAGTAATCCATCAATGCCTGCAGCATATTCTTTGGTAAAGGGTGTGTAATCAAAATATACCAAGTTCACATTTGAGACACTACATGACTGCTTAGATAGGTACAGAGAAGTCAGAAAGGGAGCATTGGGGATCTGGTACATGTAAGGTAAGCAAGGTAGGTGATTGAGACTAGTTACTAATGGATAGGGTGCCGTGTATGTGCCATGGGGAGGTCCCAAGTCCTGTTGAAGAATGCAATTAAATGAATACTAGGCGTAACTCCCTTGATAGAGTATAGGCACAATGGGTGTCTATTGAACAAGAGAAGCAATTAGTTTAATCCAGATGAATCAGATTGATAGGATTAGAATCGAGGAGAGCTGATTTGCCTCTGGACGAGGTGACAAATGATCAAACTAAGTGTTGAACACCATTCAAGTCATTCTCCAAAAACAATTAAAATTAAATGAATATTGAAGTACCTACCTATGTTTGGAGGTATACTAGAATCTTGGAACCATTATGGACCAAATAAGGACATGTAGATTCAAGTTAAATGGTATCTGACCGATTGTAGAAGTTTCCTTGCGGTTCCGAACATCTATTTTATTAAATTAATTGTACTGTGCAACTCTATATCCTGTATGTATAAATAGCAATCTGATGTATCTGGAATACAAGTGATTTTGGGACAACGTTGCAGTGCTAATCCATAAAAAGGAAAGACACACTCCTGCCAGACTGAAACCTCTTTGCTAGCAGCCATTTGGGCCTGGCACTTGTGAGTATAGGAATGTCGTGTTCTGCTCCTTGTGACTGTGAGAAGTATATCCAGTTGTTGGGTATTCTTCGAACTTAGGATCAGTTGTTGGTCTTGAGGGCAAATCACGCTGTGTGGTTGTGCCAGCACATAGTTCTAGCCCTCTGTAGGGGTCTGTGTGTATTGGTTTTAATTTACTTTGATTCAAACCCCCAATTCTTGATATACCCATATCAATACAATCAAAGCACAAATCGTGCTGAATCTACCTTAATCAAAGGAATATACCGAATCCTTAGAACAATTCAAATTGATTGATTGAAGCTTCTTACTTAGCTCTCAAAGCTTTGTGGAACCTTTGACAATGCTACCCCTTGCTATTAAATAAATTTGATAGCAGTGAACTCACATATTGTGTATTAGATTGGTTGGTTGGAGTGCCCATTTGATTCCTTCCTTTCTCTTTCACACAAAAATGAGGCAAGCTCATTACCGCTGATGAAAAACACTTGTTCCACTTCTTACCGGAAAGGAAAATGCTGAGAGGAACAAAATCCGGAGAGGCTGCCCCGAAGGTGCCTTCAGGATCATTATCTGTTGTCTTGCCTCTCCCACTCATCTCAAATTCAAAAGCCCTGTGTTCAGCATGTTCGACCCGGTCAAGCAAAAAGTCAGCAATCCTGGTGTCTAACACCACAGCTTAACCCAAAGGTTCAATCTTCCAGTTGCCGGCGAAAGGTACCAAAACGGGTTCTGTGCCTTCTTCACCCACCAAATTTGCCAAGTCTCATTCAATGTTTTCTTATGTCCCAGTTAGTAAGTTTTTGAAATTATAGATATATCTAACATGAATGCCAATTTTTTATTACAGTGCCCCATTTAATCAATTCCAATACCAGTGTTCTAAGATGACTCAACCATGCATTGACAGCTCTTTCTAAACCTCTGCCCGCTTGGGAACCAACACATCTGAATACTAGTATAGGCTTTAGCCATGGAGATCCAGGTTCCAGGATTGAATCCGAATGGTGGAGTATGGATGGTGCGTCGGAAAAGGGAAAGAACAAATTGGTATTGACAATTAGACTTGGCTGGCTGGCACCAAGCACAAGTAAAATATTGACTGCGAGTTTCAATGGCCACTCTTTCAACTCCAACCCGCATCATCTACATTTTCCTCTTCCAAAGTATACGCATAGTCAATGGGGAATGACTTCATGACCAGGCACTCAGTTGCATTGAATTAATCAGTGAGTGCACTGCTGGATGGTCAGCCTCCACTACCAACACCCCCTTGCCGAGCAAATCTTTGTAGCTTCAGTAGCTCATATCCATCTTCTGGCAACACTTATCAGCCTCAAGTTCATCCAAAAATCGTTCCCAAATTGACCGTGGTGGAAGGCTGTACAGTGTTTGTGGATGTGTAGATGAGCAATGGACAGGATACCTTATTGCTTTATATTGATATTGCAAGGAATCTGGGTGCTCGGGTATGTGGCTATTGGAAACGAATCTTTCCCCTAGTCTTATTTTGAGTATTGCTAGGTTGTCAAGAGAATTGGGCCACAGTGTACGCATGTTGTCTATATGTCTGGTCATGAGAAGACTGTGAAGCAGTATTTGTTCCTCATATATATTGTGCTCTCTTTCTTGTACTGATTATGACACATTGCTGTTCATGCCCTAGACAAAAAAAAGAGACTGAAAGTGATCGGAGCATCTGGGCTCAGAGACTGCAAACAAGTGGCTGCGCATCTAGACGAGGAGCATTATCTGGTCAACCTGGAGGAACATGAACTTGATCTGACTTGCAATTCTCTCTTCCTTAAGGGTGATAAAGATAAACAACCCAAAGTTTGTCTTGTTTATTGATAAACCCCATAAGAACCTGAATATTTTTCCAGCGTTGTCAATTGTATATTCCAAAATTTAGTGGTACAGATGACAACAGAACCGAAGATGGAGACATCTCTGTTGACTGTAATACTTGTGAGTTTCGGATCTCTCCAGATCAATGGTTCATGGCTGACTTTCATTCTTCAAGCTAAAGTCAACGATGAAATAACACCTTTGGCGAAAGCACAATTGAGACTGTCATGAAGCGGCAGAGGCGGAGTGACTAGCGGAGCAGGAAGCGGGGTGACTAAGCCAGGCAGTGAGGCGGAACGACTAAGCAGGTGAGTGAGGCGGAGCGACTAAGCGGAGCGGGGGCGAACTGGTCCCAGATAATGACAGAGATATATTGAGTATCGTAGTCATAGGTAATAATAAGTAAGCACATACCTGGTCCCAGATAATGACAGAGAGGTCAAGATAAGGGACCAGGCTGTGGAGGGTTGGCTATATATACATAATCTAGTCTGCGAGAAACAACGATGTAATACTGTACAGTTCAGGGGCAAGGAAGGAGGCGGAAGCCAATAGAAAGAGAAGGTGGGTCAGGTGGATCAGTAATAGATAGATCAGTAATCGATGGAGATTGACAGCGATGGGATGATGTATTGTACAAGTAAAGGCGTCGAGACGGTGAGAAAGGGAAAATGATAGGGGCTGCGTACTTTATGACATTACCCCCCTCCTTATGACCATTGCCCCCGATGGTCAAGGTTTTGCCGCTGTCGGATGTTTTTTGTGAAAGGCCCGAACAATTTTTGGTGCCCGGCTGAGGTTGGGTGCGGGTTCCCAAGAGTTGTGTCCTGCATCGTAACCTTTCCATTTTACTAGATATTCCAACTTCTTCCATCGTACCCGACTGTCCAAGATCTCCTCCACCTCATATTCCGGTTCATCTTCATCTTCTAAGTACACCGGCTCTGGTGGTGTTGGTATTTCGCCATTGATGGGGTTACCTTTCCATGGATATAGTTTGTCGACATGGAAGACAGGATGAAGGCGGTCTAATGACAAGGGAAGGTCAAGGCGGTAATCCAGAGGTCCGACTTTCTCCAGAATACGGTAAGGTCCTAGCTGTCGGTCTCCTAGTTTTTCACTGGATAGCTGCAGGTTAATGTCCTCCGCACTTAGCCAAACTAGGTCCCCAACTTTGATTTGATGCGCTTTTCGCTTCCCACGTTCGTATCCCTCCTTTTGTTGCTTCTTTCCTAGATGTAAGGCAGCTCCAGCATCCTGTCGCGCTTCTCGGAGAATCCGTATGCGGTCATCCACTGCTGGAATGCCGCTGCGTTGACCAACCGGGATATTGAACAGGGGAAGGTATCCGTAGGTTAACTCGAACGGGGACATGCCTAGGGCCGAGTGAGTCCGCGAGTTAATCACAAACTCCGCCATGGGGAGGTGTTCTACCCAGTCATCTTGTCGTCGTCCCACGTAGAGGCGAATGTATTTTTCCACTTCCTGATTTGCGCGTTCAGTTTGGCCATTGGACTGAGGACGATATCCGGAGGTTAGATCTGATTTAATTCCCAGTCTAGCGAGGAGGGATCGCATGAGTTTAGCTGCGAACTGAGGTCCGCGGTCGGATTTGAAGTGGAGGGGAAGACCATGGAGACGGAAGATTTCTCGGTAATAGATATCGGCGACACCTTCGGCTGTAATGGAGCTGGTGCAAGGAATAGCATGGATTTGTTTTCCATACAGGTCTGTACAGACCAAGACTGCGTCGTATCCCTGGGAGTTAGGCAATTGTGTTATCAGGTCGACCCCTACCTCTTCCCATAGGCCGGATGGTACATCCAGTGGTTGAGTCACAGCTCGTGGGTGCCGTTGGATCTTCTTGCGGGCGCAAATCTCGCATCCCTCAACGTATTTCTCCACAAAAGAACGCAGTGTCGGCCACCAGAAGTGGGTGCTGACCAGGTCAAGTGTCCCATGTAATCCGGGATGTCCAGCAGTTGGATGATCATGGCATTGACGGAGTACCTCGGTGCGTAGATTGTTGTCTGCTGGTACATATACCCGGCCCCGGTAATAGACCAACCCGTTGTCCTCCTCCCATTCAGCTATCCCATTGGCCAAGCGTTGTAACCCGTGCTTCTTGACTGTTTCCAGACCTTCCAGTACTTGTGCTTCCCGTTCTGAGGCTTTCCGAATACGATCCTCTAGGGGGTTCCGTAGGATTGAAGCGGCAATTTTGGTGAAGTGGCCAGGTTTAAGGACGGTCTGTTGCTGATTGTCATCGCTATCTGATACATGATGTACTGCCATACGAGAAAGGGCATCAGCTTGGGTGTTTACTCGGCCAGGACGGTGGATCATATGAAAATCAAACCGTGATAGATAGAGGGCCCATCGGGCTTGTCGACGGGTAAGGTCTTGTGCTGTGCGCCAGAATTCGAGGTTGGAGTGGTCGGTGATAATGTCGAATGGTTGTGGAAGTCCTTCCAGGAAATTCCTCCAGTCCTTCAATGCTTCAATGATGGCAAGCATCTCCCGATCATATATTTCATAGTTCCGTTCTGCTGGCTGCATGGATGCCGATCTGAAGGCTACCGGGTGCCACTGACCATCGTCTTGCTTCTGCATGAGGGCGCCTCCCGTAGCAAAGCCTGATGCGTCTACCTCAATTTGAGTGGGCCGATCTGGCGCCCATAGAGCAAGGATTGGTGCGGAGATGAAGGCCTCTCGAAGGGTGTCAAATGCCTCCTGTTGTGTACCAGTCCAGTTAAAGCTGGTATCCTTCTTGGTTAGGTCGTTCAAAGGTCGAGCTATTCTTGCAAAATTTCGGATAAAGCGCCGGTAGAAGTTTGCAAACCCCAAAAATCCTCGCAGTTCCCGGAGGTTGGTAGGGACTGGCCAGTCACGAACAGCCGCTACTTTGACCGGATCCATTCTCACCTCCCCTTCTGAAATGATAAGTCCCAGGTATTTGATCTGTTGCTGTTCAAATTCACACTTCTCTGGGCGCAAATAGAGGTCGTGCTTTTCTAGTCGCGTTAATACTTCCCGTACCACTTGTCGGTGTTCCTTGAGGTCGTTACTGAATATGAGGATGTCGTCTAGGTAGACTGCCACCTTGCCAGCTGCAATGAGATCAGCAAATATCGCATTCATAAGTGCTTGGAATGTGGCAGGGGAATTCGTGAGACCGAAGAACATAACCTTAGGCTCGAACAAGCCCCGAGTTGTTGCAAATGCGCCTTTCCATTCATGCCCCTTCTTAATCCGCACATTATTGTAGCCCCAGCGAACGTCAAACTTGGTGAAATATCGCGCTCCCTGAAGCCGGCTAATGATATCAGCAACTAATGGGAGAGGGTATCGGTTCTTCACAGTATACTCATTCAGTTTCCGGTAGTCCTGTACGAAACGGAGTTTCCCATCCTTCTTCTTCACGAAGAAGACTGGAGATGAGATGGGTGACTTCGAGGGAACGATGTAGCCTTTCCGTAGGTTTTCTTCTAGAAAGCGGTCGAGTTCCTCCTGCTCGTTCAAGGACATTGGGTAGATCTTTGTCCGCATGGTTGCTGGTGCTCCGGGTACAAGATCGATAGCGTGATCCCAGGGCTGATGGGCAGGTAATCGCTCAGAGGCAGATTCGGAGAAAACCTTCTTGAAGTCTCGGTACTGCTCAGGGACCATCTCCTCAAAGGTTTTAATGGGTTTATCGCGGTTAGCCTCCTCTGCTAGTTGTTGAGAATATGTGAACCCTGCTGAGCACCATACTTCCTCTGTTTGTTCTTCCAATATCCCCGCTTTCACCCATGCCCGACGCGTTTTGTGATTGGCTCGTATTCGGTGTATTGGGGATTCCTCCGTTGCTGTTATGATTTCATTCTCCTCTAGGTCTGCCTCAGTGTGATTGGGTTCACGTTGGGATCCTTCGTTCAGGAGTTCCTGGATTGGACTATCGGTAGTAGACGCCACTAGGTGAGGGTGTGAAGTCTGCTCATCTTCTACTTCCTCTATATGTACCCGGGGTGGCTTTACTGAAAGTCGTCCCTTCTCCCAGTCAATCTCTGGATTTACCTTCCGTAACCAGGGGAGTCCGAGAATAATATCCTCTCCTCCTAAGTTTGTGATCAGGAAATCCATCCATCGCTCCTGGTTATCCACTGTGAGTGCTAAGCGTGCAAAGTGGGTGATTCGCCCGGCTCGGTTAGGTGTACCATCGATATTGAATACATCGATTGGTTTATGGAGGGGTGCGCAGGTTACGTGATTTCTGGTGGCAAAGTCTTGGTTTAAAAACAGGGCGGTAGCTCCACAGTCTACCATGGCTGCGGTTGTTATACTATGGTTCCTTCCTCTCAGTTTCGCATGAATTCGGAAATGTGGGGAGCTGGAATTTAATTCCCAAATAGATGATATTGTACATGATGGGAGCGAGTCATATGAAGAGGTAGCGGACATAGTAAACTGATTATGGGGTACTCTCGGTGCAGCCGGAGCGGGTACCCTCTTTAAAAACCCTGCTGAAAACCAGAGGACGGAGGAGACATGGCATTAGCACGGTCCAACAATTCCCTTATTTGTCCAATTTGGGTGGAGAAGTCCTGATTAGCGGGGCTCGGTATAGCAGGTCCAGCGACAGGTGTTGGGATTGAGGCGGCAATCTGAACTGATTCATTTGGGAATAAGGTAAATGGTGCCGCCGTGGCTGAGATCTGCTGACGGCGAGGCTGTTGGCGTCGGCCACGGTCGCGACTAAGTCCCATGAACTTGTCCTGACAGACGGATTCTAGGTGTCCCCGGCGTCCACAGTATCGGCAGGTAGTCTCCTTGTGTGGGCAATTCTGCTTAACATGGCCTTGAGCTCCACAACCAAAACATCGTCCGCGCATACGGGCAAGGAAGGCCTCCCTGCTATTCCCAGTGCTGGTATGAGTAGCATCAATGTCCATGGCGTGAGGGTCGGCAGGGGTAATGTGAGCGGTGTGTGCGGGAGCGTGTCCGGTGTTTCGGCCGGTCATGGTGGGATCATGCAGGTAGACATCCACCGATATGGCTCGTTTGATTGCCTCTTTCAAAGTCGGAGCGATTCCTTGGGCGATGTTTACGATGATAAGGTGTTGTCGGATCTCCGGAAGTAAGGCGGTGAAGAAGCGTTCCCGTAAATCAATATCAGACATTTCAGTCCGATCTCCGATATCCTTGAACTTCTGGGCAAATTCTGCAACTGTCTGCCCTTTACTTTGTCTGAGGTTCTTGATCTCGCTACGGGCTTCCATACCTGGGTCCATTGGTTCAAACCGCTGGCTAAATTCCTTCAAGAACGTATCCCAGTTCCCTCCGAAAGGGGGATTCTCTGCACTGAAGTGTAACAGATGGGGAGTTGCCCAATCTCCAGCACTTTCTGTGAAGAAGCCCAGGGCGGACTTGATAAGTTTAACTTGGCTCTTGGCGAGATCCGGTTGTTCTGACGCCCAATTTTGGAACTGAGCCATGAAGCGACGAGCTTCAGCACCATCTTTACCCTTGAAGACCTCGGGTTTGTTCATGCTTGACTTGGAGGATGAGCGTTCCTCCATGGCTGTAGCAAGGCTGGCTACTTGTCTGATGAGCTGAGCCATGAGATCCTCAGCAGAGGTATTTGGGGCAGGCGGAACAGGAGTCGACATGATGGGAGTAGGCAATCGGGGTTGGGGAATTGGCAGGAAGGTTATATTGCTCACAGTGAGTGGCTCTCGGATCGAGTTCGAAAGGGCGTTGGGGCAAGGTTGAGACTGGCAATCACGCCAAGTATCGTTGTTGTTGTGGGCGTGAGCTTGGTCTCTGGGGTCAAGTGCGTGCGGGAGTGTGGAGCAGTCTATACTGGCAGCAGGTGTTTCAGAATCGGGCGGGACTGGGGAAGACGTGGTGTCTACGGATCCTGCAAGGACAACCTTATCGGTAGGCTGTCAGTGCAGTAATGGATCTTGACCTAATGTCACGAAGCGGCAGAGGCGGAGTGACTAGCGGAGCAGGAAGCGGGGTGACTAAGCCAGGCAGTAAGGCGGAGCGACTAAGCGGGTGAGTGAGGCGGAGCGACTAAGCGGAGTGGAGGCGAACTGGTCCCAGATAATGACAGAGATATATTGAGTATCGTAGTCATAGGTAATAATAAGTAAGCACATACCTGGTCCCAGATAATGACAGAGAGGTCAAGATAAGGGACCAGGCTGTGGAGGGTTGGCTATATATACATAATCTAGTCTGCGAGAAACAACGATGTAATACTGTACAGTTCAGGGGCAAGGAAGGAGGCGGAAGCCGATAGAAAGAGAAGGTGGGTCAGGTGGATCAGTAATAGATAGATCAGTAATCAATGGAGATTGACAGCGATGGGATGATGTATTGTACAAGTAAAGGCGTCGAGACGGTGAGAAAGGGAAAATGATAGGGGCTGCGTACTTTATGACAAGAGGGTGCGAATGCATACTTCCATTATCTTGCCTGCTCTTTGTATGCTAATTTGTAGGTAAATGAATGCAGATAAATAGCTGTAATTTACAAGGCAGAATTTTTGGACTTCTTATCACTCAGAATCCACTGCTTTGATCAGTGTTTGGCCAGCTTGAGCTTTAGCAAGCTATAGTGGAATCATACAGTCTCATCTTGTTCTCTATTGTTACGCCCTGAGTCCTGGCTTCAATTCAGTTGACACGATATTGCATGAACATGCTGAACCATTGACTCAAACCTTGTAATAATAATTCTACTAATTTTCTGAATCCGAGCTGGAATTAAACACATCTTATCCTGACTCAACTTGTCAGCATGCTCTCAAACTACTCTCTTCTCATTAAGATTCTCTTGGTCACTTCAAGACTTTGCATCCTACTGAAGTATGTAGCACCCTACTCAAACATTGTCCAAGCATTTCACCCGTAAACTTCGCCAAACTTCTGTAGTGTCCAAAATCCCATCCAAGGACCAATACTCTTGACACCCTGCATGTACCCTTCTAGGAGGAACTCCCAACGTACCACTCCTCTGAGATGTGTACAGGTCAAAATCACATGTACCAGCTGCCAAAAGGTCCACAAGAAATGTGATGAGAGATGCCCTTGTTATCGTTGTGTAAAATATGGTGTTTCACACAAATGCATGAACTCAAGGAGGAAGGAATGCCAGAAAGGTTTGAAGAAGGGGCCTTATGATGAAAACAGAAAGGTGGTTTTTGTCTCTTCTTATGACTGTCTATTTACGATTGTAGGTTACGCAGGAACAGACACTGGCATCAGTCTCTCTGATGGGGGGTGCTCATCTCCCAGAGGTGCTAAACACCAAAGGCGACTCAGGAGGAGTTTGTGATATAGAGTTCTCAACTCCACTCAGGGAGACATGCAGTCATTCACACTCAGTTGGATTTCATCACTTGGGATTTCAAATCTCTATCCCTTCCTTTGCGTGATCTGCCACAATCGATGATGGAATTAGCAAGCAATGTCCCTTTCTGCCACCAGAGCAATGCTCGTGATGAGGGTGCTCCCCTACCAGAGGTACTGAACAATAACAGCAACTTTGAAGGTGTCCGTACTATACAGTCTTTCATGCAGGGAGCCGGTTGTTTATGCAAAATGTCATGGGAAATGTCACTGTACAGATAGATAGATAGTAGTAGGTCTTAGTATTTGATATACGTAGTATGTTGCTGGAATGCGTATACTATGTCCAAGATAACAGAGGAAAGTCACGTGTGAAGATTAGATGAGCTAAGAGTTGTAATCAACCGTCACCTCGATAATTGGTTATGCCGATCACAAAGGATGTGGAATTTCACGTATCGTCTCCTTCCCTTGCTCGCCGGTAGCATCATGGTTGAGTCCTTTTGGAAACTTATGATCTTTTGACTTGCGCGGTGATTTATTCAATACCCCGACCTCGTCTTTGCGTGAACTGGAACTTCTTTCAGAAGCGGACGAGTCGGAGGAAAGAACCACAGTTGCTTCGCAGGTCCTTTTCTGAGGGTGAGCCGGAGATGTCTGAGGTGATCCTGGAGGAGCATGAGCATGGATGAAATTTAAATTGAAGGGACCATCGGAGTTATTGCTTTCTTCATCGAAAGACACGGGAAAGGGTTGAGGGGTTCTGTCGGGTGCAGTTCGAAAGCGAGATGTTTGGCGAATTTCACCCTCTTTGCTCTTCGGCATAACGATACTATCTATTATAGAAAGCAAGCTATTGCCTTGGGATACCTTCTTTTTGCTATTATCCTGTGCAGAGGGTTCAGAAATTTCGAATGAGGACCTGATATTACAGCTATGGGAAGAAGTGCCTGCACATTCAAGTTTCTGGAGAGCCGAGACAGATGCGGTGCTCGGAGAATGGTCGTTGAATGGTAGATCGGGCAAAGTAGATCCGGGTATCCGACTCATAAGATGTTTTTGAGGATGTGTTATGGAGTGAACAGGACGACTCAGAATGAACGGACGATTATCATAGTCCATATCATCATCGGACAAATCGAGGTTGATGACCTGATCAGTTCTGAGTGCAAGCTGCGACGAATAAGGCTTGGCAGTAAGTGTTGTAGTTGAGGCACCCGCTTTTAGCTTCGGTTTGACGCTCCTTGGTGGCTTGGCTTTGGGCTCCATAGTTTTGACCCTTCCTCCTTTCCCTGCCTTCTTCTCCTCCTTTTGTTTTTGCACCACTCCGTAAGCCTCAACCAAACCAGGAACTGCCTCCTTGACAAGCACTGCAGGGAGCCAAAGCTCTAGTAGCCCGGACAGGGTAGGACGAGGATGTTTCTTCTTCTTTGCCCTCCCCTTCACACCATCCTCATCGTCAGATGAGCCATTCTCCAGCTCCTCGAATTCCGCCCATTCGTCTTCATCGTCGGGACGTCGGATTCCTTTCACTCCGCAAGTAAGAAGTTGAACTAGGATGGTGGGATCAACAGCAACTCGATATTCAAGTGTGTGCGACGTGGATTCATGCGTGCGTGTTTTGCTCGCGTGTCGAATAAATTCAGGGCGTGGACACCCTGTGTCCTCGAAAACATAGTCTCCTGAGGCAAAATAGCCGCGGATGGTCTCAAAATCAATTGGCTTTGCCTCACAAGCCTGTTTAAGAATGCATGCACGCCGCATGATTCGAAGGGTGATACCATGGAAGATAACGGTACGAAAACGTTTGATGATGCTCTCGAGGAATCCCCATTCGAAATAAAATTCACATATCTCCGCAAGCAAAGGTAAGGAGGGATCTTTCTTCAACCATCTGTTGTGACCTCCAGCATTCACCACCAGGTCATCGTAGTGCGCTGAGCGGCCAAGACTCTCGCTGGTAACAGGCCTCAAGTAAGCTAGCAAAACTTTGATATCCGGGAACGAATCGGGAATGGTGCTGGCAAGTTTAGGTGACTTTCGTGGTAGCAACCCGGAGGCATTGATTTTCAACTCCTGAGCTAATTCCGACTTCCATTGCCTAAGGAAGTGTTGCAGCTCATCGGAATCTTTGTCGTAAGTCAGAGCAGCTTGGCATAGTGTTTTCCCGAACCCAGCACGCGCAAGACCGTACGATATCTTGACACCACAATTTTCTAAGCCTGTACCGTAGTCACCGCCAGAACATAGAGCAATAAAAATAAGCTCTTCGCGGTTGATATCCGAAAGGGCATGATGGGGAAGGATGTATGTGTAGACTTTCGCTTTGTCAATCGTACTTTTCGCGTGAGCGTGAGTTGAGGAACGGTTTCGAATCACGGTGTGTGCACCAAAAAGAAAATTGTCCACATCATCAGATAGAATTCCGTCGATGACCCCGATTCTGTTCAGGAATGCAAGTTCCGCCTCCGCCTCTCCAGGAGCCTAAATGTGACCAGCCTTAAGAATTTGCTCGTTGTCAAGTGTCTTAGTACATACCGTCCGATATTCAAACCCAAAGGACTCTATCATAGCCTGCATACCGGTTACCAGTTTGTTTCCATGCTTGTTGATCCGCTTGCCTCTTTTGACACCTGGCCTCAAGGGACCATCGAATACAAACAGCGGTAAAAATCCCTCACTGAGCAGCTGTGCGCACCGGAAAAATATTGTACGAAGCTCTGGGTTCTCCCCTTCTTTACCATACCCTGCATGCACGAACCATATTGAAGCATCGATGCCTATACGAAAACCACGACTAGGGGCGCCAAATTTAGTGAGGGAAAGGGCAGTAAGTGTCGTCACCGATTGAGCCGGCTTTAGAAGCTGAAAGCAGGTTTCAAACTGAGAAAATGCGAAAATCCATAGATTTCTCACCGGCCAGAGTCCTGCAACACCCATGGACCTGAGAGGAGCTACAAGAAATTACAAGCAGTACGACGCCGAGCTCGGGAGAAAGAAGAATGAAACCTACAAGAATGATACGTACATGATGAATCTTCAACCTATGTTTGCTGCTGGAGGGACGCACCTCAAATTCCACTATCGTGAACTACACCTGATTCTGGTTGATAGAATGTGGTAGAATGAACGCTGTAAACAGTGCTATTCGAACTCCAAAGACAGGTGGTGATTGACTCATGGTCAGTGTTTATGTACAATGGTTCAATTAACCTGGCCGTCTTTGGCAGAAACGCCACGCTGAGCGTGATCAACGACAGAAGCAATCGGTCTCTGCAATCCAAGGGATTTGAATTTGACCCTCTTACACCATTCACTTGAAGTGGCCGTGATGGATGAATCAGGAAATCACAGTTGCTAACTGGTTGCTAACTTATGCAGACATATTTATCCGAAAAAACCACAGATATAACGTTCTAAGATACAGCTAAAAATTCACCGCCTCGAGATTAGTTCCCTGGAAGTAGAAGTTGGTAAACGAAACAATTCCAGCAGGGGAGGGCAGGGCATACCAGTTTTGGCAGGCGGAAGTAGGCATCAGTCCCTACAACACAGTCAAATGATGTGGAAGGACTTTCGAAACTACTGTGCTTACCATAGCCATCTAAACTCTTCAAATCCAACGAACCACCGAAATACCTACAAAGGAAAAAATCAAAATCGAATGCATGGCTCGAATATTCAAAAATTACACGTCGCAAAGATATTACTCACAATCCGATACCCATTCTCGCATACCTGCTAACTCTAGCATCCTTTTCTGGGTCGGGTGAGCGGTTCCATTTCTCGACTTGTTCGTTCACTGTAGCCCAGATACCCCGACGATAAGAGCTCGCAGTACGAAGTGATATCAAACGTGAATGTTCCATTCGTGCGCTGTTTCGTATGTGGGAGAAGGAGATCAGATCAGATGGGTTTTGGACGGGATTTTGTACAGTGATCAAACCTCCGCCTGTGGAGTCAATTGAGAAATAGAAACACCATTTGAGCAAGGTTTAGTCCTAGCCTTGATCTGAAATTCGTATACCAACAGCATTGTCTCCCGCTGCTATTGTGGCTCTTATTGGAGGTAGACTTACAGAGTCTGCTTGGTTCAGCCTTGTGGCCCGTATTGACTAGCGTTTGAGCAGATTGTCAGTAGGTTTATGAGACGGTAGAACGAGGTCTACATTTTTTAGCAGCTCGAAGACGATGTACCTTTCACAAATGTCAGCACCAGAGGCAAATCAAGCCTCAAATGACGCACTCCAGATGTTCGAGTATGTAAGAAAACCTCATATCAACATCCCCTTCAATAACAACCTCCGCCGGGATCTCGGCATTCCCTTCCGCATCCTCAGCCTCTAACGACTGGTGCCTAAGGAGATTTGCACACTTCTCGATACTAGCCTTAACATTCAACCCCGTAGTGATTATGCCTACATTCGGTTCAGCAGATTTCCAAGGTTTCTGTTTGCCTGCGTAGTTTTCTGATAGAGCAATATGATGCTGAGCAAGGATACGACGAGATATCTGAGAGACGAGCATGCGACTCATGAACGGATCAAGATCATCGGGAGCTAGGTATGGAGAAGACAATGCCATCCCTAAGGATAGACTGGGGAAACGATAGCGCTGAGGGACCGAATGAACGACTGAATTGTAAAGTAGAACAAGGGACACACTGCTCATCCAGAAGTCCGGCTAAAAATTCACAAAAAGCTTCGTTTTCCTTGATGTTTGTTATTGGTGGGTACTTCCTGAACCTGGCGCATTGATTCTCAGTATCCGCAGGAAAGAAAGCGGGACGGACCAGTACTTCTCAAAGGCAGACCAATATAGCTAGGGGGGGGGAATGGTCAACCTTCAATTACCGTGTAGAGGGAGTGAAAATTACTTCGTAGACTTTTGCGATGCCTTCTTGAGTCACTACGATATATGGGAGTTTCTGAAGGTCTCGTAGTCGATGGGCTATCCGTACGGGGAGCTCGGTACGGACGTAGTTCGCACTCTGTATCATGATCTGATTATATTCGAGGATGCAGGATATAAGTACTGACTTTGACCAACCGATCCTCATCCATTGAACGACCAGAAAACACCTGTATCACATTCATTTATGAGAAGCATATTCGAAGTTCAGGTTGGCCCACAAGTTACCGGAGAGTCATTGGCTTCGGTTCTTTGGAAGCGTAAAGTTCGAGCTGCTTGTTCTGATAGAAGTGTAAAGCAGTTGATTCATTTCTTTTCGAACATTTTCGGAAGATATGTTGCATCCTATTTAGATTTACGCTGCAGCGAGTGGATGAGCGAGACATTGAAAACAGGAATAGACCAAGGTTGTGGAGGAAAAGATAACATTCATGTCCAAGTTCTGTTGCGCGCTAAATGACTCGAGCGAGGGGCCAAATTGAAACATGCGGCTGGGCTCGCATGGTTCTACTGAGTTCTACTGTACATCTTAAAGAATTCCTTCTGATTTCAGATCTCCAATAGCTAAGAAGGCAGAACGTCGATCTCTGTCTACACCAGTCCAGTCTCCTCTGCGTTTGATAGGAGAGGCCTGACCTCGTTGTGCGTTGTTGGTAGATGTCTGACGAACAGGGACCCAGCGGGCTTTCAACTGGGCTAGAAGTTGTTCAAGTGCACCGGGAGGATTTAGAGTCAAAAATGTGGTCCGATAATGAGTGGGATGGAAGTTTGGCGGGGTAGTCTTGTCAGCAATCGCTTGCACGACATCGGCACGAGTGGGAGCTAAAGGCTCCTCGAGGAGAACGAAAACATTATCGTTCATTTAAGGTGAACATAGTACGTTCCAATGGCAGATGGATTCCGGGCGTTTGACTTAACGTGGAGCGGAAGGACTTGACAGCAAGGTTCCAAGGACCTTTGAGGAAACCCTTCAAAGGGGATCAGTCAAGATAGAGATTGTAAGAAGCAAGAATATAGTGCACTTACATTGTGGTTTTCCTGAATATTGTTTCGAATAGCTAGCAAACCATCTGGAGGTGCATTGATCCAACGAGCAAGGAAAGGTCAGAGACTGCACCTAACATTCTGAATACCAGCGATATTCAATCTGTTAGGCCCATTCTGAATTGTGACCTCTATTCTACCAAAGTAGGAATCCTAGCCTTCTCCGTCGAAACAGGCTCGTTCTAATAACTATAGAAAACAACGAACTGAAGATCGCGCTGTAATTTTGATGTTTCGACCATTCTCCAGCGTGAGATGTAGGTGCGGTGACGGAACCAGTGCTTGACGAAAGGCTAGGGATAGAAGGTAGAAGATCTTTGTCTATTTCTTTGTTGAGATTCGCTAGTGAACCTTCGGGGAGAGTGACGATCCTTAGCGGAGAAGGTCCGACTATAGGACTCTTTCGACTTCGGAGGGAGGGCGATCGACTAGGTTGAACTTTAATGGGCGGGAGGGTGCCAGGGGTTTGCAAAGGACGGCGAGTGATAGTCATCCTACTGTCCGCGCCAGGAATTACGGGAGACAGTTTGGTTTCATTGAGGGAAGTTTTGTGTTTAAATCGTTCAGAATTGAGCTTCTAGCTGCTTCTTTGTGTGGTACTGTGCCTTCTCCTTGTCAATGAAGTCGAGCTGGAAAAATATAAGAATTTGAGGCAAGTAACAGCATCGGGCGCTCAGAGCGGTCGATTAATTTGAAACTCCGAAGCGGGGCCCCTCGTCAGATCCAGACTTCCCATGAGTGAACGAATTTTTCTTCACTCGTCGTGAAATTCTGGCTCGCGAGACTAATTTCTCAACGACTGTACTTAGCACCTTTTACTCTTTTCGACATGCCCCGAATCAAATTCGAAGATGGGGATAGCAAGTTGTCTTTTCCTACTGATACAGGTGGAATGGAAGTCGTTGATCTGTGAGCTCTGACATACGCTTATCTCAAGCGGACCTCCTCAAATGGGCTTCAGATCTAAACTTCTAGCCTCTGATCTTGCAAACCTTTGTAAAAGTTATGGTCTCAGGGTTTCGAAGCGATGCAGCAGTGAATATTTGAAAGTTCTGAGGGCATTTTCCAATGACCCATCGCAGTGGAGGTATGTGAGATAAATCATTCAATCTACGTATGTCCCTCACTGGCGACTAGTATTATCGACATGAATGTCAACTCCTCTACGAGTCCCTCGCGGAAAAAGCAGAAAACGGTGAAATCCAGTCGTGGACTTGATCAAGAAATGGAATTGCTCCAGAGTAAAGGTGCCGATATTGAGATCTGGGTAAAATTTTCGCCTGGGTTAAGACGTGATTTTCCAATTTGAATAGTTGAACAGGATTGATTCATTGGTTGACGATCCTTACGGGATCGTCACAGTCAACACTTCGACCTTGAGTGCGGTCTCTGTGTCTGCGATATCATCTCTTACAGCACCTTTACCTCAGACTTCTGCAAATATTCTCATGACTAATGCAGCACCTTTATCTGTACCATTTTTCCGGGAAAGGCTCCTTGCACTTCAGTCGAACGACAAAGCCTTTGTAGAAACTTTCACTGTGGCCCTTGCGGGATACCAGGCCATTACCTTCACTTCTGCAGATATTCGAGAATTTCCCGTTCTGGAAATGCCTCGCTCGCCTCATCAGTATTTAGTGAAGCTGTTGAGTGTGTGGGACAACAGCTTTCCTACTTGGGAGTCGCAAGCTTGTCCCTCGGTTGGAGGGGTCAGAATACCTGCAAAATATTGGAAAATTGTTTTTTCAAAGGCAGGGCATTGGAAAATTGGGAGATATCGAATGCAATGGCATCAATGGAAGGTGAGGCATTTGCTATCAGTTTGTGTGAAGTAAAGCTACTTAACCCTATTTTTGCTCAAACCGTTTCCTTTACTGAAGCTGTTGATTGAGGAATTGCAAAGTCACGATAATTGTCCTGAATTGCTTTGTGAAATCTATGCAAAGAATATGCATCCTGTGACCATCAGCAACATTGCCCTTGCAATCCGGAGACACAGACTGCAGCGTACCAAAGACTCTAATGACGAGCTTTTGGCTCAAGCGGGAGACGTTCGAGAGAATCTCCTTCGAGACGTATGCAGCTACAAAAGAGGAGGCCAGCAAATTATTTGTACATCTGAGAAGGCAATTTTGTGCAGGTTACGCGCACTGTATTCGTAGAAAGAATATATTTCTACCATAGTGGAACCCTGTGGAACCCTGCTTTCTTCCGTGAAATGGTGCAGACCCAGGGGTCCGCCAGTAATGATTTCGATGGTAAAAACAGGAAATGCTTGACTAAGGCTGGACGGAAGCGCAAAACGAAACTGCAATCCAATCACAAAAATGTTACAACCGTAGCATCATTTTCTCTGCTTTTGACCCAAACTCCTGTGGAACTGCACGAACCTGACATTCCATTGTTCAAGCACACGACGGATCGAGCAGTGAGTTAATTCGGCAATTCAATGAGGTGACAAATTCCCGCTACATCTTTAGAGATTGAAGGACCAGAGCATGACTGCAGCAACAACTCGCTCTAACTTACAGTCTGATTCATCAGGAGGAAGAGGAGTGCGCTGGATTTTATCATGCATGTTGATGAAAGAGTCGGATGAGTATAGCTCGCCATGAACTCGGGTTTCTACTTCTGAATTAGGGAGTTGGTGAAAGAGTTTGAATGGTGATAAATGCATTGACATCGACAATGGGCTTGAAAAAGCCTCCTTTATGACTGAAAGAAGTGGTCGATAGTGGAGTCCAGGAACAGAAAATGTTGCCGAAGGAACATTCTTCTGTCCAGAAGGAACCTGAATATCCACCGCTGTAGTGCAGAAACCTGCTAGATAACTGTTCAATGAACCAGACGTTAAGCTAGTCTTATCTGCTCGTTGATTCTCTCGATGAGCATTGAAGCCCCGGAGATCATCTACATTGAAATCATCTGTAGCAATGACCTCCTTGACTAGCCGTGTGACCTCGCCCTCGGACTTCAAAGAGCTGCCAGTATTTGACCAGCGCATTAAGCGCCAGATACTCATGTTCTTGAATGGCCAGGGAGGCTCGTAACAAGGCCCAGCATCTGGAGACTGGGACATAGAAGGTAGTGGTACAGAATGAGTGCGCGGATCTTTTGCGAGATCATCCAATGAGACAAACGCATCAGGATCGAAGGTTGGACGGTGCGGGTATAGACGATATAGACGGAATGGGTTGAGTTGAGTTTTGAGAGTATCTCGTACAATAAGAAATACACGGCGGATTCGAGTGAGCTGAGTATTCAACTCACTGTCTGCTGCTTGTTCAAGTACAGCAGGAGGTGCCTGAGGTAGAAAGTCGTGGACTGGTGCAGGCCTTGCAGCTGCTCGAATTGGTCGACCGGCCTTATTAAGTAATGGTGGCGGCGGCGCAGAAGGGGGTGAGATGGGCAGCAGCTCCGGTGGTGACAGAGATGCTCTTGCCAATGGTGAAAGAGGTATGTCTCCTGGAATATCATGAGCTTCTTCGGCCTTCAAATGGTGTCAGTAGTCATATTATCTGGTCAGAAAAATACCTACCAAAGAGATGGAAAGCGGAGCAGTTTGTGAAAGCTTCTTTGAGGTTTTAAACTTCTTGAGAGAACCTGGCACAGGGCGTATCGGTGTATCAGCAGGTCGCTTCAATGAACGATGAGAGCCTAGCGCAGCATTCTGAAACTCGGTGGTGAAGTGTACACAGGTCTGCTGGTGTTGTTGCAGAGATCGTAATGTTGTGAATGATTTGGGACAGAGAGACGTGCAGGCATGAGGATTGGGCATAGTAATGACCAAAATAGATAACAGGATCACCAAGAGGACAGTATGCCTCTGAAAGGTGTACATGTCTCCGTACAGTGCACCCACCTTACTAGTAAGGCTTCAAGTTCAAGTCGCAACCGGGGTGAGTGAAGTCTGGAAACAAAAAATATATTGCGGCGCCCGTTTGAAATATCTGTAGGTAATATACTCCTGATAAGTGGGGCCAGATAGCAACGGAATAGTACACTAAGTTTCATGAGATTGAGCGACCCTTTCAGGAGAGTTGAGAATTACTCACCTAGATTATAATATAAGAACCACTGCGGTAAATTTTCCGTCACATTTCCCCTTCCTTCTGGATATGGCTCTGAGAGAATCAATGCCTAGCTCTGGCCGTCGCAAAGAGAGCAGACATCACCACCCCCACTCTCATACTCAACCATCTCATCAATCCCAGTCTCAATCTAGGTCTCAGTCTCGGTCTCTCTCTCCTCATGGGCAGCCTCTCTTGACCTCAGGAACAGACTCCTCCAACAGGCGATTGGCTAGCGGAGATGTAGAGCAAGAAAATGAAAGGCTGAAAAGAAAAATTGATGCACTCGAACTTGAAAAAGCTGAGAGAGAGAGAGAGAGTTGATTTAACCGCCGCAGGCCACCATTTCGGAGCCAAGAGCGGGGGAAACTATGTACTAGTAACACCGAGTATCGTATAGTGGTTAGGTATGTAAACTGATGAGTCCGTGGTTTTGATATTGTCGCCTGCAGCGTATGATTACGCCTATTAGTCTTCGTCGTCGCTTGCCTCCTCGGCAATCCTACCATCCTCCTCCCAGTCTTCCTCGTTTCCTTCTTCAACCATTGCATCTTCCGGCCTTGGCTCCCTGATTTCCAGTGTTAGCTGTCCTGTCTTCTTAAATGCTCCGCTTTTTTCAATGAATTCTGCTAGTGCTTCGATTCCTTCTGCGGTTCCCAGTATTTCCCCCATATCGAGGTCATCCGACACATCCCATAGAAGGTCTCGATAGTCATCATATATTTCGCAAGTTTGGATGATGTGATCTCGAGTTTGTGTACGAGCGCCGCAAGGGCACTGAATTGATTCTGTTGGTACGAATTTGGCGTAGTATTCGCCGAGAAAGGCATGTCGAGTGCGACATTGTATGAGTCGTCCATAGACTTCTCTCGGGGTGTTATTAAAGTAGTCTCTGGGTTTCCAGCATGGTGGTAGTCCGTCTGCCAGAGCAAATCCTCCTCGAGGGGGTCTGCGCGCATGTTCCTTCTTCCAGTCTTCCAGAGCTTTGGCTTTGGCTTGTCGTTTTGCATGAGTGAACGTGTGGAATGTGGGTGCCCAGAGCTTTCCCGCTTCCTTCGCTAATCCGTCCGCTCTCTCATTGCCTACTATATCTTCGTGTCCTGGGCACCAGGCAATTTCGACTGTGTTTCGCTGGTCGGATTCGAGGAATTGTTCGATTGAGTGTCGAAATCGTTGAGCGTAACTCTGGCAGGCTGCTACTGGTTTCTGGTCATATATTGTCGTGATCGCAGAGGAGTTGTCAGCGAAGATGAGGATGTGGTGTAGTCTGAGACGGACGAGAGGGGTCCACTGAGAGTAGCCTCGGAGTTTGTAATAAGATCAAGCCGCAATGAGCCGACCATTGTCAGCTGAGTCAAATATGCTGACCTTGGCAGGTGCGTTGCGCGCCACGTTCAAATTTTCTAACTAAGCTCTTCCCCAATACACTACGCCTTTCATATGAGAGCCTGAATTATCAGCTTCCTTCTAATTCCTGCTCCCATTCCGTCTTCTGAGTCGCAAGTACCCGTGTTGGACGCGTTGGCGGAGGACACAGTTGGTACGTCTTCAGAACCAATGAAGGGGTTATTGATGCTTATTGATGTCGATCTCTTCTAGATTATCGGAATCCATGTATAATCATATGCTGGTATTAGGTATAGATAGTATTAAAGGAAATAAACATGGTCAAACGCGCGGCGATGAACAGTTCGGGCGATGAACAGGATATCGATGCAGTGGCGGTGGGAAGGAAGCTAAGCTCAGTAAGCGGCCAACCTTCGGCCAACGCTCGCCTAGATCAATTTGAAACTCCGAGGCTACCCTCAGTGGGCCTGTGAAGGACATGATTGCAGGCTTTCATGAGGCAGTTACTGGAGTCATCAATGGTGAAGTCGGTGGTGTTACCAGTTTGTGCAGGCAGGTAATGTCTTCAAGTTTGCCATTGTTTACATGAGTCGACACTGACCACCACAACTCTGTAGCTACAAAAGGGTGCTACACAGGCACGCGGTGAAGACATTCACACCCTTCAAACTGAAGTAGCTAGTTGGCTCAATTCTCGACCACCTGGCAAGTGTGCGCATCCTATTTTGTCAACCAAAAGTCGGGCCAACAGAGGTTTCAAACATGACTTGACTGGTAAACTCCTTTGTCCGATCCATCTAGATTGGAGCAACATAACGTGCGTCCATTGCAACACTTAACTTGATACTTATTACTCTATGTTGATTCTGATTCTTAAAAGAATACGTGCTCAAATCCGCGCCAAAAATATCAAGACCAGCAATTCTTTCTTTCTTCGCTGCTTCTATCATGATGAAGAGGGTGATGCAGATGATGTCGAAAAGGGTTTTCTTCGTAGTACACTACTTATCCAGGTGAGTAACTCCCCCTTTTGTGTTGCATTGTTGACGTTGTAGCGGAAGGTTTGGCGGCAGATTTTTCGGTCCAGTGGTTCAATCACCAGCGACACTTCATCGAGTCCTCACTCCTCAGAAAATGAATTCAATGATTCACGATCTGACACCGCTCTGGCCCCTGCTCCCCGCAGCAGCAAGACACGGGCTTCAACTAAACATACGGTTGCTCAAATATATGGTTTAACCAAGGTCACACCACGTACAATTGCCTATTCTTGTGTTCTAGTATGTTTGTTCTTACTACTGCGCCTTTGATTTCACTGATAATCTCACTTTCTCATGCAACCTCTTGGGGGCAGGATAGTTCTTTCAACTACGAAGGCTTGTATAATGAGATCGTTGATTATTTTGAGGGAAAGGATGAGGTACTGCAGGAAGAACTGAATGGACTTCTGGAATGGTGGAACGAGTGTGATCTCTTCTGTGTCCAGTTTTTCCCATGAATGACCATTTAACAGACAGGCTTTTGCCGAGGAGGATGCGTCAAAAAGCATAACACCTTCAGTTCATTTTCAGAATGTTTTGGATGAGCAACGTGCTGCTAAGCGAGCTGCAGCACAGGATGTTCAAGAAGGCGATAATGAGGATGGCGGTGACCGCAGGGTCGGAACAGATTCCTGAAGAGCTTGCCACTTAGATAGTTTTGTTGCTATGGTTTCTCGTTGAATATGATTGGTCTGCGACAATATCTTGTGCGAAGAATACGATTTGAATGTCCTGTAAGCTCATGCAAACCATGCAGGAGAGTATGAGTATGTACCTCGATGAGTGCCAGTGCTCATTGTACAGTAGTATGATTAATGACTACAAGCAAGATATGTAATTCTTGATACCTGGCAGAGAATGTTAACGTATGTGTAATTCCACCTTAAATCAATAAAGTTGCTATAAATTTGAACAATGTTAGGCAGGAGTAAAAATCTGAGTCGTTAGTTCAAGTAGCCAGCACAATGTAACCTGTTGACAGTTTACTACAATTTTTATCATTCAGGGGGGCAACATTTACATTCAAGATCATTCTATAAGAGAGCGCCATAATATTATGGCAATATGGTGGGTATTCTACGTGATTTCAATGATTACAGCTAGTGACAATGCCTACTAGTAGCCTCCGTGATTTAGTGATGGGGTTTAGTAGACCCTAATTTTTCAAAATTTCCATCCTACACAGGCATGCAGTTCTATCAAACAACGGGTGACTATGGGCAATTGATGTGGTGGGTAAAATTTTTGGAATATAACACATAATCCGTAACATAGCCCAGAGCTCGAATGAGCCGTAGGCTCAAATTTTCAAAGCCGGGCTTCAATGCCCATCTGCAAAACCTGTATGTTCGCCAGAGCAAGGGTACTGGCTGGAGAGCGCTCTCCAGCACCCAAAGCACCGAGAGCAAAATTTCAACCCTGCTCTGGGTGCTTTGGCTGCTGGGAAGCGCTCTCAGAGAATTAGCCGAAAAAACAGGTTTTGCAGATGCCGCGCTGGACGTTCAGACCGAATCTGACAGGCCTTTTCTTTCCCCTCCTCCTGCGCGACATAAATTGAGATGCATTTCATCGATATCTAAGTACACACAACAAACTACTAACATATGTTAATACACTACCAGTACGCACTTACACTGAAAGAAGGAGTCATAGTATGAATGTGGACATACCCATCACTGAATTACATAATCCATTCCCAAATGACTTGAAATTTTGACTTGATGGGGACTTTTCACTCGAAGTTGGAAGCTTGATGGGGTCTTTTCACTCGAAGTTTGAAGTTTGATGAGGTTCATTAGAATTTGAGTTCTGAACATTGAACATTGAGGTTGAGATCATCTTATGCACACAGTATTATTGAAAGATAGTCTTGAGGTGCATTGCAAATGTGCTGAATTGGAGTTATTCATTATAAGTCGGAATTTTACAGAATAGGAGCATGAGGTTGCATGTAGCTTTATGTTTGACATTGAAGTAGTATTGATGAAATCTTGGATGATGGGCAATCTTTTCCTGCAGAGATGGAAAGTTCATAAGAGCATTGGAGGCAGTGGTGCGAGAGAGAGATGACGCAAAAAATTTTTTTCAACAAAGATCACATGAGCAAATCAGATTTCCTGTTTCGGACTCTCACATGACTAGAGGTATAGACTAGGGATGAACAGAAATAATTGAGGCAAGAGATGACCACAAGAATGCACCGTTGCTTATTTTCAGGCGTTGAGCCCTGGCATCAAGATTTTGAAACTCAGTTCATTTGATAATTTTGTCCCTTGCTCATACTTGATCATTTGAACATGGGTTATATGAAGGTTTGACTGTGTAGTCATTGTTTTTTTTAGTAATATATCCCCTTTTAGCAATCTTTATACTTAGTTGATTAGTCACTTCTTGTGTTACACTGGCGGCCAAAACTGATGGACCCCCCGTATTTGGAAGGTTCGTTCCCACAGCCTTGGACCACTTCATTCCTTTTTGTCTGCTTCGCTGGCAGGCGCAGTGGGCACAATTCACCGTCTTTCTGTATAATTTCTTTGTAAAACAATCCTATCTACATTGTCATAAAGTACGCAGCCCCTATCATTTTCCCTTTCTCACCGTCTCGACGCCTTTACTTGTACAATACATCATCCCATCGCTGTCAATCTCCATCGATTACTGATCTATCTATTACTGATCCACCTGACCCACCTTCTCTTTCTATTGGCTTCCGCCTCCTTCCTTGCCCCTGAACTGTACAGTATTACATCGTTGTTTCTCGCAGACTAGATTATGTATATATAGCCAACCCTCCACAGCCTGGTCCCTTATCTTGACTTCTCTGTCATTATCTGGGACCAGGTATGTGCTTACTTATTATTACCTATGACTACGATACTCAATATATCTCTGTCATTATCTGGGACCAGTTCGCCTCCACTCCGCTTAGTCGCTCCGCCTCACTCACCCGCTTAGTCGCTCCGCCTTACTGCCTGGCTTAGTCACCCTGCTTCCTGCTCCGCTAGTCACTCCGCCTCTGCCGCTTCGTGACATTAGGTCAAGATCCATTACTGCACTGACAGCCTACCGATAAGGTTGTCCTTGCAGGATCCGTAGACACCACGTCTTCCCCAGTCCCGCCCGATTCTGAAACACCTGCTGCCAGTATAGACTGCTCCACACTCCCGCACGCACTTGACCCCAGAGACCAAGCTCACGCCCACAACAACAACGATACTTGGCGTGATTGCCAGTCTCAACCTTGCCCCAACGCCCTTTCGAACTCGATCCGAGAGCCACTCACTGTGAGCAATATAACCTTCCTGCCAATTCCCCAACCCCGATTGCCTACTCCCATCATGTCGACTCCTGTTCCGCCTGCCCCAAATACCTCTGCTGAGGATCTCATGGCTCAGCTCATCAGACAAGTAGCCAGCCTTGCTACAGCCATGGAGGAACGCTCATCCTCCAAGTCAAGCATGAACAAACCCGAGGTCTTCAAGGGTAAAGATGGTGCTGAAGCTCGTCGCTTCATGGCTCAGTTCCAAAATTGGGCGTCAGAACAACCGGATCTCGCCAAGAGCCAAGTTAAACTTATCAAGTCCGCCCTGGGCTTCTTCACAGAAAGTGCTGGAGATTGGGCAACTCCCCATCTGTTACACTTCAGTGCAGAGAATCCCCCTTTCGGAGGGAACTGGGATACGTTCTTGAAGGAATTTAGCCAGCGGTTTGAACCAATGGACCCAGGTATGGAAGCCCGTAGCGAGATCAAGAACCTCAGACAAAGTAAAGGGCAGACAGTTGCAGAATTTGCCCAGAAGTTCAAGGATATCGGAGATCGGACTGAAATGTCTGATATTGATTTACGGGAACGCTTCTTCACCGCCTTACTTCCGGAGATCCGACAACACCTTATCATCGTAAACATCGCCCAAGGAATCGCTCCGACTTTGAAAGAGGCAATCAAACGAGCCATATCGGTGGATGTCTACCTGCATGATCCCACCATGACCGGCCGAAACACCGGACACGCTCCCGCACACACCGCTCACATTACCCCTGCCGACCCTCACGCCATGGACATTGATGCTACTCATACCAGCACTGGGAATAGCAGGGAGGCCTTCCTTGCCCGTATGCGCGGACGATGTTTTGGTTGTGGAGCTCAAGGCCATGTTAAGCAGAATTGCCCACACAAGGAGACTACCTGCCGATACTGTGGACGCCGGGGACACCTAGAATCCGTCTGTCAGGACAAGTTCATGGGACTTAGTCGCGACCGTGGCCGACGCCAACAGCCTCGCCGTCAGCAGATCTCAGCCACGGCGGCACCATTTACCTTATTCCCAAATGAATCAGTTCAGATTGCCGCCTCAATCCCAACACCTGTCGCTGGACCTGCTATACCGAGCCCCGCTAATCAGGACTTCTCCACCCAAATTGGACAAATAAGGGAATTGTTGGACCGTGCTAATGCCATGTCTCCTCCGTCCTCTGGTTTTCAGCAGGGTTTTTAAAGAGGGTACCCGCTCCGGCTGCACCGAGAGTACCCCATAATCAGTTTACTATGTTCGCTACCTCTTCATATGACTCGCTCCCATCATGTACAATATCATCTATTTGGGAATTAAATTCCAGCTCCCCACATTTCCGAATTCATGCGAAACTGAGAGGAAGGAACCATAGTATAACAACCGCAGCCATGGTAGACTGTGGAGCTACCGCCCTGTTTTTAAACCAAGACTTTGCCACCAGAAATCACGTAACCTGCGCACCCCTCCATAAACCAATCGATGTATTCAATATCGATGGTACACCTAACCGAGCCGGGCGAATCACCCACTTTGCACGCTTAGCACTCACAGTGGATAACCAGGAGCGATGGATGGATTTCCTGATCACAAACTTAGGAGGAGAGGATATTATTCTCGGACTCCCCTGGTTACGGAAGGTAAATCCAGAGATTGACTGGGAGAAGGGACGACTTTCAGTAAAGCCACCCCGGGTACATATAGAGGAAGTAGAAGATGAGCAGACTTCACACCCTCACCTAGTGGCGTCTACTACCGATAGTCCAATCCAGGAACTCCTGAACGAAGGATCACAACGTGAACCCAATCACACTGAGGCAGACCTAGAGGAGAATGAAATCATAACAGCAACGGAGGAATCCCCAATACACCGAATACGAGCCAATCACAAAACGCGTCGGGCATGGGTGAAAGCGGGGATATTGGAAGAACAAACAGAGGAAGTATGGTGCTCAGCAGGGTTCACATATTCTCAACAACTAGCAGAGGAGGCTAACCGCGATAAACCCATTAAAACCTTTGAGGAGATGGTCCCTGAGCAGTACCGAGACTTCAAGAAGGTTTTCTCCGAATCTGCCTCTGAGCGATTACCTGCCCATCAGCCCTGGGATCACGCTATCGATCTTGTACCCGGAGCACCAGCAACCATGCGGACAAAGATCTACCCAATGTCCTTGAACGAGCAGGAGGAACTCGACCGCTTTCTAGAAGAAAACCTACGGAAAGGCTACATCGTTCCCTCGAAGTCACCCATCTCATCTCCAGTCTTCTTCGTGAAGAAGAAGGATGGGAAACTCCGTTTCGTACAGGACTACCGGAAACTGAATGAGTATACTGTGAAGAACCGATACCCTCTCCCATTAGTTGCTGATATCATTAGCCGGCTTCAGGGAGCGCGATATTTCACCAAGTTTGACGTTCGCTGGGGCTACAATAATGTGCGGATTAAGAAGGGGCATGAATGGAAAGGCGCATTTGCAACAACTCGGGGCTTGTTCGAGCCTAAGGTTATGTTCTTCGGTCTCACGAATTCCCCTGCCACATTCCAAGCACTTATGAATGCGATATTTGCTGATCTCATTGCAGCTGGCAAGGTGGCAGTCTACCTAGACGACATCCTCATATTCAGTAACGACCTCAAGGAACACCGACAAGTGGTACGGGAAGTATTAACGCGACTAGAAAAGCACGACCTCTATTTGCGCCCAGAGAAGTGTGAATTTGAACAGCAACAGATCAAATACCTGGGACTTATCATTTCAGAAGGGGAGGTGAGAATGGATCCGGTCAAAGTAGCGGCTGTTCGTGACTGGCCAGTCCCTACCAACCTCCGGGAACTGCGAGGATTTTTGGGGTTTGCAAACTTCTACCGGCGCTTTATCCGAAATTTTGCAAGAATAGCTCGACCTTTGAACGACCTAACCAAGAAGGATACCAGCTTTAACTGGACTGGTACACAACAGGAGGCATTTGACACCCTTCGAGAGGCCTTCATCTCCGCACCAATCCTTGCTCTATGGGCGCCAGATCGGCCCACTCGAATTGAGGTAGACGCATCAGGCTTTGCTACGGGAGGCGCCCTCATGCAGAAGCAAGACGATGGTCAGTGGCACCCGGTAGCCTTCAGATCGGCATCCATGCAGCCAGCAGAACGGAACTATGAAATATATGATCGGGAGATGCTTGCCATCATTGAAGCATTGAAGGACTGGAGGAATTTCCTGGAAGGACTTCCACAACCATTCGACATTATCACCGACCACTCCAACCTCGAATTCTGGCGCACAGCACAAGACCTTACCCGTCGACAAGCCCGATGGGCCCTCTATCTATCACGGTTTGATTTTCATATGATCCACCGTCCTGGCCGAGTAAACACCCAAGCTGATGCCCTTTCTCGTATGGCAGTACATCATGTATCAGATAGCGATGACAATCAGCAACAGACCGTCCTTAAACCTGGCCACTTCACCAAAATTGCCGCTTCAATCCTATGGAACCCCCTAGAGGATCGTATTCGGAAAGCCTCAGAACGGGAAGCACAAGTACTGGAAGGTCTGGAAACAGTCAAGAAGCACGGGTTACAACGCTTGGCCAATGGGATAGCTGAATGGGAGGAGGACAACGGGTTGGTCTATTACTGGGGCCGGGTATATGTACCAGCAGACAACAATCTACGCACCGAGGTACTCCGTCAATGCCATGATCATCCAACTGCTGGACATCCCGGATTACATGGGACACTTGACCTGGTCAGCACCCACTTCTGGTGGCCGACACTGCGTTCTTTTGTGGAGAAATACGTTGAGGGATGCGAGATTTGCGCCCGCAAGAAGATCCAACGGCACCCATGAGCTGTGACTCAACCACTGGATGTACCATCTGGCCTGTGGGAAGAGGTAGGGGTCGACCTGATAACACAATTGCCTAACTCCCAGGGATACGACGCAGTCTTGGTCTGTACAGACCTGTATGGAAAACAAATCCATGCTATTCCTTGCACCAGCTCCATTACAGCCGAAGGTGTCGCCGATATCTATTACCGAGAAATCTTCCGTCTCCATGGTCTTCCCCTCCACTTCAAATCCGACCGCGGACCTCAGTTCGCAGCTAAACTCATGCGATCCCTCCTCGCTAGACTGGGAATTAAATCAGATCTAACCTCCGGATATCGTCCTCAGTCCAATGGCCAAACTGAACGCGCAAATCAGGAAGTGGAAAAATACATCCGCCTCTATGTGGGACGACGACAAGATGACTGGGCAGAACACCTCCCCATGGCGGAGTTTGTGATTAACTCGCGGACTCACTCGGCCCTAGGCATGTCCCCGTTCGAGTTAACCTACGGATACCTTCCCCTGTTCAATATCCCGGTTGGTCAACGCAGCGGCATTCCAGCGGTGGATGACCGCATACGGATTCTCCGAGAAGCGCGACAGGATGCTGGAGCTGCCTTACATCTAGGAAAGAAGCAACAAAAGGAGGGATACGAACGTGGGAAGCGAAAAGCGCATCAAATCAAAGTTGGGGACCTAGTTTGGCTAAGTGCGGAGGACATTAACCTGCAGCTATCCAGTGAAAAACTAGGAGACCGACAGCTAGGACCTTACCGTATTCTGGAGAAAGTCGGACCTCTGGATTACCGCCTTGACCTTCCCTTGTCATTAGACCGCCTTCATCCTGTCTTCCATGTCGACAAACTATATATCCATGGAAAGGTAACCCCATCAATGGCGAAATACCAACACCACCAGAGCCGGTGTACTTAGAAGATGAAGATGAACCGGAATATGAAGTGGAGGAGATCTTGGACAGTCGGGTACGATGGAAGAAGTTGGAATATCTAGTAAAATGGAAAGGTTACGATGCAGGACACAACTCTTGGGAACCCGCACCCAACCTCAGCCGGGCACCAAAAATTGTTCGGGCCTTTCACAAAAAACATCCGACAGCGGCAAAACCTTGACCATCGGGGGCAATGGTCATAAGGAGGGGGGTAATGTCATAAAGTACGCAGCCCCTATCATTTTCCCTTTCTCACCGTCTCGACGCCTTTACTTGTACAATACATCATCCCATCGCTGTCAATCTCCATCGATTACTGATCTATCTATTACTGATCCACCTGACCCACCTTCTCTTTCTATTGGCTTCCGCCTCCTTCCTTGCCCCTGAACTGTACAGTATTACATCGTTGTTTCTCGCAGACTAGATTATGTATATATAGCCAACCCTCCACAGCCTGGTCCCTTATCTTGACCTCTCTGTCATTATCTGGGACCAGGTATGTGCTTACTTATTATTACCTATGACTACGATACTCAATATATCTCTGTCATTATCTGGGACCAGTTCGCCTCCACTCCGCTTAGTCGCTCCGCCTCACTCACCCGCTTAGTCGCTCCGCCTTACTGCCTGGCTTAGTCACCCCGCTTCCTGCTCCGCTAGTCACTCCGCCTCTGCCGCTTCGTGACATACATATGATACATGATTATCACCAAATTCCAAGAAAAGCTGCACAAAACAAGAATTTTTACTATCTGTCAATAACCAATCCACATGAAGTCATTCTTGCGCAGAGCAACCAGGTGGCGAGGGAAAGACTGATACAAGTGCCGAGCATACACCTGAAAGTCCTCAGACCCTCATTCAGCCTTGATAGCATCAAAATACTGATTGGAATTGAGAAGATTTGGGTTTTGTAGGCAGATATGGCACTGCATTTCATACCAAGCATTCTCGATGGGGAAGAGGTCAGGAGAGTTGGCGGGCCAAGGAAGAATGGTGGTGAAGTGTTTGCTGAACCATTTCATGGTCTTACTGGAAGAAGAAATTATCTGGGTGATGAGGTGGAAGTTTGGCAAGGAAAGGGAGCAAATTGGCCGCAAGAACTGCAATATACTGGTCCAAATTCACCAGTCCTGTCAGCTGTACAATAGGCCCAGTGCCCCAAGGTCCAATACAAGCCCAAACAAGCACACTACCCTTGTTTTTTCCCTTTCCAGCCCCATGTGCAGTCCATTTCTGAACACAGTGCTCATCTAACTGGCCTTCTCCTCTCTTTCTTCGAAAATATCACCCTCCGTCTGAGTGCTTGAGTTTGAACTTCTTCTCATCTGAGAAGATGACTGTATTTTGGTTGAAAATCTTGACTGATTCCCAAGCAATGTGATTATTCCACACAGACGAAGACAAGCAATATGCTCTGGCTTCAACAAAGGCTTTTTTGGTTGGGCAAAACCCTCATATCCAACCTCGCAAAGGTTCTGGCAGACTGTGCACTCTGAAATATCAGGAAAGTAGCAATGTTGCACATGTGCTCCATCGCGCAGTTTCCCACTGTCAAACTGGTCTGTAACCTCTTCTAAAGTAGCTATATTGATTTTCCGTGGTCTCCCTCCAGGTTTCTCCTTTCTGGCAGTCCAATAGCAGTCATTCCCATGTGCTTTTGCCTCACGATAGTGCTTTTGAATGGTGTTTTTTGAAATAGATGTTTTGGCAAATAAAGGCTGGCCTGTCACGAAGCGGCAGAGGCGGAGTGACTAACGGAGCGGGAAAGCGGAGCAACTAAGCAGAACGGCGAGGCGGAGCAACTGAACAGGGCAACAAGGCGGAGCGACTAAGCAGAACGGCGGCAGGCTGGTCCCAGATAATGTCAGAGATATATTGAGTATCGTAGTCATAGGTAATAATAAGTAAGCACATACCTGGTCCCAGATAATGACAGAGAGGTCAAGATAAGGGACCAGGCTGTGGAGGGTTGGCTATATATACATAATCCGGTCTGCGAGAAACAACGATGTAATACTGTACAGTTTAGGAACAAGGAAGGTGGCGGAAGCCAGTAGAAGGAGAAGATGGGTCAGGTGAATCAGTAATCGATGGGGGTTTGACAGTGATGGGATGATGTATCGTACAAGTAAAGGCGTTGAGACGGTGAGAAAAGGAAAATGATAGGGGCTGCGTACTTTATGACATTACCCCCCTCCTTATGACCATTGTCCTCGATGGTCAAGGTTTTGCCGCCGTTGGGTGTTTTTTATGAAAGGCCCGAACAATTTTTGGTGTTCGACTGAGGTTGGCTGCGGGTTCCCAAGAGTTGTGCCCTGCGTCGTAACCTTTCCACTTAACCAAATATTCCAACTTCTTCCATCGAACCCGGCTGTCTAAGATCTCCTCTACTTCGTATTCCGGTTCGTCTTCATCCTCTAAGTATACCGGCTCTGGTGGTGTTGGTATTTCACCATTAATGGAATTACCTTTCCAGGGGTATAGTTTATCAACATGGAAGACGGGATGGAGGCGATCTAGGGATAGGGGAAGGTCAAGGCGGTAGTCTAAAGGGCCAATTTCCTCCAGAATGCGATAAGGGCCAAGCTGTCGATCTCCTAACTTTTCACTGGAAAGCTGAAGGTTAATGTCCTCTGCACTGAGCCAGACTAGGTCTCCAACTTTAAATTGATAAGCTTTCCGCTTCCCGCGTTCATATCCTTCCTTCTGTTGTTTCTTTCCTAGGTGTAAGGCAGCCCCGGCATCTTGTCGCGCTTCTCGGAGGATCCGTATACGGTCATCTACAGCTGGAATACCGCTGCGTTGGCCCACTGGGATATTGAACAGGGGAAGATAGCCGTAGGTTAGCTCGAACGGGGACATGCCTAGAGCAGAATGAGTCCGCGAGTTAATCACAAACTCCGCCATGGGGAGGTGTTCTGCCCAGTCGTCTTGTCGTCGTCCCACATAGAGGCGGATGTATTTCTCTACTTCCTGATTTGCTCGTTCGGTTTGGCCATTGGACTGAGGACGGTATCCGGAGGTTAGATCTGATTTAATTCCTAGCCTAGCAAGAAGGGATCGCATGAGTTTAGCTGCAAACTGGGGTCCGCGGTCGGATTTAAAGTGAAGAGGAAGACCATGGAGACGGAAGATTTCTCGGTAGTAAATATCGGCAATGCCTTTGGCTGTGATGGAGCTGGTGCAAGGAATAGGTGTCAAATGCATTCTGTCGAGTGTCGGTCCAGGTAAAGCTGGTGTCTTTCTTCGTCAGGTCGTTCAAAGGTTGTGCTATTTTGGCGAAGTTCCGGATAAAGCGTCGGTAGAAGTTTGCAAATCCCAAGAACCCTCGTAGTTCCCGAAGATTAGTAGGGACTGGCCAGTCGCAAACAGCCGCTACTTTTACCAGATCCATTCTCACCTCCCCTTCTGAGATGATGAGTCCGAGGTATTCAATCTGTTGCTGTTCAAATTCGCATTTTTCGGGTTGTAGGTAGAGGTCGTGCTTTTCTAACCGAGTTAATACTTCCTGCCGGCTGCAATGAGATCAGCAAATATAGTATTCATAAGTGCTTGAAACGTGGCAGGGGAATTTGTGAGACCAAAGAACATGACCTTAGGCTCGAACAAGCCTCGGGTTGTTGCGAACGCGCCTTTCCATTCATGCCCCTTCTTAATCCGTATGTTATTATAACCCCAGCGGACATCAAACTTCGTGAAGTATCTTGCTCCCTGAAGTCGGCTAATGATGTCAGCAACTAATGGGAGAGGGTATCAGTTCTTCACAGTGTACTCGTTCAGTTTCCGGTAATCTTGTACAAAACGGAGTTTCCCATCCTTCTTCTTTACGAAGAAGACCGGTGATGAGATTGGTGATTTTGAGGGGATGATATAGCCTTTTCGTAGGTTTTCTTCTAGGAAACGATCCAACTCCTCCTGCTCGTTTAGGGACATGGGATAAATCTTGGTACGCATGGTTGCCGGTGCTCCAGGTACGAGATCAATTGCATGGTCCCAAGGTTGGTGGGCAGGTAATCGTTCGGAGGCGGATTCTGAGAAAACCTTCTTGAAATCACGATACTGCTCAGGGACCATTTCTTCGAAGGTTTTAACGGGTTTGTCTCGGTTGGCTTCCTCTGCTAGCTGCTGGGAGTAAGTGAATCCTGCGGCGCACCAGACTTCCTCCGTCTGTTCCTCTAGAATTCCTGCTTTTACCCATGCGCGGCGAGTTTTATGATTGGCTCGAATTCGGTGTATTGGTAGTTCTTCAACTGCTATTGATTCGCTCTGTTCAAGGGTCGCTTCTAGTGGCACCTCAATGTGGGGGTTTTCTGCGGGAGATTCCGGTTCTGGGAGTTCGAGGATCGGGCTTTCTGTGTGAGTGGCGGCTAGATGAGAGTACAAGATCTCCTCGTCTGGGACTTCTTCTATCGTTACTCGAGGAGGCTTTACTGAGAGTCGTCCTTTCTCCCAATCAATCTCCGGGTTTACCTTCCGTAGCCAGGGGAGTCCAAGGATAATGTCTTCACCCCCTAGGTTGGTGATCAGAAAGTCCATCCATCGCTCTTGATTATCCACTGTGAGTGCTAGACGTGCAAAATGGGTTATCCGTCCAGCTCGGTTAGGTGTTCCATCGATATTAAAAACGTCGATTGGTTTATGGAGGGGTGCACATCTTACGTGGTTCCGGGTGGCAAAGTCTTGGTTTAAAAACAGGGCGGTAGCTCCACAGTCTACCATGGCTGCAGTTGTTATACTGTGATTCCTTCTTCTTAGTCTCGCATGAATTCGGAAATGTGGGGACGTGGAGTTTAATTCCCGGATCGACGATATTGTACATGATGGGTGCGAGTCATACGAAGAAGTAGCAAACATAACAAACTGATTACGGGGTACTCTCGGTGCAGCCGAAGCGGGTACCCTCTTTAAAAACCCTGTTGAAAGCCAGAGGACGAGGAGGACATAGCGTTAGCACGATCAAGTAATTCCCTTATTTGACCAATCTGATTGGAAAAGTCCTGGTTAGGAGGGCTCGGAGTAGCAGCTACAGGTGCAGGAGCAGATGTTGGGGTCGAGGACGCGATTTGGACGGATTCGTTTGTGAATAGGGAGAATGGCGCGGGTCCCGTAGCGGATATCTGTTGGCGTCGAGGTTGCTGGTGTCGGCCTCGGTCTCGTCCGAGTCCCATGAATTTGTCTTGGCAGACTGCTTCCAGATGTCCTCGGCGTCCGCAGTAGCGGCAGGTGGTTTCTCGGTGTGGGCAGTTTTGCTTAACATGACCTTGGGCACCGCAGCCAAAGCATCGTCCTCGCATGCGAGCTAGGAATGCCTCCCTAGTATTCCCATTACTGGTGTGGGTTGCATCAATGTCCATAGCGTGGGGGTCAGCAGGGGTAGTATGAGCGGTATGCGTGGGAGGGTATCCAGAGTTCTGGCCAGTCATGGTGGGATCGTGCAGGTAGACATCCACCGATATGGCCCGTTTGATTGCCTCCTTCAGAGTCGGAGCAATTCCTTGGGCAATGTTTACGGTGATGAGGTGTTGTCGGATCTCTGGGAGTAATGCAGTGAAGAAACGTTCCTGTCACGAAGCGGCAGAGGCGGAGTGACTAGCGGAGCAGGAAGCGGGGTGACTAAACCAGGCAGTGAGGCGGAGCGACTAAGCAGGTGAGTGAGGCGGAGCGACTAAGCGGAGCGGAGGCGAACTGGTCCCAGATAATGACAGAGATATATTGAGTATCGTAGTCATAGGTAATAATAAGTAAGTACATACCTGGTCCCAGATAATGACAGAGAGGTCAAGATAAGGGACCAGGCTGTGGAGGGTTGGCTATATATACATAATCTAGTCTGCGAGAAACAACGATGTAATACTGTACAGTTCAGGGGCAAGGAAGGAGGCGGAAGCCGATAGAAAGAGAAGGTGGGTCAGGTGGATCAGTAATAGATAGATCAGTAATCGATGGAGATTGACAGCGATGGGATGATGTATTGTACAAGTAAAGGCATCGAGACGGTGAGAAAGGGAAAATGATAGGGGCTGCGTAATGATAGGGG